CGGGATGTTTTTAATATCCTGATATCATAGTAACAAGAATAACTTTGGGCAAACGGACATAGACAAGTGATTAATCAATTCTAATCACAAACATAGTCTCCAGTCATCAGAATAAATTTGTCCTTTCAGGCAGAGAAATTGGCTCAACGTGCCAGCGGCGTATGCCCTGTGTAGCAGAGCTACTTAGCGCTCCTTAACAGAGGAAGTCTTAGAATCAAAGATTTTTTCAATTATTGAAAACTGTAACGGGGTCACAATAGCCATTGGCTAGATTGGTGGAAGACTATCAAATATTATATGGGAGACAATTGTGGCCCTAAATTCTATGTCGATAGAGAATACCGATTAGTCTGTATTCTCTAAGTTACGGTAATTACCGTGGAAATACTTTGTACCGTGATCATTTAATGACTGAGTGATGTGCCAACCACCCATTTAGTTCGAATACTAATATTTGTATTGGTTCTAGTTTAATGTAATATAGGGTACTTAGAGAAGGCATTTCCTTGATCGAAATCTAAATAAAGTTAGTTCTCATTTTGAGCAGAAGTCCGTATACTTATAGAGACTAAGTCTGCAAGACTTGAGACCCCTTCAATTTAATACAAATCTATTTTACTACACCTAGAGACCTTACAAGTCTGTAAATCTTCTTTAGACAAAGAAGTAAGAGTAGCTCAACGAATAACTGTTATTGACACAAGCACAAGATCTGAAGTTGCAAATAAATAGAGGCAATTCAGTTTAAAGAGCTACAATCAGCCTTGTAAATTCACTAACCATAGGGTGCTTAGAGGCTAAGGACATGGAGGTGCGTTGTACGATTTTTTGTAGTCATCAATTGTTTTATGCTTGGATTCTCGTTGGTGCTGCTAAGGTGTAAAGAGTCTCTTATACTTACAAAATTGGTGGATCACCCTTTCCGGCAAACTTGTTGCACGTTGTGCTTGACAGTTCCGTAAAATTGTCGTGGGTTATAGAGTCCTTAGAATCCAGTACCCCCTTTGCACATTGCGCGTGTAGTTCCTTAGAACCACAATAGTCTGAGCTAAAGGCATATGGGGTCCGCGCTAAGTTCCGGAGAACTAGCCGACTTTTTAACTTGATATATTAATTCCTTAGAACTAATTGTTTGTTATCCGTAAGCCTCTGGCTTAACCTGTAAAGTCTTCCTCTAACTTAATAGCTATGGTAGCCCCGCTACACAAAGTAATAGCAACGTAAAGTCGTTCAAGCGTACAAGCTAAAAAATCCTGGTCCAAGGAGATTACGATACACAGAATCACACACATTTAGTCACTACTGGTTAAACAAGAGTGAACGCCTTGACAAGGCCACTACTCTTACAACACACTACGCTTTGACTAGGCACTTGTGTACAACGATTCAATAGGGAAACTAAATCTTTGCTTATTATTTTAACTACGGTAAAAATAAACTAAACCTTGTCTGACTGACTTACACCTTACGGTCTTGTGACAGAAGTCTGATTCCTTATCTTTACCCACTAAGGTGCGGTATTACCGTAAGTACGTGGTATCAAGATTGTACCACTCAGATCCAATGATCTTTACTTGGTGTGGACACACAACATAACCAATATAAAACCACGTGAGCCCTGTTACACCCTGCGTTTGGTAGCAGGGGGGGCCTAATGCACAATTATGGGACTTAAAAGTGCGCAAATTATTGTACTTATTATCTCTTGACGGATGGATGACCAGTATAGCTAATAAAAATCTCCAAAACAAACGTTGAGCTTAACGCGTGTAAACCAGTACCTTGTGCTGAGTCTACTTGCTGATCTATAGAGCAGGTTTTCAGGTATGTCTTTTATGTGTAGACGGAATCGGAAGCGGAAATGGTGGATCGCAGAGATGCATGCATACCCACGGCATTTATTAAAAGGACGGGGGCGTCCATAATCAGAAACGTGCATCCAATGAGCATGAGGTGGAGAAAGTGCAACTACTATAAGTTGGGCACCTTCTTGTCACCGCAAGTAAGAAGCAGTGGAATCGCAGAATAAAAAAGGGCGTCTACCGATTGCCGGTGACAGAAACGTTTTGTGAAACTCTACCAAACCGAAAGCCAGGACAACGCAGCCAGCCTAGGCAATAGTAGCCATCCTTTTAAGTACTTGAGTGGCTTCAGACATTTCATAAATAATGTAACCAACAAATTAATAATGAAGCCTATTTGTATCTCGCATAAGGTGATACCAACGTGTGTCATGTGCGTATCCAGATGAATATAGTACAGTTGATGCAGATCAGCGAAAGTATGAGTTAAGTTCGGTTTCAAAATTACTAAATATCAAACAATTTCCATATCACCTTCTCAAGCACAAGCTTCGAGTAAAATCCGCCATAGATTTGTGTACTTCGGCGTGATTACAATAATGATAAGCTATGAGCTTATGAGAAATTTCTACGGGCCATATCACCGAGGGACACTTTACCTGAGGAAGACGCGAGATGAACAAGAAATTTGCCAAAGAATGCTACAATACGGAGCGATGGAATGGCACTTGTAGCTGCAATGGTCTCATTTCAATTACGACGACGTTGGGTAATGTAGATGCGCGTTAGTTGTTGTTTTCTAGAGGAAAAGCCGAGTTTAGTGGTGACTGTTATACGAAGAACGTTTGTAAAACAGCCTTTATTTGCGAATACGCGACGGGCACATTTCAACCCCCGCCGTAGATGGCATCCGTAACCCATTAATCACAAATTGTTTTCTAGTGCAGAGGCCTTTAAAGCTGCCACACGATCTACAATGCACCTAACATTCTAAATTTACGTCTTTTAACCTATTTTATTAGCACTACCTAAAAGACTTTAATGGAGTAAAGTCAGTACATGCCTAAATGTGAATTACTAATCTCTGACAGTGATGAGTACATGGGAGGTCTGGAGGAGCGTAAACCATTCACAAGCTCGGCGAAGGCTAGAAGATTTTAACATGGGTCATATTGATGAAAAATGGGGGAGCTAGGATCTCTAAAACACGTGGTATTATCGAGGGTGACCGAAGCGCAGGTGTCAATCTTAAGTAAGGATGTTCAATAAACTTAAAAAGCAGTACTTATAAATTGAGGACAGATAGTTACCTGTAGGTAAGATGTCAGTGCTAAACGTACAGATTCCCCTAGTGTTGAATCCACAGTTTAACTTTTGATATGGTAGCATAGGAAAGTTCTGAAATATACGCATTGTGATAATTAGCAAATATATCGAAAAGTCATGCATTGTTGTATTTATTGTAGATCAATGGGGGATGATACATTATTCGGTAAGTGCCAATAAACATATTCTATTGATCACTTAACTTGTATTTTTTAAGAAGACTAGAGGTGACGCTACGGACACAAAGATTTGGCGGAGGTCACTTTAATTCTGTAGTAAAGAACCTAATGTAAAAGTAGTGGATATTCTTTATACTTTTAATACATATCAAACAAAACACATAAGCTTTCATTTATGTTTTATTTCTACATTAATTCAATGACCTTTAACGTACTTGCTCTGCATCACTCCTCCTACATTAAGCTAACTACTCACGCAAATGATACGCATTAGCACCACCTCGTCATTGTGTGGCTGCACTTCCCTCTACTAGATTTATGTGAGATAAATTAAGTTGATACCTGACTTCAACCGGCAAGGTATGTGCCAGCCATACATCTTTTGACAGTGTACATCCTAGCTTGTTCCCCTATTTCCAGCCCTGTTCGTCGCACATCCTCGGTTATCTTGATACTCAAGTACCGCGATGATTTATTCGGTAAACTCAAGCACACCAGCAACATATTGACAGAATATTACCTGATCACATCAAAAGCGAGATCAGTATGAGTCGTGCATCAATGTGAATGCACTGTGACCGGATTTCACTCACTTGTTGATATCGTAATTGTCGAAAGCCGCTGAATTTGATCGCTCAAAAAATAATTGGCAGACTAAAATACAGCCACATCTTTGTCTCATGAATTAGATTACAATCCGATGCAGTTTGTTCGAATTCAAGTCTTGCCATCCTGCCGTGTACTATACGTTCTTAGCAAAAAAAAACGCATACACGCATGAGATCCTTATTGAACCTTCAATCCAAGACAGAATAAGTCCCCGACGTGTGGGAAGATGTAGATGGTACAAGGTCTTGGAGCGTGATAGTTGTGAGCAAAGACATTACTTCTACACATTTGAGCCTGCATGGTTTCCATTTTCCAATCTTGTTAAAACTTGATAGTGTAACGGGGCTAGAATGACCCGTACTTAGCGTACACTATTTCTAACGCTTTGATAAAGCTTAAAGCCCAAGTCTTAGGTATTAAGTATTTTTAACCGAACCTACTTATGTAACGGGGTGGACCATTACATCACCCCCTTCTCAAGACAGCACTCACGAACCGTGAGTGCTCAACCACAAGACCCAACGACGCACAAGCCAAACGATGACTGAAGACGCAGACGCAGACGCCAACACCACAGCACTCCCGCGCACAATCAGCGGGAGTTTAGTCGACCACGTGATGGATCGGCACCTGATCCCTTGGGCGCTGTATGACTTGTCCGGAGCTCGAGCTCCGGACTCTCTCGAAACGATGCAGGACTACTTCCGGCGTTTCCGTGGGTTGCGTGGTAAGAGTCTTGATGGCATCTCGTACGAGTCGCTCCAGCGGTCATGGTGTGCGTTCATCCGGCGGTGGAACCGGATGCTTGAAGACGGAAGAAACTTTCAGCAGTGGCTGGCCAATCGTTAAGATATCCACGCCGATCATTCCATCGGTGTACTGCGCGAGAAGATCTGTGAAAACGCATGGAAAGAAGATCGACTCTGCTACGTTCACGTGCACGAATCTTGTTATTCCTGTGACTCGATGCCTCTTCCAACTCGCGAAGCTTGGCAACGACACGTCGCTGAGTATCCACTTAGCGAGTATGAACAGCTCTGGATCGGACGATACAAGCGCAGCTTGATGGAGCGCAAGACTGCGGTTAATCGTGGCTCGTCACGCTGGCGACACCACTCGCGTTCTCGAGGTCGTGGTGCCATGCACTCGCCACGACGTTCTCGTTCGCGTGATCGTCGCGATACACGCTCGTCGCGACGTTCTCGTCGTCGCTCTTCATCTCGTCGTCGTGGTGAAACGTCACCACGACGTTCTCGCAATCGCTCTCGGTCTCGTAGTCGTGGTGACACTTCACCACGACACCGTCGTCGTGCATCTCGTTCTCGCTCACCGCGAGAACACACAGGTCGTCGACCAAGTCTGCACCAAGCGTGTGCAGGGACTCGTAAGCCCGAACGACGTCCGGAACGTCTCGAAGAAGCGAAGAGCGCGTTTCCCACGTATCCTGCTCGGGTGGAAACCTGAGCCAACGTACACGATACTTGCGCGCGGTTGGAACCGCGCGCTCATGGTGTCGGGACGACTTCGTTTCGCGACAAGGGTCCTCGTGACCCAGTAAACGCTCCACAATCCAGCGCTTCTGGCCTTCCGCGTCCACAAGCGGTGGTGGACCCTCACGATGGTACTGCTGGCGTCCTGGTTGCCCAGGACGATGTAGATGCGGCTGTGAACAAGGCTGTTGATGCCCAGCTGGAGGCTGAAGCTGCCCTTGACCGAGCTGCGCGGGCTGAGAAAACAGCGAACGAGATTCGACAGTCGAACCGCGAGCTGCTTGAACGGATGCGGAACCTGGAACGCCAGGTTCTTGGGCACGCGAAGACTGGGACGCAGCCGCGTCCGATGTCGCTGGCGCGTCGAGCAAGGCGAGAGGGAAGATCGACCTATGAGCCTTTGACTCCGAGGACGGAGCCAACCCGTGAAGCGTAGCTGGACCGTACTCCTTGAGCCGCCCGACGTAAAACGTCGGGTGAAGTCTCAGTGACGAAGGGATGGCCAGCGTGTATGCGTCGCCGATCGCCTTGAGTACCGTGAATGGTCCGATGAAACGTGGCGCGAGTTTGCTCGCGCCTAGATTGGTTACTGCTGAATCTCGTAGGCCTTCGGTAGTTAACAATACACGATCACCCTTCTTGAATGTACTCGTGTTCTTTCTTCCACGTTTGTCTGCATTCGCTTTCTGTTAATCCACTGCAGATCGAAGAGTATCGCGTACAAACCTCGTGATGGCTTGACGTTGGAGTATAAACTCTGACACAGCCATGTCATCAATTGGTCGCGCCGATTCAATCGGCGCGTAGTTAGCTTTAGGGTTTCGCATACTCGAAGAAGAATCGATCAGCGTCTGTGCAGTCCATTGAGCGATCGGGGACGCCACGTCACGTGGCGTCGAAACAGAAGACTTCGCCTTGGAATGGTTGTCAACATTCGCGCTAAGAATACCGTGAGCTTCACTCGATCGTTGTTTATCGTTATCACCCCCCCCCGCCAGAGTGGAGCCACGAAAAGCCGTGGGCTGACCCACGGCAAGAAGAGTAGGTACATGAGGATGACGGGCCGAATTTGCAAAAAATGGCGTCAACCCCGTTGACGCGTGAACCGCGTTGTATAGTGCAAACTCCGCGAGTGGCAAAAACGCACTCCAACTTGTAAAGGACGTTGCGTAACTTCGAAGAACATCTTCGAGGACCCGATTAACTCGCTCTGTTTGCCTATCCGTTTCCGGATGGGCTGCTGTCGACATTTGCAGCTTTGTGCCAAGCAACTCGAACAATGACGTCCAAAAAGCAGATGTAAAACGAGGATCACGGTCCGAGACAATGTTGTCTGGTAGACCGTGATGGCGAAACACAGTGTCAATGAAGTGCACCGCGGTCTCAGCCGCGGTGATCGTTGCATGGACAGGCATTAGATGTGTCATCTTGCTGAATCTGTCGACAAAGACCAGAATACCCGTTCGGTCTTGGCCATCTGGTGCAAGCCCGAAGATAAAATCCATTGAGACTGAGCTCCAAGCCTCAGCTGCAATTGTCAGGGGTCGCAGGGGTGCCTGCGACGATGGAGATGGCTTCACGCGCTGACCTATTTCGCAGGTGCGAACCCAGTTGCGAACCCATTTGTACATGTGGGGCCAGAAGAAGTCACGCGAGACAGCCGCGAATGTCTTTTCGCGGCCCAGATGACCGCCAATTGGGGCATCTTGGTACTCGTGGATGATACGAGCACGCAAATCCAAGTCATTCGCAATCACCGTTCGAGGTGCATCGAATTTGTCGATGCTATATAATAGCAAATCACCGTCCATACTGTATCGTTGAATGTGATCACGCTTCGTTCGCGAAAGAGCTCCCAGTGCAGCCTCACTGGGAGCGCGCAGATAGGCGATGATGTCCGCGTAATCCGGGTCGTTCGCGTAAGCCGCGACAATTTCATCGAAAAGGCATAACTCGGGTGTGACCCGAGTTAGATTCAACGACACACACGTCGCACATCGATCGTCTTCATCTTCTTCGTCAGTTGCCTGACGACTCAGTGCCATACGAGGATCGTAATCTGGGCGTCGTGACAGTGCGTCAGCAAGAATGTTGGTCTTGCCTGGCTTGTAGTGCACGACGAAGTTGTACTCGGAGAAGAAAGAGAGCCACCGTGCCATCCGCTATACAGGTGTGGGCTCTTCATTGCTGTTCGCAGCGATGCATGATCAGTATACAGGGCAAAGTGCGTTCGCCCAGTAGGTGGACACGAAATTTGATGAGTGCATAGCGCATCGCTAGCAGTTCCTTATCGTGAACCGGATAGTTCTTCTCTGCCGGCTTCATCTGTAGTGACTGGTAGCTCACGAATCGTTCACGGCCCTCATGATCGAACTGCATGAGGGCGCAACCAATTGCAAAGTCACTTGCATCACACACCACGTGAAACGGCTTGGTGTCGTCAGGGAGTATCAACACTGGCGCCGACGCCAGGCTCTTCTTCACTGCGTCAAAGGCTGCTTGATGTTTGGGGCGCCACGACCACGTGGCGTCTTTCTTCAGAAGTGACGACAGGGGCTGTATAGAACCGGCGTAATCCTTTGTGCACTTATGCAAGTAATTAGCTAGACCGAGCCATTGACGTAACTCCGTAGGGTTCTCGGGTGTGGGCCAAGAACAGATTGACGACACCTTCTCTGGATCGGCTCGAACACCCGATTTACTCACGTAGCAGCCCAGCACCGGAATCTCCGGTGCACAGAATACACACTTCTTCAAGTTTGCATATAACTTGTTATCTCGCATGACTTGAAACACCTGCTTCAGGTGTTGAAGGTGAACTTGGACAGCACTGAGGTTGCCCTCAGCGCGACTGTGGACAAAAATGTCATCGAAGTAGCTAGGAGCAAAGTCTCGAAGCGGTCTCAACACTTGAGATAACATGCGATTGAAAGTGGCTGGTGCGTTCTTCAATCCTTGTGGCATCACCAGCCACTCCCATAGCATACCACTCGGGGTGGACACCGCAGTGAGTGGTATTTCACTCTGTCGCATCAAGATCTGGTAGAAGCCATCGGTCAGATCGATGGCGCTGAAGATGACGCTACCTGACATGAAGTTTAGAACCATGTCTTTCCTGGGGATAGGCGTTTGGGCAGGAATAGTGGCATCGTTGAGCTTGTTAAACGCATGCACTATACGCCAGCCTCCCGTAGCCTTCTTCACGCAGAAGGTTGGGCTCGAAAGGGGTGAGACACTCTCACGCACATGACCGGCCTTGCGACGACCTTCGAAGAATGCATCAATAGCCTCGACTTGCTCTCGAGGCAACGGCCACTGGCGTGTCACACAATATTTCGGTCCTGGCACGAGATCAATCTCGTGCCGCACGCCACGATCGGCAGGGAGTTCGGCCGGAATCTTGTCCGGGAACACGTCGGCGTACTCTCGTGCAAAATCGTAAACAGGGTTACCAGACTCGCGCAGAGCCTCCCAAGATTGCGACGCAAATCTTTCTTCGCGCGCTGACTTTTGCTCAGCGCTTCGAGGGCGCGTCATTCGCTCCTCATTCGGCTCATAGGTCACCTCGTTGGTGACCAGACATACTTGTTCCACCGTGCCTCCCTTGAGGTCACGTAGAAAATGCTTCCAGGAGAGTCCTGGAAGGCTTGTAATCGACGACGCGTCGCGAGGTGGACTCGCGACCTCAATGTATTGGCGCCTTTGTGGACCCCCGTCCACGTACACAATAGCGTGGACACATTCCCACGCTGAGTTCTCGTAGCTTGCGTCCCCATCGTGCTTCGAGTCCATGCTCGAAGCTGGCGAACCGCAGTCAGGTGTTAAATCTGCACCCCCCTCTAGACGCTGGATGTCCTCATCCAGGACGTCAAAATCGCGTGACGGGAGTAGTCCATACTCGTCCGTCGACGCATGATGCGGGAGCCCCTGCTCTACCGCCACAAACTCGTGTGGGAGCCCCTGCTCGACCACGTCTTGCTCATGTGGGAAACTCTGTTCGACCACAGTAGGCGACGATGGTAACCCCTATTCGACCATCATGTTCGCACGTGGGGACTCTTGTCCATCCACGTCACACTCGGTGGCGAGCCCCTGCTCGGCCACATCTTGCCCTTGTGGGAGCCTCTGCTCGACCACAATGGGTGCAGGTGGAAACACTTGTTCGTGTTCGACCGCTGCTCTCTCGTGCGGGAACCGCTGTTCGACCGCGTCGTCGTCGCGCGGGAGCCACTGCTCGTCCGCGTCGTCATTACGCGGGAGCCACTGCTCGTCCACGTCGGACTCCTCGCTGCAAAGCGAGGAGACATTATCACTCGTGAGTAGGGGCACGGAACAAGCGGTACAGAGAGGGTCATCGCTCACTATGTGTACCGCTGGTGTCGTGGATGTACGATCCACGACTGTAACGTTCGGCCAATCACTTGGAGACACCAAGAGATGGGTGAACACTTCGCTGACGTCGAACTTGCTTCGACGTCTCACTGATCTGGCTAACCAGTCGATCTGGGGCTTATAGCGTGCCAACCATGGCATGCCCAGGATGCAATCGAATGAATAATTCATTTCAATCACCAAGAAATTGTCGTTACTGCGTAAGCCGTCAAATGTGTACGGCAACGATACTTCGCGCCGCGATACGCGGCGTGGTTTCCCGTCAGCGAGCTTGACAACAACTTGGCCAGGTCCCTCGTGGATCTGGATGCTGGGTGGCAGCATTGACACGCAAGATTCACGGAAAAAATTGTTTGTCGCTCCTGAATCCAGGAGCGCTCGTAGAGGTTGCCGGATACCGGAGACATGTAGATTAACAATAATCAGGCGTGAATCACCACTCGTAGTGGTGGCATTTGACCGTGCACGCAGCACAGATGGGCTGGGAGGTCGGGCCGCCACCGGTGGACCCGGACCTCCCTTCAAACCAGTAGGGCGCCCTGCACCTACTGGTCTCGTCCATTTTTTGGACGACTGATCGGAGCACCTCCCTCATGATGGGTGTCCGTCGCATGCACCGACATCGGTGCTGGCGCGCGGCATTCAGCCGCGCGATGTCCCGGCTTTCGGCATCGAAAGCAGATCATCTGACGTCCGCCTCGGACGTCGCCCTTGTAGGCTGTAGCGCGTCGTCGGTCACCCGACGACTCAATTGCATCGATCTCCATAGGTTCCGGGTCCGCTGATCTGACAGCGGTAACAACTGAAGGCTTGGTATAGGCCTTGGTGACTCTGAAGTCCTCACGGAGAGCGATAGCGAAAGCCTCCTCCAACGTGGCAGGCTCTGCTCGTTCCAGCGAGAGGCGAGTCTGCCCTTCACGCATGCCATCGACAAACACGTTCACTTGTGTATGCATGTCCATGGGATGCGTGATAATGCAAGACGCCAGATGTCGAGCCATCTGCACGTAGTCGCGCATGGACATCTTACCCTGTCGCAGGGACAGGAACCTTGAACACACCAACTTCTCTTCCTGGGGCGGCTCGAAGGCGAGTCGAAGGTCACTCTGGATGGTTCTAGAGTGGGGAACGCAAACTCGTCAACAACGAGTTTTCCCAAGGCCCACTCCTTGGCTTTCCCAGTGAGACGGGAAAGAAGGAAATTGACCTTCGCTTGAGGAGCCTCGAGAAGTCTCGAGGCGATAGCGATGTCGACCTCTCGAAACCAAAGAGACAACGACAAGCGTTCTTTTCCTTCGCCAGAATAGGCGGAGGTCTCCATCTTCACGGCATCGTTCCGTGAAGTCCGCGAGGGAGTTAAACCTCGCCGATGGGATTCGGCGAGCTCGCGAGCCATGTAGTCGTGTATGGCGAGACGCTGTCCATCAGGAGTCGCTGATCTCATCAGCGACACAACGAATGCCTCTCCAGATATCGCCGCGAGGCGATTTAGGGCATCCCACTCAACACCAGTGAGATGGGGAAAAGTCGCGTGCTCCAGACTCACGTCTGGAGCGTCAAAGTACGACGAATCGCTCATCCCAAACTCGGGCATGGGAAGGACTACTGAGTGCTACCAGGTGTAACGGGGCTAGAATGACCCGTACTTAGCGTACACTATTTCTAACGCTTTGAGGAAGCTTAAAGCCCAAGTCTTAGGTATTAAGTATTTTTAACCGAACCTACTTATGTAACGGGGTGGCCCATTACAAATAGGGTACCAAACCGTTTGTACTGACACGATACAAGCGACCGACTCTCACTACAGTGTAATTTGTTGCCTAGAGACATTGGTACATACGTGTACAGGAAGGTTAGTTTATGAAGTCGAGGTACTTTAAGAGTGTAAAAAGAAGAGCTGTATTTGGTATTATGTATCTTCTGCAAGTAAATGTTTCATACTCCTCCCTTAATTTTACGAGTACAAAAATGTGTTTCAACAATCTTCTCACCACTCTTTGCGCACGTCTGTCGTGGCCCGCCATTATTGGTGATATTGTGACCTATATCGACCAATGAATAGAGTATTACCACTGCAAATGAATGTCATCTGCTAAGACAGTTTTACCAAAAAAACAACAAATGCTAGCCTGAAAATATGACTGACATTTACTTTCTGTAATATCCGCAACGGACAGACCCCGTTACAAAAGACTACGCTCGACCAAAATATGCATAGCTAAGGTAAACGAATGTGCACAGTGGATAACAGCATTTGTGGAAAGGATTGCAAAGTCAGACATCCACGCGGCGCTCTAGTCCACCTGAGCGAACTTCAATGTTGCTACCAATTCTCATCTGAAGCGGTCTGCATACAGATGAGATTACACCGAGTAGTGTGCTGCTAGTTGTAGTTACGAAGCGTATTATATGTGATATAAGTCAGCGCGTCTTCTTGAGGCTGATGAGCACCAAGAGCTATGGGTGCAAATACAGATGGTCTTAGGGACATGTCGCAACACAGCATCGGAACATGTGCTCAATGCACCGTGGTTTGCAAAACAAATAGCCCGCCATCGCCAATGTCGGTTTGTAGAGATTTAGAGTGTAGAAGTCGATGCAGAAGATATTACAATCCTCGATCTCTCCACCAGCCTTTTGCTATAGTAGTAGGATACGTGCACTGATCGTGTTTAATGAGCATTTTTTGCCAGTCCTGGCGGTTTGCCGATACCTTCAATCTGATGGGTATCGTCGCCCCCGACTGCTGCCCCTCGATCGGTGCCCACCCCGTTGCGGCTGGGCCGGTTGAGTTTATGTATCGCACCTCTCCAACAGCAATACAAGTAACATTCGCTCACCACCATGCGGTCTGTCGTGTCGTTGGTTGATATAAGGCCATCAACCATACTCGGGGCCAATGTCCTATGCATCTGAGACCTAGTTACATAACACAGATACTCCCGCCCCCCAACCCGGGGGCCCCAGGGATTCGTTGTCCCTCCCTTCCAACCCCGCGTAAACAAGCCCGCGGCGCACGCCAGCGTCCCTGTGGGCCCGGAACCCACTCCCTGGCTCAGCGTTCACCGTATTCCCCCCCAGTTCCGTCACCCCTCACCGCAAATTCGTTTCCCAATGGACACCACTCACACGGCCAGACGCGCCGTGCGGAACGGCCCAAGTTCCCCCAGTCATGTCGTCGGCGACGACGTGATTTCCTCCTCGATCACTTGACCCCAGCGCGAGTACCGCTGACATATCTTCATCGTCTTCAGACATCGAGGTACAGTGGGATCCAAACTGGTCCTCACTACACGTGGAACCCACACCCCGGGGTGGTCGTGACGGAACGCAAACTCAAAGCGTGAGTTTGAACGACCCCGCGCCCCCGCGTCAGGGATGTGGGGCGCCCATGTTGTGTGCAACCGCACGCCCTAGGCTTACCTCCTACCAGCCCGTGGTGGGTATGTCTCTACTGAGTGTACGAAGGGATTGACAACCTGAAACCCTTTACGACCGTGCCGGGAAGACTTTCTCCGGCGGTCCTTCTGCGGCACAGGTGGTCGAGCTCGACCAGACCCAGTACGTCAACCATCAATGGGGCGGGGCTCCCAAGAACCCAGGACGGGGGATGCGCCACCGCGAGGTAACCGTCCGCGTCGTTCACGTCGGTGTTCAACAGCGCTCTACTAGATAGGTGGCCACCGCGAGGTCCTCTAAGGAGGTGGAGGAGGAGGAAAGGCTCTCCACACGATCATGTGGATCGTGTGTTCCCAGATTTTGATCGCGTAACGCAGGTTACGACGTCTCGACTGAGCGGTACGTCTCCAGATGGTGGACCGCCCGAAGCCAGGAGTTTGCTTTGCCAGCGAGACAGCTCTGACACTCTCGTGCGGCTGGGTAGCTCGTGGGATTGTTGATCGTCTCGGGCTGAGTAACGCTCTCAGCCCTTGTTGTGCCCACCATCGGGGCCAAGCTCTCTGCGAGATGCTTGAGCGCATCTTCACGGAAGAGCCGTACTGATGTCGCTTGCCGACCAACGAAGTGGGGCGTCTCTTCGTGGTAACTCGATGTGTATCTGCCACGGTGTCCAATCGGGGTGTTTACGCTCCCAGTTATCCTACGTTTTGGTAGTAACCGTAGACGTGGCTAAGTCCCTTTATTAAATAAGTTTGCCTTCCTCTGTGTTTTGTTTTGCTATCCACCCGGCGATCTTGCACAAAACGGCACCTTTCCCCAGTAGCCCGAGCCGTTTTCGGTGTGTGCACGCAGCGACACAACCTTTTTCAGTATCCCCGGTCTTGTTTCGTGATCCTCCCCTCGATATTGATGTTATCGTCGCTCACAATCTTCGTCAGGGTGATGCTGAACCAAACGTTTGCCTCCCCCCTAAACCAGGTTACACCAGTAAGGGTCCCGCACCCTAAACGGACGGACCCCTGTGATCAAACCACCACCAAACCCCCAACTCCCACCCAACCTGTCGTCGACCACGCCGGATGATCAGAGTTGACCACTTCCAGGATTGACACCCCGAACAGCGTGAACGTGCGTCGAACCCCACCCGAGGTGTGTCAAAGCAAACCAGCCCGCCGTGATTGCGCCACGCGCAATTTGGACCCGACAACGAGGATTCCCGCACCAACCGGTAGGGCTGTAAGGAATGATCACCGTTGGCAGCGCAACTTTCGCCAAACGAGCGGCCATAAAACCGACACCGTGAGATATGTTTTCCCGGCCACCCCTAGGGCCGTGAACTCGAACGCCGCAAACCGTCATATCCTGGAAGCAACCGTGTGTGTCCCAGAACCTGTATATACATAACCGTTACTAGGTACGATCGATGCAGCGATACGCAACGACATCGTTTCAACGTTCTCGAGGGTTGGGGAGTGTGCAACAACTCACTACCCCTCTTGGGCGTGCGCCTCACATCACATACAACGTTGTAGGGAACGAGGCTCATAACCCAACGGGCCACGTTGGGTTCGCGACGTTCAAAGTCGGGACGACGGGCATCACGACGCAAGTCGCCTGGTTTGACTCGACCGTAAATTGTATTCGCAAAGAAGCAACCACCGCGCCATCGTTGGAAGGTTCACCCGGCGTAAGGACCAGTCAGTGTAAACAACTCTACTCCAAGAGCCTGACCAGTGCAATTCCTTCCTTGCAGCACATAGTTCCCTCACATTAATGCACAGCCGATTGCGAAATCGCTGGCATCACAGACCACATGAAATGGCCTGTCCTGATCGGCTATTGCTCTTTCCCTTCCCTCTTCCTTACCTGCTTCCAGCCTGCTTTTTTTTTCCCTCCTTGTGCTTCCTGCCACCCCCCCTCCTTCTCCTTCCCCCCTCCCTCTCCCCTCCTTCTATCTCCCATCTTTCCTTTCACTCCCCTTTACTACTTTTCGTGTTCGTTACGGCACAGTAATGATAGCCACCGCGTATTGCATCAACTTCTTTCCTATCCTCGAAGTATTTTGTTCGTATTCCTTGGGATATTCTAATCTTGGATATTCCTTTATTCCTCTGCTCAAATCTAAAGACTCCAGTGTCTAGGTTATCTTTGTAAGATGTTTTTCTTTCTAGATTCCCCTCTAGATACATTTTCACCGACTATTGAGGGGACCTTCCCCCTGTTTCCTCACACCAATTTCAAGTAACGTTTGGTACACTAAGGTTTTGCTCGTACTAACGAGTACCCAAGCCCACTACTCTAGTACATCCACAGTTTAAAGTCATCAGCAGAACAACGACTGTTAGCATTTCCAGTTTACCCGTGTTCGTACCTTCTGAGCCACGGTATTCCAAGGATACAAATTTGTCATAAATCCAATAGATAAAGTCACGTCGTATTGTATCTTCTAGTATAGTGAATTTCCTATAGCTTCATGAGGTTACGATGCCTGTCGCAAGAGTAGTCATCTCGTAGGAGGTGTGTCACATTCACTGAATTTAAAGTGAATCTTCTAGGATTGGCGTCGCACAAAATTGTTGGAGCCCCAAATGACTAGAGCTCGAAGGAAACTTATTCGTCACTTGAGTTTCAAGTAATGAGTGAGATCTCATTACCTAGAGAGAACGAAATGTCTGTGTGTTGGGAGCAACCTTCATCAAGAGGCCTACAAATTCTCTTGAGTTGCTGGATCAGTAGGTGCTCCGCACCTACTGATCCTGTCCGTTTTTGACGGTCCATCCCGTTGTTGGTCTTTGCACCAACTGCGGACCCTCGTCCTGCCCCTTTCTCATGGGTGGAGGTCACTACGCCCAGTGTCGCGAGACACTGGACGAGGGGCACTACACTCGTAAGCGTAGTGTCCTGTCTTTTGACATCTGTTGCATCTCTGCAACTCTTGTAGCCTGTAGAGCGAGCCTTCTCGCTCTCTACATAACAGAGTTCCATCGGCTCTGGACCTCCGTTGTCATATCGTCTCGGTTGACGATATGATGTCGAGCTGGCGCGAGCCTGTCTCAGACTGAAGTCTTCCTGCTCCGCAATTGAAATGGCTTGTTCTAGTGAATCTAGTTCAAGCGGAACAGGTGAGTCTTGACGGGACCATCCGCAAGACCCTGCATGAACACCGAAACCAACGTGTGTTCATCCACCGGATTGGAACTTATACAACTCGTGAGATGTCGTATATGTTGAGCGTAAGCGTGCACATCACGCTTACCCTGCTTGAGCTTCAAGAGTTCGGTTCGAGCTCTGAACTCAGCTCTAGGCGGTTCAAACGTTTGTCTGAGCCGCGACTTGAAGACTTCCAACGACCCAAACGCATATGGGTCTGCAGCTTGAGCCCCAGTGCCCAAGTCTTGGCACGTCCTGCCAGATTTGACTGGGCAAATGCAACTTGCATATCCCCGTCGTCGATGCGACGCGCCCTTATGGCGTCATCCACCGACGAACCATCTCAAGAGGGAGTCTTCTTCGACCCCCTATACTTTGAGATGTCAATCTTCAAAGTCTCGGGCCGAGCGAGTGCATCGACCCGCAGAGCAGCCTGCTGCTGTCTCAACAGTTCAAACTGTTGAGCACCTTGTTCTCTCAAAACTCTGCTTGTTGAGAACCTTGTTGGTGAAGCAAGGCTACTTTCTCGGTTCTGCGTCAAGTTCATTTTGAATGAACTTGGCGATAGTAGCATGTTGGGCATCTCTATTGAGAGCCTCTAGCATGAGCTAACAGATGGATGCCCATGGTCGAACCCATTCGTTCAACCGCATCCCATTCGACATCGCTCAAATGGGAGTAGCCGTCACGCGTAGGTGAAAGCTTTGGTCATCTTCATCATCCAACATATTCATGTTGGATGTGAACGGTCCTTGGACGGACTACGAAGTGCTACCAGGTGTAACGGGGCACCCTGAAGCTTGTACTGGTGACAGTACAAGCTACTTATTCTGATAACAGAATAAGGCGGTGCCTGTAACTTCACGTACACTCGTACGTGCAGAGGAAGAGGTAAGAAGAAGGAGTACTCGGTTAGAGTAAAAAGTAGAACTGTATTTATAATAGTTAATGTCTGCAATAAATACTATTTATCTTCATCTAACTATGTCTAAATACAAATGTGTAAATCAGTTATCTGCTCACCACTCATTGGTGGTCTGTCGTGGGGTCTTCGTTGGTTGATATAATGGCCTATATCAACCAATTAGGAACTACTTGGAAGTGCTACAGAATATTGTCCTTATGACAATATTCTGAGAATATAACTCTTATAGTTATATTCTATTAACAATTTCTTATAAATTGTTATGTAACGATTCACCCCGTTACAGATCGACTGATGTAATTTAAGACCAGTAACCGTTCGGGACTCAGAGGCTCCCGGCATACCTGCATAGTTTCGCCAGCTCCAATATGCCAATTTCCATCTTACGACCAGCCTCGACAAGTGTAGCATGACCGAAGGCATCGATGTCGTTTGTGGGTCTGATCGCGCAACTTGTTTGTCGTGGCAGTCATTATTATTTATTCACAAATTGAGTCGCTAATCTCGATGTTTTGGCCAAGCTGCCGACAATCCTAATTGTGTATGTGTGCGTACAGGTGTTTTAGGCAGTATAAATGTGACTCAAGTGGGATGTTGGAGGTCACTTATCAGTTGGTAATCCTTACCTGTAAGAGTCCGTTGGACTTTTACAAATAGGAAATGATGCAAACACAGGTCTATTGCCAAGTGCATTAAACTGCCTGTCACCCGAAGCAGAGTGATTACTGTGGAAGTGCTTGCTGACATTACCAATCTTGATCAGTGATTATCTATTTTGTAGTCATCTCGCTGTTCATTTTCACATGGGAGCTGAGCGAGTTATCAGCCCGTCCATGCAAGCTCCGCGAGTAGGACACAATTCATCTTGTAGCCGCTTAACGAAAGTGGCAGCAAAACGATCTCGCTTCAACAGTGATCAAAGCACTCTAACCCCAGAATCAAAGGCCGTTCGTGTCATGACGACTGGTCAGATATCCGTAACATCACATCATGAACGATCTACTGAATGGATACGCACGGTATGTCGTGCAGAGTATTGCTCAGGCCACATGTTCACCGAAGACAGCCCCATTAGCCATTCTAGTCCCTGTGTCGCTCGCTACATGGAACTATACAGAAAATGCATGAAATTATCGAGCATGATCAAGAGGAAAGTGGCACGATGGTGTACAATTCCATAACGCGCTATCGCTGACAGCAACTGCTGGGACCAGTCCACTTGATCGTGCACGACAACATACAAGACATAGGAGGGATCCCGACATCTATACACTCGATTTGCGGAGAATTCGCGTGTTTACAGCGCTGATCAGAGGACTACACTCTAATTTGTCGCATGCCACACCTCGGACAGTGTAAGTACTTTGGGATTCTTAGAGCGGTAAAACATCCGCCGCAAACCTTGCAAAGCACCGTCAGCAGCAAACTGTCTTTGCGTTGATGGAGGCTGCACATTACCTGGAAACTGGAGCGCTAGAACCATAACTTCAGCCCTTCTCATTGTCGGTGCACTTGCTTCGGTCATCCCACGAGGAACTGCAATTGTGCCAGAGGCGGTTGAATATCCTGTTGTAGAAATTTGCTCGACCTACAACAAGTCCCGAGTAGTATGGGAGCTAGCATTTAGCAGGTGCGTATCAGGAGCGGAATGCTGCTGCAAGTAGACATGATGCCCTGCCGCTGCTATTCTCGTGCTTAAGTGACATCCGAAGCCAGGCGACCGCTTTGGGGTACGCAAGCTTGCTTGTGTCGAGCTTTTCCATGTGAGCGAGCGGATTTATGGCGTAATAAAGAGGTGAGCAGCCAGAACTTACCATCAGAAGCACCTTGTCGCAGCCAGCGGTATGAAAACAGAAGTTGCAATCTATTAGCACCTTGTTGCAGCCAGCGGTATGATAATGATCAAGCCGAGAGACTTGACGGGCAATGCGCAAGATTTAGATGTCTAGTTACACGTTGGTGTGTTAGTGCAAGATCTCCGAAAATTTATGAGCCAGGCTGTAAGCACAGAAAGAACCTACTGCCTATCGTAACCGGTCCCGATAATAATTGCTGACCCCTGGAAATTACGCTTGAGCAATTTGGTACAACCTTTAGCACGACGCCCTCTCTCGTCGCTTGCTCGTAAATGGCAGGCTGCAAAACAATCTTTGACACGTCATTGCGAAGAAGTGCTAGTTTTTCTTTTACACGCGCTCTACCACTTTTAACATCATTGTAAAAGCTGATCGCTACGATTTTCTACCTGGACAACATACACACACGTGCAGTGAGATATTGTGCTTGTCGGCGGGGCACACGTTGCTTGCTGCGTTGCTCGACTAATTTGACTTAACATGCTGTGCTTCGCACATTACCATCATTGATGCCCATGATAATCATGCGTCATCGAGAGGTTGGTCTCCTCCTTTCTTGTTGATTTTCTTCCTTCGAGCCTGATCTAGTTGAGTTGCTGAGATGCTGCTTGTTACCTTGCCCAGACTTGACAAATTGGAGAGACAGCCATCACTGTGATATCGTATTTGCCTCAATGTTTACCTGGTGCGCTACTACTTATCTTGGTCCGCCTATGCGGCGACTAAATCCACGAAATTAGCAGTGGACAAGCAGACTGTTTGATCGAGCTGATGGACTTGCTGTCCTAAGATCTTTGTGATAGGGGGATTGACGCTGTATCCAGTACATTTTTAGCGGGTATCAATGTAGCCGCTGGCGCCCGTCAGAGACTAGACCCCATGTACAAACACAGTAATAAGCCATCCGTTACTTCGAGGACGTAAAGGTCGGAGGTAACCCGTGATAAATCCGGCAATGCTATCACCACCCTAGCTCAGAGTCACAAGCTGGGCCTGGCTCTATGCCATTTCCATAGTTTTGGGGGACCTCGACGAAGCCTGCACCGACCAGGATTTGGTGGCATGTAGCTCGTATTTTTCAAGTGCTGTTGTGGTTGCAGTGGTGACTTCGAGCTCAGTAGGGTCTCGAAGGGTAGATCGGGTGGTGGTAATTTACGGACTGTCACTCACTGACATAGATTTGCATCTTAGTGAGTCCAGCTTGGTCCTGCGTCCCTTAGTATACCCTTGTTACAATTACCACTCACCTGAAGCGCACGATCTAAAGTAAATCAATGTTGCATTTCTGTTCTGCTTTCTCCAGGACAATATGTCATCGCTATGATCGCGTATCCATGACTTCGCGCACTGTTTGAAGGCAACCTAGAACTAGTTCATCTCTTCCGGTATACCTTCGGTTCCGTTCCGCCATTTCAAGAAGGGTTGTAGTATGAACAGCACATACTCGTCTTCCATTCACGGACGTGCAGCTCGATCAGCCGAGTAATCGCTGATCTACGTGGTGACCTATCTCGATACTTTTCTTAATACCGCCACTTCCACTGTTGCATTTACTGACTAGACAGGAGGTAAAAGCTCAAAGCAGTTCACGTAGAGACTAGCTGGCGGTTGCGGGTTCAATGTACAACCAACCTCAGACGAAAATTTATGAAACCAAAAGATACGCACTAGGTCGATATGATCATGCACGCCCCTGATTGGCTTCAAATCGATCAAAGGCGAATGCGATCACGTAAGCACATACTGGACACTAATCAACAAAAGCCGATCGCGTTGCCCAAGAATACTATACTGTGTTTATCCATACATTAGCAGCACCACACTCTTTCTTCAGTGACTGCTGCTGTTGTATAGATTTTGCAACTTGATTCAGTTCTCCGAACTGAATGACTCATATCAAAGCGCGAGCTCCAGAGCTTGTTCCCCTATCTTATATTTAATAGCGTCCCCTATCCTTCGCACAAACCCCCTACTCTATCACGACTTCACCCTAATTACACGCACTATCAACACGACTAAAGACGTCCGACACACTCTTCCTTCGGTCGTCGACTTCGTCCGTTGATACTGCTGTGCGTGCTGCTGCTACCGCACTTGTAGTGCCCCCATCTCCATCATGGGCACGACCGCTAGCAGCTCCGCATCGCGTTCCAGCGTCTTCGTGCCTCCCCGCAGCAGAAGCAGCAGCAATAGCAACAGTACTTCGACCTATAGTGCAGGCAATTATAGTACAACTACCACTAGTATCAATAGTACCAGCTACCGCACGGGGTTCCTCACTGCGCTCCTGTCCAGTCGCCGACTGGAGTTCACGCTCGCCAACATGCGGACGCTCCACGCGCAGCTCACGCGCTTTGAAGTGCTCCGAGACGCCGATATTGTCGAGCTCTTGCGCGTGCTGGCGGAGTTTCTTATTTACTCGGACCAGCACCGCGTGTCGACCGAAGGTGACGACGATCAAGATGCAGCAGCGGCTGGTGCTGCTAGTGATACGTCCGTGGACGACCTGACAGGGACAAATGATGACGCAGGCGCGTTCTTTGACTACTTTGGAGAGACGAATATGCTCGCGCTGTTTGTGGAACTAGGGGCCAGTGCACCATCAATTGCTGTCCAAGTGCAGTTACTTCAGACGATGAGCATATTGGTGCAGAACATTGCGACCCGCACGTCGCTGTATTACATTTTGAGCAACAATCACGTGAATCGGCTCCTCGAGTGCCCATTTCTCGTCGATCAAGACGATGACGTGCGGGATTGGTACGTCACGCTGCTGAAAGCCTTATCACTAAGACTGAATCACGAGACGGTGCAGTTTTTTCTCGACACGCAGCAAGGAGGAGAGGAAAATATGGGCTTTCCACTCTATGCACGCGCGTTGGCGTTTGGACGCTGCAAGGAGACCATGGTGAAAGTTGCGGTCAAGACATTAACGCTCAATGTGCTCAATGTGCCGGATATGCGGGTGCGCCGGTTTGTGCTGCAGTATGACAACCTCAAGTATTTTCGAGACATTGTGGAGATCGCAAATGACTTGACTTTGATGATACAAGGACTGTTGAATACCTGGCCATGCGCAGCTGAACAGACAGCAAAAACAGCCACATCGGAGAAACTAGAAGAAGCAGTGGACGCGTACATTGACCACTGCTTTTACTTGCAGGATTTGCTTGCAGTGGATGTACCAGAGCTTTGCTACAAAATTGGAAACTTGCTATTTGCACGGCATGTCAGGTGTTTGTTGGCGGCTAGTATCCTGCCAAATTGCGCACCTCCACCGCAAAGAGTGTCGACACAACTGGCGCTCTACTTGCTTAGTCGACTGCTGGGCATTTTGGAGCATACGCCTCTTGTAAATGCGATTGTGTATATGATGCTCTCGTCTGATGCAGGTGAAAACTACGAGTACTCAAGACTAGTGCTCGGGGCTCGATCGTCACAGCAGCAGGACGGCTCTCATTGTCTGGAAGCGTTAGACACAAATAACGACGTTAGTAACCATGACGTCGATGACGGTGATGACAGTGAAAGCGATGATGATGGTGAAGTGGGTGATGACGATGATGGTGATGACGGTGGCGACGACAGTGAAGATGCTGATGGTGATGATCGTGATAAAGAAGGTGACACTTTGACGACAGAGAACTTGCCGCAATTGCTGTCTCCACAGCCTTCTATACGATGGGATGAAGAAGCACCGTTGATGCACACCTTTCGTCCCCATTCGGCAAGCTCGTGTGAGTCGTCGTTGTGCTACATTCAAACGCGTTTTTCCATGGGTGAATGGCCGGACGACGAGGTGAAGGCCTTTGTTCCGCAAAACGTCAATTGCTACCGCCAATCTTTTTTGTCACTGCTTTGTTCCAGTGATGAGCGCCTTTCGACTACGGCCGTGATGCTTCTGCTGGCCATTGTCAATAACAAGGCCGCTGATCACTCTCTATTACGCGAGCTGGACCTGCTACCCTTCCGTTATCGCCACCGACAACGTGTCGATTGCGATGATAATCGGGAAGTTGCGGATGACCGCGAGGCTATTGTGCCACAGTGCGAGGCTGAAGAGAAAGTTGGGATTGGAACTTCGAATCCACCAGTCACTACACACGTCCCGTCTTCGTGTGATTGTTCTGGCCCACAAGAAAATGTTGACGACGATGCAAACGAAGCTTTTGAGATTAATGATATTGGTACAGAAGCACCAAACGAAGATGACGATGAAGTGTCCAGTGCCGCCGGATTCGGTCGTGATCCGTCATTCAGTACAGACGAGTATCCTCATTGGCTGATCGACTTGATATTGAAAGTTCTTGCGCAAAACCTGACCTCGCGCTTGCTTAGTGTGCAACTGTGCACGCGTGTGCTAGTGGACATGATGGTGGACACGTGCACTCCGACTTTGCATTGCCTTGTTCAGCACCATGCTGCTGCGCTCAAGAGTATCCACTCGAATAGCGCACGCCTTACTGCGGAGAGTATGCGGGGCACTATGGCTGAAGTTGATCTATTTCTGTACGTGTTGGAGAAAGAGGTGGAAGCGTTCCAGCGTACAGCCTTCCCGATGGAGTTGCAGCTAGATTCTTCATCGCCGTTTGAGTGCCTCATTCCACTTGAGACGGCAGAGGCTACAACCTCTCTGCCATGGGCTGGTATCCGGGACACGTTGGCTCTACGTTGCCCCGTGAATGACATCGAAGTATGCCGCAAATCTGTGCGAGTATTTCTCTTGTTGCGGAAACTGCGTGAACTCCTGGACGCAAGCTACGTAAACGATGGTCTGGAATGGCTAGTTGCTAACCGGCACCCGCGTACTAGTGTGCTCGCAAGTGCTGCAGCTGGAAGGCACCCGTGCACTGTGGCGTTGGACGGGATGGTATCTATCAGGTGTATGTATCGTGAGCAGCGCTTTCTGCTGATGCCTACGAAGCTTCTGATGGTAATGAATCCCGAGGCATTTGTACTCATGGAGAAGATTCCTGATCAAAGCAGCGATAGTAGTTCGCATGACGGGGAAGGAGAAGGTGTCGTTAGGATGTTTGCACCAGTCCACCGTACGTACTGCAAAGTGGATCCACGAGACGATCGAGTGCTACAGGTGTTGGTGCGCTCTGCAGTGTCTGTGCCAGGTTGCCGAAGTGCCCGAAAAGACCATCAGGACGCATCAACATCAGGCAAGCTTCAGGACTGGCATGTGTTGCTGATGTTTCCAACTTCAGAAGATTGTGCTCAGGCACGAGCGCATATTACAATCAGCGGGACTGAGGTGCGCGCATTCAAGCTGCATCAGATTAAGAGAAGCTTCACCGCCCATCTAGAGGTGACTCAGTCGAGCAGCAATAATGAGCGGCAAAGGTCGTGGTTTACGAACGTCGAATTTGATGCAAGTATTAGTGAAAGTGGCGACAAAAATGACGGCAAAAGCATTGAGATCGAGACAGGAGGCGAGGACAGTGAAATTAATGATGACAAAGAAGAAGGAGAAGGAAGAGATGAAGATGAAAGCGAAGCGGGAAGGAGTGAGTGATGAGGACTGTCTACTAGCTGAATGTCGAGCCAATGTGAAGCGCGACAAAAACATCGCCGAGGATGCAGTGTCATCATTGCGTCATAGTGGACGCATGGCACTCTCGAGACCGCTAGTCATGCAGGTACTACCTCACCTACATGACTTCAGCTCCAGTCGCCACTGGTATGAACGCCTGACGGCTGTTCTTTTACGTTAATGCAGGGACGAGCAGCAAAGCTATGGGACCAGGTGACTCCTTTGTGTTCTGCGAGAACCCACTGATCGAGAAGAGAGCGAGCAACAAGATCGCCGTTTGTATGGTGCATGGGCGTGGAGCGTGCTATCCCGTGAATATGCGCGTTGTACCAATCAGTGTCGTGTACAAAGTCCCGCAGCGGTGAACAGCTTGTCGACCACGACAGCACAATACACTGGAAGCTGTTGCTGTAGAGGTGGCGTGTCGTTGGATCTGCTCGCCACATATGATGCTGACCTTGTGTACCAGAAAAGCTTGAGTGCTTCCTCGATGGAAGTTTGATGTCAGGCAGCACGGACAGGTAGATGATTGCTCGTTTGCTGTTTCAGCACACTCAACTTGTCCCGGAGCGAAGCAGGTGAACTCCAGACCGGCGACACTTTGCGCTTTGTGGCGGTTCGCAAAGCATTGGTGCCACGCCGAGCGCATGCGGCTGTACAAATAATTGAGAGCTCTTGCAAAAGCATGTCAGCGTCGCGAAGCAGCTGGGCAGGCGTCGATGGCATGTGTCCCCTCCAATTTCGCAGATTATACCTTGCAGGGACGTGTCGGGTCCAGCATTTCGTTAGTTTGTTGTTTTCCGCATCGTTGAGTGATGCCGCATGTTCGTCTCAGTGTAGTAAGTCGCTTTCGCCGCCATTGTTCAAATATACCGTACCATAGCAAACCAATTTGATCCTTCATTCTCACTTACGACGTTCTACGCTTGCGACTCTTTGCCTTCAAAATGCGTCTACCTTTGGCGTGCTGCGGTGCTACACCCATGCTGAATGTGCCATCAGAGGGGGCGGTAAAAGCGCCTGCAGTTGGAGCTCCAAAACCAGAAGCGGGGGCTGTAGTGCCAAAAGCTGCGTTTTGAACAGTGCCAAAGGCCGGAGCTGTGGGTGCAGAACCAGCACCCATGCCAAATCTGCCGTCAGCGGGGGCACCAAAGACACCTGCAGCAGGAGCTCCAAAGCCAGAAGCGGGAGTTGTGGCCCCGAAAGCTCCACTTGGAACAGCGCCGAAAGCTGGAGCTGCAGAGCTAGAACCAACATCCATACTTGAGGTGCCATCACCAGAAGCACCAAAAGCTCCTGCAGCAGGAGCCCCAAAACCAGAAGCGGGGGCTGTGGCGCCAAAAGCTGTGCTTGGAACGTTACCAAAGGCTGGAGCTGCAGGAGTGAAACCAAATCCAGAGGTCGGAGTCGGAGGACGGTAGCCAGAGCTCGACGGGCCATTGCCGAATCCACTGCCTGCCTTAGGAGCACCAAATGTTGTGCCAAATCCACCGCTTGAGCCACCAGGTACGAAGCCATTAGAAGCTGGAGCACTTGACGCACCAAAGGAGAATGCCGGCTGCTGGATATTCGTCGGTGCACTCGCTGCTTGTGGTTGACTTGATCCTCCAAAAGAAAATGGCGCTGCAGCTTTAAACGAAGATGTCGAGCTGCCGAACGGCGTCGAGGGAGCAGCAGTCGACGAACTACCGAAACCTCCCACGGTAGGGCCGGAGTTGACGCCACCAGATGAGCTCGATCCAAAAGCTGACAACGTAGTACCAAAGCCCGTTGGAGAAGGCGCCCCACCGAACGCTGTAGATCCCGCTGGCTCGGCTGACGACGCAGTATTAAAGCTCATTGCAGGTGCCTGGCCGAACGCTGAAGATACCACTGGTTTAGCAGACGACGAACCAAACGTGAACGCAGGTGCCGACGCAGTCTGGGAAGTCGACGTCCCTGCAAGAGGTGTTGCTGGCTTGGACGATCCAGAATCAAACGCCTGGGACGCGGTACGACTTGCAGGGGCGCTGCTGCTCGCACGCATCGTTGGCGTCTGGCCGAAAGTAAAGCCAGCAGAAGCTGGAGCCGTAGCTGAAGACGGTAGCGCCGAAGAAGCAGAAGCTGGACTGGCAGCCGTAGCATTGAACGAGAAACCGGTAGTAGACTTCGACCCTGTGTTCGATTCAAAGCCAGTGGCAGGCGTGGTAGCTGCTGTCGACGACCCAAAAGCAAAGCTCATCTTGGCCGGCATCGATTCCTTAGACTTTTCATCAAGCGCAACGGTAGCCACTTCTGTGGAGCTCGAACCAAGATCCATTGCGGAGGACTCCGCCTCCTTCAGTTCTGCTGTAGTTGAACCACCAAACTTGAATGAAGGCGTCGACGAAGGTGCCGTAGCAAATTCTTCCACAGATACCTGAGATGGCGCAGAAACCGCGCCAAAAGAGAACGCCGGTGCCTTGGATTTCAGATCAGACGCACCGAACAATCCGGCCGGCTGCTTCGTTGGGCGGTCGAATTCCTTTGGGCTCGCTTGCGTCGGTTTCGGAGCCGCAGCAAAGCTGAAAGCAGGTACCGGCTTCGGTGTTGATGCTTCAGTGCCATCAGTCTTCGCCACGCCGAAGCCAAACGCCAAGGCGGATTCCTTCGGCAACAATTCGATCACTGGGGTTTCAAATCCGCCCTTACTACGGCTCTCAGCCATGCTAGCACTAGTCGTGCCAAACGCAAAACCACCCGAGTAACTGGGTGGGTCCAAAGTCTTATTTGAGCCGGACGTTGACGCCGTCGGCACACCAAGCGAAAAGGATGAGATAGTGGCAGCTTTCCCGGTATCAGCAAAGGGGTTTGACAGAGTACCATCAGTCTTCGTCGGAGGAGCCGAAAATACAAACTTGATCGCAGCAGTACTTCCAGAGGCTTCCACCTTTGTGACCGGCACAGCGGCTGTACCAAAATTGAAGTCGACGGTATTCTGTGTACCCGAGACAGCAGCAGGGGTAGTAAATGTGTACTCGACTGGCGTGGCATCAAAGGTCGGCTTACCAGCTTCCTGAACCGCGCTAGCCACCGGAGCACCAAAACTGAAACCGTTTGGTGTGATCGACCCGGTAGGAGCTACTGTACCAGTCTTAGAACTTGCATCTTGAACCCCGAAGGAAAAGCCACTAGGCGTAATCTTGCCAGCAACCGGCTTAGCAGCACCCTTCTGTGCGACTGCAGTGGCTTCGGTGGCTTGACCAAAGCCAAACCCACTCGAAGTACGATTTTCAATGGCCTTGGGCAGTGCAGTACAAGCCTTTGCAGTGCAAGCCTTTTCTGCAGCACCACCATCAGGCTTAGCAGTTTCACAGCATGGACATTTGGCACTGGCGGCCTCATTCAAGACGCTGCATCCCGGACACTTCCACTGTCCAGGTTTCAGCTGCATAAATCGAGCAAGAGGATTCACAGTACCACTGGGAGAAGCAGCAGGAGTAGCGGCCGCTGTATCAGTACTCGGCTTTGTAACCTCGGCGGCTGCGACAGGTTTCTCTGCAACAGCCTTCGATTTATCGAGCCTCTCCACCTGTGATGGGTTTGACACCCTTTCAGTCGCCTTCGCCTCAGGCACTAAGGCAAGTGGAATAGCGACATTAGCATCCTGCGTATTTTTTTGGTTGGACACTTTGACTGGAGGCTTGCGCAGGCTGGGTGGAGGAGAAAACACAAATCGGACACGAGTACCTTCATCATCTGCCTCAGCGAGCTTCACTCCTTCGATATGAAGCGGTAGTGTGAATTCAAACCCGCCAATCGTCTCCGTCAGTTGCCGCTCAGGAAACGTTCTCGTGGTGGCAGGTGCAGGGGTCACCGACACCACCTGAGGCGAGAATAACGAAGCAACAGCATTTGACTTGACAATCGCGCTTTTCGAAGACTGATCAGGCGCGGACTTCGATGCAACACCAGAAGGTGAAGAAGCACGTTCCTCGCAAGACTGCGGGAACGCCACGCGAGGAACTGTAGCCGTTGGAGGAGGTACGTCATCGCTGCCAATAGCCAGGCTCTTATCGAAAGTCGTCGTCTTGGTACCCGTTCGTGCTGGGTGATACTTCGCCCACGACGCGGTCGTTGAAGGTGCCGGCTTTTGCGCCTCTTGCGTCTGCACCTTGTCCAGCACCGATAGAATCTTGCCCACAAGTGCATCAGAATACATCTTGCTCGCAGAAGCATCGCGCTTCGGCAACAGTGAAGAGGGGCGTGGCTTACGCAAACGGCGCTCCTCACGCGTCAGCACTCCGCATAGACTAGTGCCTGAAAACGCAAGTGATCCATTCTCATGGGTTTTTGGACGTTTGCAAAAAGGTACACGGCTCTCAACCACGCTCTCTAGTCCACGTTTCCGCTCGGACTGACCGCCATGGTTCTTTGCAGAGCTTGAACCAGGCACATAACCTGGAAAAGACGTCGCGCCAGGAAAGCCTCGTGTAAAAGGGCGCTCGAGCCCATTTGCCAGAGCTGCTTGCGTCCTTGCCAGCTGTTCTTGAGGTGTTGTCTCCACCATCTCGTGCAGTTGGTGCTGTAACCGCTCAAACTCATCCAGTGTAATTGTCTTCTTCTGTTTAATCACATCCTGCGCCGAGTCAAGCGGCGAAGTATACGACCGTCGCTCCTGCTCTTGCGAACTGGATGACCGTCGCTCCTGCTCTTGCGAACTGGATGACCGTCGCTCCTGCTCTTGCGAACTGGACGACCGTCGCTCCTGCTCTTGCAAACTAGATGACCGTCGCTCCTGCTCTTGCGAACTGCATGACCGTTGCTCCTGCTCCTGTGAACTACCGAATTGCAGTGTCTTGGACGGTTGCGAAAACCCAAAAAGACGCCGGCGCTTCTCGCCACGTGGCTGCTGCGACCGACTTATACCCAAACTAAATTTTCCGCTTTCCTTCACACTTTCACGAGACGGCGAGCGAGAACGACGACAATTGGGTGTCAGCGACCGTCGTCTAGGAACTCTCTCCTTCACATGCCCAGCCAACACCGTCGACCGGGTCACAGGCGACACCGACACATCCAGCACCTTCTCAAGCATCTCCTGCTGCTGCAGCCTCTCCACATCATGTTCTACTTCCACTTGACTCTCCATCTCACTCTCATCCTCCTGCTTCTGCTCCTGCTCCTTTTCCACACCACCCGACACTGTCGTTTCCATCACTTCAACACCTTCAACCACTGCTTCACCGCGTCCCTCATCGCTCTCACTCTCCTCCTCGTCTGCAAAGTCCTCCTGTGTCGTCAACCCCTCTCCCTCACCCGTCTTCCCCCCCACCTTCTGCTCAACTCCGTCCCCGTCTTCAACCTCTTCCCCTTCAATGTCCTCTCCAGTCATAAACTGCTTCACAATGGGAATGTAACGCGCGACACGCGCGAAAAAACCGCGTTCTGGAGCGCGGCTATGACGTAGCGCGTTACTGTCGTCCGTTTTCTGGCGCTTATACGCAGTAAACGGCGTCTTGTCTTCGCGACGGCGGTGCCGCTCGTTCTTCTGATCGCGTTTGCTGTCCCGGGGCTCCGTCGGTGACGACAGCGACGTCTGCATGGCCAACAGAAGAGCGCCGAGGCTGGGATGGACGGCCGGGTGGGTGGGATGTTCTCAAAATGAATGATTGAATTAAGGAGAACTATGAAAGACAGAGGGTTTTTATCGATTTTGTGTGGGTGGGACGAGGTCGACCGGACGATCGACTTGGGATTTGTATGGGGAAACCGTTATTCGTAGTGGGGGGGGGCGAAAAAGTCTACGTATTCTGAGCGACGAATGGACGTGACATTGCACGCTGGTAGGTTGGTAATATATATTGTAGTTTTGAGCTGCGTTTGGGGACTTTTGTGTTGGCTTGAGCGTATTTGTAAGGTGGATGCTCGATAATTTACAAAAAGGGTGTCGGGTTTTGGGACCTATGACCACGCACGAGTCAGACGTCGTTTCGACCAGTCATTTTTAGGCTGAAAATAATGAGCAGCATGGTTGCAAATAAATAGGACCGTAATTTACTCGAAGTTATGCGCGCTTTCGACGCTCGGTGTATCAGCTCACGACTAAAAAGGTCTGCTGATACTGCGACCAATTTCCTTATTTTTACAGAAACATGTACACTAACGAACCCAAGACACTACAAACTATGTACCACAAGAGTGAGAGATTCAAAAGTGCGTTGACACACGTCAACATGGTTAAAATCTTCGTGTGGGGTGAACACGAGCATCTGGCCATTGACCGTAAACTCCATTCTACTCGCAGTTCCTTTCACTGAACCGCGTTCAAACGCCTTTGGACTACCAATTATGGCTGACTCGGCAGACTCACTTTCCATTCTGTTGAACACCAAAGCACCTTAAACCTTCAGGCATTCACCATCATAACTTATCACGTTCTAGCAGACATCATCGAGAAGAGTCAGGACAAAACGGTAGAATGGGCCGCAAGGCTGGGCTGCCCACTGCTCGTGGAGTGCCAGCCGTATTGAAACCAAAAGAGAAAATGTTAACCAAGTGGCATACATAGATGTGCGCTGACTCAAATCGATGACCCGAGCAGGTTCTTTACGGAACGAAAACTACTGTTGATGGAGGTCCGTCATGTGCAACTGCTTTTCTGACCAACAACCGAATGGTGCTAAGCGACTTCTATAAGAACCACGACTTCTGTCGTACGACTTCACTTCCTAAACCCAGCTGCTGGTGCTTCCACTCGCGAAACCGGCTCCATTACCGGGACGTAGCCGGAGTTGATCTCGTACTACATGGTAAAGCCGTGCAGCACCAACGTGACGACATGCTTTTCTTAAGATATCAACTGTCTCCATGTGAGGCGACAATTTTCAGCTGCAAAAATAGCGAGATGTTCAAGACTACATGAAATTTCGAAAGTGGTCCACCCTTATCCGAACAAACGCATCCGAATCAAATCAAAATCCCGCAAAACATCCCAAAGTCAGTGATTCTACCGAATCGCAACAACAAAACACAGTACAAGTTTATCCAAGTACACAGTTGAAATTAATTAGCAACTACAATTGAGTTTAGCAGCCTTAACTTCATACTTAACAGGTCAACAATTCCATGCACAGTGCCCCGACTCCAGATGATGCACAAGCTCTTCGGGATATCACACTCGCTCATGAACATCTCGTACGTAAATGGATACAAAAGTTCTAAAGTTTTGCCGCAGAATCGCACGTGACAATTTGGGGTAACTCGGGGATCAAAAGATGATCTGCTTCTGTGGAGTGGACAAGGAGTCAGACGTGCCCACGCGAGTGCTGGAGGAGGCAATTCAAAAGATTGTGCGCATTAAGCTGCAAATGGGGGACAAGGTGAGCTGCGTGACTATTGGTCAACAGAGAGGCATGAGGTGGGTGCTGGTTTTCTGACTCTCCTTAAATTCTCTCGTAGCACCTAATTGGCCTTGCTAAGGAACAGGGATCGACGTTTGTGGTCGAGCAGGAGGTATCGTTTATTTGTTCAAAGAGCTACGTGGATCGTGATTGTATACGTGTTTTGATGAGGTGTTGGCTGTGTTTGGTGACATAGTTTACGCGAAACGTGGCTGCTCTAGTGGCAGCTGTTCCAACGGTCCTGAGCTCAGCTGGCCACGGTGATGTAGTGGACTTGGACGCGCTTCTAGATGATGCTGTTCGCTACTTTAGTGCACATCGAGACATGGTTGGATCAAGTATTGTGCATTGCGCAATGATTGAAGGCTACTAATATCGACATCTTGTGCATGGATATGCAGGAACGTCAGGCTACCTCGTCATTTCGTCTGCTGCTGGTTTATAGGCAATTAAAACAGGTCCGTACGCACTGGTCTGTTCGCGTTGATTCGCATTGGTAAACACGCGCGATCTTCTTGTCCTCATCAGAGCCCACAGATCCGTGTCGTTCAGCAAGAGACACCAAACAAGTTCATCACTGATCCTGTCTTTCATTTGGACGTCATCTACTGGCATCAAGATGTCTCGCTGGAAATCGCTCAGGTAGGCCATTGGCACCTAGATTTACTTGCTTTGTCGGTAACGAACGAACTCAAGTGCTGTTGTCCTGCTTAGCACGTGTTCGACCAGCTCTGCTCGTTTGACAACACCAACCCGTTGGCCAAATTTTACTTCCAAGAAGTTAGTGGATCAGTCGAGAGATTGCACCAGGTACGACTAGTCTTTGTTATTGTATGATTATGGTGCACGTCGGGAAATTGGTCGCGGTTAGTAGGAAAAGCGTGACTGTCGTGTTGGTACCAAATGGCCAGGCCCTCGTGCTGGCGCTGTCGCACCCGGCACATCGATCGAGTCAACGTGCCGCTGATCAGTTTCTGAGTTCGTGGTTCTCCCCGAGCAAAACTGTCGATACTTTCAGGCAGCAGAATTAAATAAATGGCTGGTCTGCTGACAGTCGTACGAATCGGCCTTGTCTGCAGTCGTTCTCAGCGCCAATGCCAAGCTCAAGGGCTTTGTCAAGTTGTGAAAGTCGTTCCGGTCTAAGTTACGGGATGTCTGCGAAAAAGTCCGATATGCCTTCGTTATCATCCAGATTGAAGTAGAAATCCGGATCAGTCTACGCACAGAGGTAGTTTACACAAAGTGGGGCGTGTACAAGTGTTAATATACCAAGCCAATCTCTGATGTGTAAACTGCAGACACAGGCATGCCATTACCTTAAGCGGAGCGAGTTTGAAGATCCCGCTGTCCGAATCGTATGATCTCTGCTGTGGGAAGGGCAGGGACGTACTCGCGGACGTTAGCGCCGCTGAGAAGATTCGCCCATTTTTGTACGCATTACGCGAGCCGCAGGCCGAACGCACCTGATCCAATGGAGGTGCAGGGCTATCAGGAGCTGCAGACTCTTCAGTTCCCTTTGCTGACGTATTGGCGTCCTCTGCCTCTTTTGCATCGTCCATTCGTCGAACCAAGTACACATCAACGGGCCCATCTGGAACAGACAGCAATGTTTAAAGACGTTATTAAGCAAAGTCGAGACACAGGCCACAGATTGTAATTTCTCTTACCTGAAGACTTGAGAAAGACTTGAAACCGGCGTTTCCCAGCGGGCATACCCTCGTCAGGATCAGGAACTTCAAGCGTTGTTCCTGGCGGAGCCTTGATCGCCATTACGCTCTGGTCTGCGAAGCTCTCTTGCCGTCTCATGTCATCGTGTGTAACATAGCAAAAGTTATCGAAACTACCTTTGTCGAACGCTTCTTCTTCATACAGACGTCGAATGTTCTGACTGACTATTTTGATATGCTGGTCATAATTGAGCTCTTCTTGCCTCAGATCGGAGATACTTTGTCGGAGGTGGTCTGTTCCTTCAAAGCTATCAGTTGCACTTGTGGGCCTGCTGACACCCCTAACAAACACCACCGATCAACAACCGCGTGAGTACAGCAATACCAAAAAGGATCTCGTAATTGCTCAACAAACGAAGCTATTGCTGAGCTCCAGTTGACGCACTTCCAGTGTATATTGTTCTTGGACGTCTTTTCAATCAGTCCAATGCCTTCCAACACATTTGTGATATCATATATTCGTCGTTTCTGTCAGCATACAGCAGACCAAAAACCAAATCAACAAAAACCACCCATTAGAGCTCCCACAGCACAGCGTCAAGGACAGCGACATTTTACCTGTACACCAAGTGATTCAGCTGCTGTATTCAAATCCAAGTCCTTCGACGGTGCCGATTGAATGAGCTCGACAAACCTCTTGGTCAATAATCCTAAGGAATTATCGTATCGACTCGCTGGAGACGGCTTCAGTCCTGCTGCAACCAACGTGAGCACGCACACACACAACAAGTCAGACATAACACACCATGTACAACTCGCATTCAATAATGCATGAATTATCATCGAACGAACCTCGAGCATGAGGACTTGGCGACTGCAACTTGGACGGTGTCACTGCAGACGCCAGTGCTGTGGCGGCTGCTGTCTGCTCTGAAGCGGCAACGGGTATTGCCGCTGTATCTTGGCGTGCCTTGGGTCTTTTCATCGTTCGCTTGAGCTCTTCACTTGAGCTTTTCGCCTTGGCCATCACGTCCGTCCGGTGTCCGCTTGGCTGCAAGATACTTGCTGGTGCTGCCTGCAGCTGCAAATGATTGTTTGTTCCAGTAGTCAGCAGGGCTGGTTGACGCAAACCTATCAGAGAGCATACCGATTATTACCGACCGGTGTGCAGTCGGTATGCGGACACATAAGAACAGGCTCGACCGCCCCACAATAAAAGTGCCACATCACCCGAGCAAACCGAGCATGGGCGCCTCAAGCAGCGCTGAAGCGAAGGACCTGGACGAGGAGATGGTGCTCAATGGTGCGTGCTACTAGTGACGACTGTGCTACTTTGTTGCTGGCCTGTATGTATGATGCATATTGGCTGTTGATTGCTCATGAAGGGGAGAACTGGTTTTTTGGACAGATCTCCACATCGAGACGGGCGACCAGACTGCCGTCAAGAATCTGTTGGACGACACGGTTGTGGAGTTGTTCAAGGAGAACGAGGACTACACGCTGCATTATGGATGGGACAATGCCAAACTGTTGCTCATGCTACTAGCTGTGGTGCTTGCGGCCATATCGCACTTTTTCAAGCATCCCGCGATTCCCGAGCACATCATCACCTACTCCTGCGTGGCTGGGTAAGTTCAAGAACTTGCGCTCTTCTGCGCTCTCCGTTCGGTTGTTATTCAGCTGGCTGATGGTTGTCTTGTTGTGACCGTGTATATTGCCGAGCAGCTTTTTCTTCATCCAGGCGCTCTTGGCCATCTACGCCACTTTGATCGAGAAGGACATTCTGCTGCGGCTGACGCGATCGGTACGGACTGGCTGCTAGCACTGTATACTTGTGGCTGGATTGCTGACGTCTTTGGTCGATTGAACTGCAGGGATCGGCAAGTACGACCATTTTCGTGCGGACGACGTTTCCGTACACTGAATCGCACTATACCGTCTGCATTCACCATGCCAAAACGACCGGCAAACAGAAAAAGGAGGAGCTGTACGTTGGGCTTTACTTTGACAAGGACGGCTACTTCAACAAAGAGAGCTTCACAAAAGACGTTGCGGCCATTTTGTCACGTTTTGAGAAGGAGGACAAGAAGCAGTAAGCAGGCAAGCAGCTGGATCCATTGCAACTCCAAGGCGACTGACTAGATGTCAGCTTCAGGGTTCTTGTAGGCTACCATAGCGTCGACCTTGTGAACCTACATCGCATGAGGAACGTGGTTTAGTGACTAAAATACGTTGAACAAACTTTGTTGTGCTCGCACCTTTGTGGAAAACGACCGCAAGCGCACTTCCGCCGAGTCCTTGATGTAGCGAGGGTCGGACTCTTCCCATAGCGGAGGCACCTCAGAGTTTTTGTCCGTATACACCAGCAGGTCGAACGCACATTGCTCTTCCAAAAGAGGTAAGAACGACACACTCGCTGTGATCTGCCGGATGATTGCTTGGATCTCAGCCATGATCTCCTTCTTCGGCTTGGACGTAGGTGCATTGCCACTACGATTCCGTACACACAGCCCATCTGTGTTAGAGATACGACGAGCACACGAGATGTAAACATACACATACATCGCACGCGCACCTGCCACTTGTGCCGCCATTCTCCGCATGAACTTCGAACGCCCATCGCTCGACGACTTCCTGCGTCTCAATCCCAGTAATGACCAGCACAAGCTTCTGCACCTCACCTTTCAAGAGCCAATCTGCGTGCATCCATTCCGTTCGTGCTTAGCGTCACCAGCGCACACGCTACCGGATTTGATCCGATCCGATCCAGTGTCAGCACGGCAGTCAAAACAACGTACTCGACAGCTGCTGGAGGAACTTGGTAAAGAAGTCGTTGAGTTTATCGTCATCCGTCACCAGCATATTCAAGCCATACTTCTCCGTCTGCTTGAAGCTCTCTGCTGGGTATATACCGCGCTGGTACAAAATGCTACAGATCAACACATACACACGTGTTGGACTTGATTCGACTGCAACAAACAGTCAGCCAATCCGACCAAGACGCAGTTCCTACGTGTTGATGCTGTACGAAAAGAACTCGGTGACGATCTCCGTTGAGCCCTTGATGGTAATGAGGTTCTCCGACACCTGTGCTGTCGCCTGTATCATAAGTTGCAGATTAGCAAAACGTCGATACTGAAGCAGCAGCCCATTGCCAGTCATCAAACCGCCTGCTGACGCGCATCATGTCGTACCATCTGGCGCTTGGTGATCAACGCGTGATTGTGGAAAATGAATGCGCAAGTGTGAGCGTGTCCCTCTCCAATCCGATCACGTCAAAAAGGATGTACCCATTTCGTGACCCAGGCTGCACTTGAGACCATCACTCCTCGACTATTGTCTATCTTACCAACCAAAGTTGCACTTGAGACCATCACTCCTCACTTTTTCATTCCGCACGCTGCGCAAACCTGGACAGGAAGATGCCACACGACCGAGCCCAGGTAATCTGCTGCAGCGAGTGCGACACAATCGCCTATCTGTCTATCTGTCCGTCCATCTGTACCTGCGTCTGTCTTACTACGATTGTATAAAGCAGCAACGAGAAGAGCGCGAGCTATCGGACACGAGCGACGTTGAAGCGGAGGACGAGGAGCTGGTTTTCATGTCGATGCTCTACGATCGAGGCGAGTTAGGTGTCGCCATCTACAACGCCCTGACGACGAGTCTCAAGATGCTGCAGCTCCATATCGAAGATGCACAGGAGCTAGAGGAGGTGGCGTGTTGCAGTGGGCTCGATTGCTTTCTTGCGTAACGACTGAGCATCGCATTGAAACGCCATGAGCAACTTGCTAGATCCTGGACCGGCTGCACACACAGTTTGCAGTGCACCACGTGCTTGTTTCGTCTCGAAACGCGAGTTCAAACGGGATGCTCCGTATGATCAAGAACCTTGACGAGAAGCACCAGACAAAGACAGGGATTAGCATCCGAAAGGTGAGGTCTGACTAGAAAGTGACAGTACAGAGAGAGACTTGACTAACAGCTGACTTGCGGCTCTGTAGCATTCCGGTGAGACTATCCTTTTTACAGGTCCTGCGTTGGATTCCAAAGCTGCTTTGCTGACACGTTCGACCGCTTTGGTGGCAGATTTCAGCTACTTGAAAGCTAGTCAAGCCATTGAGCATGTCCAAATTGGGAATGCCCCTGCTGAGTTAAAGAAGTCTCAGACACGCTCGTCGAGGTACCCTTTGCATGGTAGTAAACGGAAGACTGCTAGTGATGGATTCAAACGTTTGTCGTACAGACGGGACGTCTACACGTTTCTCGGAAGCTTTTTTGATTTTGAGAGTACGCAGCTGATTCGTGCTACGGGTGGTAAGGACGCACACTGTCAGTTTGTTATACCAGTGCAGCATTGACGTTACTTGTGTAGCTTTGCTGCTGTATTTGTCCATCGAGAAGGTAGGCGGAGTCGATGGAGGACCGAGAAGCGTTCGGCATAATCACACTCGTTTGCTATCGCATAGATTGGCAATCAGTTGGATGATGTGAAAGCCGTGTATTTCTCAACAGTGGAGCAAGTTGCACTTGATGGGTTTATGTACATTGACAAGGCCACGCTCCAGTCCCTCCAGATATTCAATCATGTGAGTAGGGGCAAGGCAAAAATGCTGATGATGGTGGTGATACTCATTTTAGCCTTCTTGCATTACAGGAGGCACATCCTTCACTCGTAAAGGTACGCTGTGGCACGCACTCTAGGCTATGTTACGCCATTCTTATATGATTGATTGTACAGGGATCAGGGCGAGCGAAGGAAGGCTTCAGGTGCTGTTTCGCTGCTCAAACTGCTTTCATCTTTTACACCTGCTCATCAATTGTTTTTGCAGTCTATTCGGACTTCTCAACCGCACCGTAACCAAATCTGGCGCGTGTGTGTTGCGCCGTTGGATGCTTGCTCCACTGGTAAGCAGTGCACAAATTGACGAGCGTCACGATTCGGTCGCATTTTTTACGAATGCTGAGAACGACGAGCTTCGGCATCTATTGGTAATGCGTTGCACTATGATCAACCGAATGCTCAGAAAGATCTAACATGGCATAGTATGGAAAGCTGAAACATTTCAGAGACGTGGCTGGGATTTTTCAGCGCGTTAAGAAGCGCTGCGCTTCAGTCGGTGATTGGTGTCGTTTTGCCGCCTCCATTACGACATTTCTGGAAGCACAGTAAACATGGATTCAGAGTCTTCTCTATCTACGACGTTGTGGCTAAATCGTCTTGTATTCGCTGACGATAGGTCCCTTATCGAAGGCAGTAGCAATTCTGTCAATTCACTCCCACCCAGCCTGTTTGAAAGGGTAGTAAAAGAGCGAGGTGTTGTCCACATTGGTAACCTGCTGGGAAACGTTGTGGACTTCATCGAGAGCCAGCAAGAAAACACAGTAGTTATCCGGAGTGGTGTATCAGAAGCATTGGATGCGGCTCGAGAGCGCTATGAAGATCTTGACAATGTCCGACGCTGAGAACTTACAAAGGAAAATGCAACACTCACTGACTCGCACATATGCGCATGAACAGATTTTAGCAGAAGTTGCATTTCAGGTCCAAGAGGCTAATCCGATCCTGTCGTCGATCACGGTCCAGTATATCCCCCAAGTTGGGTATGTCATCTGCTGCGAGTCCCCCACAACGCTTCCAGACTTTGTATTCCAGTTCCAAGAAGATGACACAACGTTCTATTACAAGGTATGTCGCGTGCTTACCTATCCAATGTTAGCTATCACAATCCGTCGTTCGCTTATAATGTTGATAATTGCGTCTGCTTTAGGATACGAGTTGCCGCGACTTAGATGGGTCGATCGGGGACATCTACGGTGCGAAAATATCGACAAGACACTCGCATTTCTATTGCGTGTTAACACGTTGTGCATAATTGGCTACACAGGCTATCTGCTCGACACACAACGAGGTGTGAATACTTTGTCCAACCGAGTGCGGTACTCGAATACCAACACTTCGTTGTTACAGAAATCCTGGAAGAGTTGACGGTGGCATTATTGGAGTACGAGGGCAGCATTCATGGTTCGTTATACTGCAAAGATCATACACGTGTACGCTGATACTGAAAGTACGATGGTGGATAGAAATGACGTGGATCATGTCGTATCTGGATTGCTTGATTTCGTTCGCATCCTGTGCAAAAAGCTTCAATTTTACCCGGTATGGCATGACACAAACATGATTCTTCTCAGCTATTTACCCTTCTTCTGCTTCTGATCGCAGCCCCCAGATAAACGAAAGCAGCACCTTCAAGGCGACTCAAGCGCGTCACCCTCTCCAAGAGCTTTTAGTGGAGCACTACATTCCCAACGATGTTTTTTTGGATTCTACTCAATCGCTGAAAATAGTGACTGGACAAAATGGATCGGGTGAGTGAACGAGTCTTGCCGGTCTCAGTGCACACGTGTAGTTCAAGTATCACTTGACCAACTTTGTATCGAACAGGAAAATCTGTGTATCTGAAAATGGTCGGTATCATACAATACATGGCTCAAGTCGGATCTTTTGTGCCAGCGGATATGGGTACGGCATTTGCACAGCTCTTGCTTGAATACTTGACTCTGACGGTGTGTTGTAGCGGAGATTGGACTGGTCACAAAAATCTTTACCAGAATCCAGAGGTAAAAGGAGATGTTTACGACTATATCGCTATACGCATTGAAATGCTTACCTTCGTATTGCAAGTATGGAATCTGTAACGGTGTCGCAGAGCTCCTTCACAATTGACTGCAATCAGGTACAGCACGGGATTCGACTTCACTGTAGTGGGAATGTTTACTAATTCATGTCAGATGGCATGGATGCTCAACCACGGAGACGGTCGCTCGTTGTTTTTGGTCGATGAATTTGGAAAAGGTGTGACAACCACGATCCTTCTTCTCGATAATGTGCAACTTCTGATACCATCCTTTCGTGTGTAGGAACGGCCGAGCTCGATGGAATTGCTTTGCTCGTATGTACACTATGCTAACAAAGCGCCACAACTTATACTTACTGCCTTCTTGATGCCGCATCAGAGCTCGATCATCAACTACCTGGCCAGATGCAGCGTTTCGACTGGGAGACCTCGGGTTGTGGTGACGACCCATTTTCTGGTATTTCGGAGTACTTCCTCTTATGTTGCAACCAACGCTAACGCCTGCATTCAGGATATATTCCGCAAAAAACTGCTTGAGCCGTCACTGTTGATTGACCACTCACCATCGAAGAATGAGGAAATGCAATCCGGAAACTCGTCTGACACGGGTGGAGTAGTATGTACCGTCATGGCGTCAACCGATGCACCGGAATCGTATTCGGCAGCATCAAGCTCTGTTCCACTTTTTGAGCTGCGCCACGGTGTATCAAATCACAGCAATGCATTGGCATGTGCTGCAAAGTGTGGTAAGTGTATCAGGCCTTCACTACAATAATGGTGACAGGTTTTCTAAAAGGAACATATACCACAGGAATACCACACGCGCTAGTCGAAAGGGCTCAAGAAGTACTAGATTGTAGTAAACGCGGGTTACCAATATCGTCTCGACAGCAGACGGCAGGACCGTCACCCGAGGAGCAGCTTGCTGTGTTCTTCGCATCGATCGACGACTGGGAAGGTGCGGACGATGAAACTATCGCCAAATTCTTAGCTATTGCAAGAATGGGTATGCAATAAAATGGTGGACTTGATTTTTACTACAAAGGACACTGCTTGTGCAAGTGAGCGCTTCACAAACATGATGAGAAGGCCTCGAAGCAAAAGGAGCATTTCGAATGCCATTACCCAGTGCATGCTTCCACATCCACACTAAGCAGATCTTCGAGCAATTCTTTGTCCGCGTCAAAGGCATCAGGAGAACTGCCTGAAAAATCGTCCGGTGGTGGTACATCATCAAGCGCAGGATACTGTTCCTCTTTCTCCTCTTGCAAGCCATCTTTCTCAAATTCCTGAGACCACCACGGAGAAGGAGGCTCTCCACTTTGCAGCATCGCTCTCTCATCGCTCCAGTCATCAATATCAGGCGCAGCGTCAAAAGCATCACCGAGAGACGGCGTCGTGTCGTTGATGATGTCTCGTACGATCTCGTCGTGCACGTCTTGCGAGTACGCCAACTCTGACTTCAGCGGAGATAGCCCGCCGTACGCTAACTCGATCTCCTACAAGAACGCACAAGTCAAGCACAAAGTGGGTACGCATGCATGATACATACACCCATCCAGAAATCACTAACCGGCGCTTCCTCCACACGTAACGGCTTGACCTCTGTCTTAGACTTGAGTGGCGTGACGCCCTTCGTTTTGAGTGGAGTCTTGACCTTCTTACTAGCCTCACGTTTCTTCAGCTTTCCCAGATCATCACTACCCGGCGTAGACTTTTTCGCTGACGCACTTCCACCGGGAATATGAGATGTCTGATTGCCCTGCTGTTTGTTGGAGATGTCGTCCAGCACCCGTCTGTTCCATAGCGTTAACAGACGCCTGTAGTCAACATTGATAGTGCAAGCGGTGACTCCCTTGCATCAGCAGCCAACCTCTTGTTTGACGATCTCTCTTTCAGCCCCTTTCGCCCTGTGGACTTTGAGTCGTCATGGACCACAAACCCACGCCTTGGTGTCCAGAAGTTGTCCTGACCTGAAGGTAAGAGACGATAGTCAGGAGCAGTCGTAACAGATAGGCACTAGCAGCGGATAGTGGGGAGTTACAATCAGTACCGGCAGTTTTTTTCAGTCTGTTCGCGCCATTGCTACTGCTGGCGGTTGAGTCCACATTCTCCTTCTGCGCTTGCACTGTGTTCATCGCTGCCCTGGCTTGCGTCGTCTTACAATTTGAATCAGCGAGACAGAAAAAACCGGTACGATTAAAAAAGGAAGTATTGCCAAAGCGAAAACTGTATTTGCGAGTACCAATCACCAGATTTACGTCTCAAATCTTCAAAAATTAACGACTTTTCAGAATCAGAGACAGTCTTTAGCGACCGGCCATCTTGTGTAGCAAAAGCCCCTTCTGCATTCATGAGCTCATCCAGTTGATAGCAATGTTTCTTTGACTACGAGTATGAAGAGCGAGAACGTGACAATGCCTGACACGAAATGATCATGTATCATCAACAGGAATCGTTGTTATTTAGTGAAGGCAACCGCGTCCATACACAACCAAGCAGGCAGCCTTCAAGATAGAAAAATAGTGGTGCTGAAAAGGAAGCAGGTTGCACCAAAGGACAGACAACGTTGCACAAGCGAATGTTTGTAGTTCATCGAAAGCAAATGCTCCCAAAGTGCGTTGATAATGCTCATCAATCAGCATACATATGAACTGAATGAGGCATGACGATGATATTGCCGATGTCACAGTGCAAGCTGACGCTAGACGCACCATCGTTGCTCGCAAATTAATTACAGTTATGGGTCGACTACTTGACCTGTTCCTGATGTGACGCATCCGTGTTTGTCGATTTCATTTTGTAAGCCCGAAGGCAGAAGCTATTAGTGACTGTGCGCAAAGTGATTGACAACATTCAGATACTTACCTTGGTACGTGTGCTTGTAAAGACGTTGAGTATTCCTCACACGTTGTATTAAGTGTGGTGCAGCGTCGCCCCTTATCATAGGAAGATATACATCATAGGTGCAGCTCTATGATTAGGTCACTGATTGTGTCCGCACAGAGTATGAGTCTCACACACCATTGCCTGCACATGGTTAGCTTAAAAATGACCAAGGGCGAAAAGTAGGCAAACAAGCAAATGCTTGGCACACATGGAAAGCATGGCACCTCACGCAAACAGTAAATGCAGTGTGGTTCTCCTCCGTAGTACTTGATATGCTCAAAGAGTAAGGAGTTATGGTCACCTTCGTTGCTCGGTGGCAGAGAATGTTGTCGTATGTGAGTATCTGATTAGAATAACTAACGATTGTCGTCGAGCCGGAGTTTCTTGTTGGCGGCGGTGAATCATCTCACTTTTCCCTTCTATCTCATTCATTTCTAGACAACATCCAAGCTCGTGCCTTTCACACACAACAACTCATTAGCACTTTAAGTACCGCCCACCGCACAACCCGTTTCCAAGTCGCCAACCACCCGAAACAGGCACGTGCAATTTCAGAACATGATCGAGTTCTCTGGGCTGACTTCCTTACATGTAGGAGTGAGTTCCAGAGCTTGCTCTAGTATCGTAATCCACCAGGTCAATCAGGCGATGCTTCGCCGTATCGTCGAGTGCTTTCGTCTTCTTTGCAGAAAGCTAATGGGGAGACTACAACGAGTCACTTTTCTAGAGCATACACTGCACGTTTTTTTGAATGTCCGTGATTTGTGGCGAAGAAACCAATGTGTGATTCCTAGCGCCATGCTATAGACTCTCTCGTAATTGCTCTGTTCCTTTTCTGCTGTCGTCAACCAGCATGGTATCAGCTTCGATGATGCAGACACAAGCTCACAAGTGACACTCGTTGCCTGTCAAAAGGATGAAAGAAAGCAAAAGACGCTACGTACGCTGACTTTGGCGTGCGAGATATAAACCGTGTTTCAGATACTCTTGAGACTCTCGTCGTGCAACTGCTACCGTAGATAGCATCCATGTTTACAGCCATGCAGGCTTACCGGATAAACAAAGGGGCCACGCAATCCTTGGCGCGTATCCACTACATGACTTCACGATGGAGCCAAAGCGCTCGCCCCCTGTTCGAGTTCCCAAGTGCCGGAAAAGTACATGCATACAGAGTTGCTAGGATCCACGAGATCCGGGCGAGCATCCTGTATCGGGTCTAGCACCTGAACGAACTACTTGTTTCTGTGACTTGTTACGGCATCAGGTACACGAGTCAGAAGGGTAGAGCAGTCAAAAGGATCAAGAAGTCCGACATGATTCGCAAGTGAACGACATGAATGTGGCGATTACCCTTGACCCGTTTTTTGGTCTACATATCCACGTCTCTGGTTGAGACTGTTCGAACGGATACAGTAGATACCTGGAACATGTTGGCTACTCTTGTCTCTCGATGTCGACTCCGTTCGGCACGGTATCGACCGTAGAGAACTTGGCTAGCTGAAGCTTGGTAGAAGGGTCACGGACGTAGACCTAGGCATTGTTGCAGATCGACCATTGCTGTCGCCACCACTTCACGTGCTAATGATCAAGCCAGGTAAACGTTAACAACGTGTCTTGTTGTAGTAAACCGATGATAATGCTGGGTCCATAGCAAGATGCACGATGAAGAGAGAGGAAACAATGCGTGTCAGTGGTAGTGGCCAACACGTCAGTATATTTCTCAGTTCACAAGTATCACCAAAGTGCGCATGCACTACCACAACTATCAGCAAAGAGTCGACTGCTGGGTGGGAGAACATCGGCGCGAACAAAGCTAGAGAGCGAGCGCGTCGCCAAAAGGAGAATCGCCATCTCTCACGTGAATGTTTCCATGTATCGAGTTGGAGATATCCAAATCGTTTGGGCTGTCAAACATGTGATGACGGTCAGAACTGAAGCTGTCTGATGGCTGGCTGCGGTACTGATGAACTGCTCCATGCAATGGATGAGAAACGCTGGCAAGATCTGAATGTGGTGACCAAAGATGTTATTGTTGAGTTAATAAGTACCTGAGCGTTTGCGGACACCAATGATGCTCGGGTCAAGTACGCCACCACATACGCGAGATACGCCCTTGTCAGCTCGAAGAAGGACAGGGCCGGGGGTCGATTTCATGTAGAACACCTACAGCGACGCAAAATAGCTCGGTATGATGATCAGCGGATAGACGACCGAGGCACACAACATGGACACAGGAAGGTCGTATGCCGATGCTGTCATGAAGGCTGTAGTCAGTCTCATCACCGTCACGTGCACAGATCCGTGTGTCCGAGATGTACTGCAAGTTCATGCAAAACCCATGGGAATGGTTTCGTGCGATTGACGAATTGCAAAGGCGTGAGCAGGCGTACACTTGTACATCACAACTACTGCCGAAGTTGGCATTAGCTCTGCGTACTGTGTCACAACTATTTACCGCAAACAGTTGCCTGCAGACAGATTGCTTACGGATGAGGTAGTGTACGTTACTGCAAGAACACCATCATGGCTTCACTTCTCTTCTCCTTGTCCTCATCAATAGCGCTTCGGAGCGTGGGGGTGATGCGACTCGATCTATCTCCTAGCACATCTCCCCCATAGCGCAAAACGTTTGTACTAATGCAGCGTGGGTATCAGGTCAGCGCCTGTAGTCATTTTGGGCAATCGAACAGGTCGGGTAGGTCGTCGGCTAAGTTGCAAGTCCAAAGGCTGCAATTACTAGTCGCTGGGCGCGAGGTGATTACCGAGCTTTCTCACATCATTTTGCAAACGGATGCAGTCCATGAGAACAACATCTCATGAGGCACCGCGATGGGAACGCCTTTGCTAAGCTGTTGCCAGGCATTCTCATTCGTTGAAGTATTGTCAGTCACCGCCCCACAGAACGTTGACGGCGCATAGTGATCAAATGCGCGCGTGATGCCCTGCGCAATCCAATTGGTGCTGTGACTTGCAGTCCAGTAAATAATGTCTCGGGGAAAAATCAGACCGTAGGAGATGTGGAGATGTAGATAATCATGAGGTTGATCTTGATGTTCGACCAGCTATCCGTTACCGGACATAAATGAGTGCCTTTCACGCGAATGCCGACTTTTGCCGTCAAATTGAATGAGGCACTTGTTTAACAACCCACCTGCGAGCTTCTCGTGACTCGGGATAATGTTCTCGTTAGGGCGCAGCACGCGTAATAGCTTCTTGTGGATAAACATCCTTAACGCGTGATAAAAACGACCTTGTAGAAGTGCATGGCGATGTGGAGCTGGATCTTCTCCATCTCCGACCGCGATAGCGAAGGTAAGCGAACTTCTTGATGGACCGCCGACCATGAGATGACGCAGAGATCAACATAGCCGTAACAACATTGCGCCGCATGAACGCCAGTTTTTGTTGTACATGAACTAATACGGGCGCTCCAAATTCTTGAGCCATTTGAAACGTGACGAAATTTGGAGAACTTGTTGAATCGGTTTACCGCAGACTCACTCCTTTTAAGATGATTGATAAGATGTCGGCAGTGTTTGTACACCGCCGCCTTAAGCTTATGCGGCTGCACAGTACCCGTGAAGTATCTTCATTCTAAGATCTGACTCCGGCTTGTATTCCTGACCGGCTCTTGTGCTTCATCTACGACTGGGACCTCCACCTCAACGACCAAATCATCATCCACTCCCTCGCCTGGCCTAGATAACACGCGCCATCATCGCTTAAGTCGGACATGATACGACTCATGTTTACGAGTGCGAGGCTGACTATAGAGTACTGCGCCATAACCAAAAACCAAGATTTTCAAGGATTTTCAACTCATCGGATGATTTTTATCAATAAAACCAATGAAAAAAACCGATGAAAAAACCTGGTGTTGCCAGCCCTGGTCTCGAAACACACGTGCTGTATCCAGTACGACCATAATGCCTAGATATCCGGATTCTTTTTGAACCTCAACAATATCCCGTGAACCTCCCAGGTCGCATGAAACCTCGTTGATTGCATCACCAGGTCAGCGCACCCTGAGTCTAATCCACCTATACTACTGCATACTCCTTCGACATCGCCTTCACTCTGTACCCCAACCCCACCACGAATCTGACTGCACCACCCACTTTTTTGCCAAGCAAAAGAGCTGCTCACTGATATGCGGTCGCCCCCTTCACTCGCTCTTCCGCCCGCTCCCCTCCGACCACGGCAAGGCACCACGTGGAACCATTAAGCAGGTCAAACGCAGCTTGCTCATGTCTCGCAGCTGGCTCGTCTCCCCTTCATTTCGTCCAATTCGTGACCATTTGCGCGTCTTTTCGTCCACCCACTGGACTCGTGAGACGCTGTTGATACCTCCTTTGGACTCACTAGGACCTAACTGTAGCCGTAATTTCGTATCTAGTACGAACAGCTCCAAGACATTGGCAGACGACCAAGTCACCGCCTCGGACTTTCTGCCGGTCGTGCCGCCCGCGTGTCTCCGCCTGCAGCAGACGAAGCGTAACGTGAATGCACGTCTGTCGTCCTTTACGGCCATGTTTCGAGACATGTCGCCATACATTAACTTCCACAGAGGGTCGACTATGGTCATCCACGTCCCTGGTCAATTGATTGATTCCGAGCTCTTTGGTGCAGTGATGCACGACATTGCACTGCTCAATACATTGGGCGTCAAGCTCGTGCTTGTGGCTGGCTCGCGTCCCCAATTGAATCGTCAATTGTCGCTTCGGAACCTCATGTCGAAATTTGATTGTGGGTTGAGGATCACGGGACGAGTCGAGCTCGAGTGTGCGCTGGATGCCGCTGGGTCCGTTCGGTTCCATATTGAAAGTTACTTGGGACGAGGGATTGTCAATTCCCCTGGACGGGCACGGACGATAACAATCTCTTCGGGCAACTTTATTACTGCACAGCCAGTTGGCGTGCGAGGGGGGGTGGACTACAAGTATACGGGAGAAATGCGTCGCCTGAATGTTGACAAGGTGCGCGCGGCGCTGGATGATGGTGACATTGTCTTGATATCGAGCATTGCCTACAGTGCCAGTGGCGAAGTCTTCAACTGTCTTTCCGAGCAGGTAGCGAGCAAGTGTGCGATTCAGCTTGAGAGCTCGAAGCTCATCTTTATGTACAATGGAGAGGAACTGCGGGACACGCGATCGAATGCAGTGGTACAGACACTTGTCATTGAACAGGCACAGCAGTACGTCGAGCTCGCACGGCAAGATCCGAGTGTTAGCGGTGACTTTCTGCTGTATTTGAAGGAGTCGATCAAGGCTTGTGTGAACGGTGTCAAGCGCTCGCATCTCGTGAGTCGACATGTTGATGGCGGCTTGCTGCAGGAGCTCTTTACTCGTGACGGGGAAGGGATTATGATTAGCAGGCACATGTACGAAGGAATTCGTATGGCCACCACCAATGATATTGTGAGCATCATGCGCCTCATCCAGCCTTTGCTGGACGACGACGTGTTGGTATCGCGCGACCAGGAACATATTGAAAGCAATGTGGAAACTTTCACGGTGGTAGAGCGAGACGGTGCTATCATTGCTTGCTGCACGCTGCAGCCGTACGAGGACAACTTTGCCGAGATGGGCTGTGTAGCCGTGGACCCGACCTACCGCAATTTGGGCAAGGGTAACGCGATGTTGGGCTATGTCATGCGCAAAGCAGCAGCCATGGGTGTTACCAAACTGTTTGTCCTGACGACACGGACATCGCACTGGTTCCTAGAGCGCGGGTTCGTGGAGGCCTCAGTAAAGGATTTGCCTCCATCGAAGCTGGCCAAGATCGACCTCAGACGCAAGTCGAAGGTCTACATTTGTGACATCAGCACAAAGAGGGCTTTGGACGAGAAGGAGCTGCTTCTTCAGATGGATTAACAGCAGACCTACCAACTGTACTGCTGACCTGTATAGTGCCTGTTGTATCGGTCAACGCCACCGTGAGTCTCCAGAACAGACTCAGAAAGTGAGCAGCAGCACAGCTCAACTCCCGACAGCTTGCATTGAGACTTCCGCCCAACGACGTCCGTGCGTTCTGTCGTGAGCTATCCCGACACAATTTGTGCAAGTCCGTCTCGCGCCTGACAAAATCCACGTACACCTTGAAAGCAAGAGCAAGAAGCCGTTTCGCGTTCGCAAACGCCTCAATGTCAGCAATTTGACATGACTCAGCTGCATCATCTACAGCTGCGCGTCCCAGCATAGTTTGCCGTGGCAGATCGTTACATCTGGACTCGTTTAAGTGTGATTTCTGCTGGGAGTAGTGAGTGTCATGGTAGCAAATGTGCGAAACGACGTTTAAACTTGGTTACGTCAACTTTTCCACAAGATCACACGTTCCGGACATTATTTCGACCAATTTATACATTTTTATCACTTCTCGATTGACTCGCCGTCAAATTGTCTACCTTGTCATAAAGTTCCGATCAGCTCCTCATATTTCTAATCACCCGCATCAAAACTCGTCACATTTGGTACCAAAACGTGCTATTTGCCGCCATTTAGAAATATGTGGCACCAAGTACTTTGCCGTGCAGCAGCTGCTTCAGGACCGTCTCGCGTCGCGTACCAGTCCCTCGCACGTCACCTTCTTCACTCCACGTCTTCACTCACCTCACTACGCGCTGTGTCATCGACACATTGCAGCAGCAGCCGCCGCCGCCGCCACCGCTTTCTCTCCACTCAAAGTGCCGACGGTATCAATGATGCCGCTGCAATTTCGTCCAATCATATTAGCGACTCGACTGATTCCGCCACCGCTGATTGGTCAGGAGCTCCTGGCATTGAAACGTCAGGTGACAAACTCGTCATGGTCTACACTTGCAGCGTATGCGAGACGCGCTCGGCCAAGACGATTAGCAAGCACGCGTACGATAAAGGCGTGGTGCTCATCCGCTGTCCTGGCTGTGAGAACCTGCACTTGGTAGCGGATCGATTGGGCTGGTTTGAAGACGACGACACGGACGTCGAGAGCTTATTGGCGCAAAAAGGCGAACAGGTCCGATTTGTCACTGAGGAAAACGTGCTGGAGCTGACGGAGAACGACATCCTTGGAACCCAGAGATAGGAGGACGTGACCTCATGGAGGAGGGGACGGGTGGACGCACGGGATGCAATCGCAAGGGCAAGTTCCGTGTTGTGTACAATCGAGGTCTCGACGAGCTATGGACTCTACCTCGATGAGCACCATGTTGTCCCTGCCTTGCTGCCTGCTTGTACACGGTGCTAGCTCCATGCTGGGAGGCCAGTTGTTTCTCTAGCTCAAACTAGCTGTGCTAATGGTTGACTGCTATGGTGCTGCTATTGTTCTGTCAAGTGCTGGAGCCACATCCGTCGACCTTCGCCGCGGAACATGACTTGCTCGTGCGTATTCACCTGTACAGAAGGATTGGCAGACGCAAGCTTCGTGGTCTTGGCAAGACGCGTCGAGTCAATCGTGCTTGTTTCGATGTGGTACTTGCGTTTCTTGATCTGGTTCTTGTGTCGTACCATGTGCTCGGACAAGTTCTCTTCTTTCCCATACGCGCGGGCGCACACGGGACACTTGAACCATCGCTTGCCGTTTTTCATCTCGATGATCGGCTGGAGAAGCTCCGGCATCACCACGGGTCTCAGGTCGGCTCCATTTGACGTCTTCGCTTGATCCTCTTCAGCTTTGCCCGCGCATTTGTGAAACTGCATACCACGGCGGGCATTGAACTTCATATCACACAGCGAGCACGTAAACGGATGCAGCTTCTTCTCGTCCACAGCCTTGTTCGGTAAGAGCGCTAGAGTTGCGATGCCCGCTTGCTTATGCTGACCGATGCGTATACCATTCTGTGCAGAATACATCTCTTTACTTGTCTCCATGTAAGCTGCAATGACACAGCCTGCCACCATCGCATCAAACTGGTGCACGTGCTCACGAACGTCACGAAATTCAGCAAACATCTTCTTGGCGCGGCTGCTCACGATCTCGTGCAAGTCCAAGTTGCTCATCGTGTGATCAATCAGGCGACACGCTTTTTGTTTCATCTACAACGACGCCATCCACGTGAGTAGGCTTTGGGCGCAACATGTTCCCATGAGGTAATGAACGACGGCCAAACCGTACCTGGTCCTTGTAGCCAATACGCGTCCGACGTTCATCCTTACCCATCTGACTAAGGTTCATCTCGACGAACTCTGCAGCCCGTCTTAAATTACCAGCCATTTCGCCATCCTAGATCAAACCAGCACGCGTGAATATGTGGTGCATTCCTTTCACCATTCACGCCATGTTGGTCAATTAAGTACCTGCGAAATCAGCGTCCGCAAGTTGTGTCCCGTCGAGAACAACTTATTCGGTGCAGGTCCGTGGTGGGACTTGTCTTCTTCGCCCTCAAACTTACGGTACGCGCTGCCTTCGTGCACAATGTGGTCCTGAACCACCGTACCACATCCATTGCCATCCATCCCGTTGCAGATCGTGTCACCACGCGCATAGTCAGTGATGAAATTGTTCTGCTCAGTGTTCCCGCATGTCTCGCATCGAAACCTCGGAGCTAGAGACATAGCACAAGAGATACCAACCACAAGCAGCTCATGTCATTCCTTTCACCTTCGAGCATAGAAGAAAAACATAACCACCAGCGTGTACACTAGCCCAGCAGCTACCTGTTTTCTGCTCTGCATCGAGCTCTGAGAACTCATCCGCATCCGACTTGCCCGCCTGCTTCATCTTCCGAATCAACAGCATCACGTCATCTACTTTAAGTTCCGGCACCAGTAAATTCACGATCCGCTCCTCCATTGGCAGCGCTGGTTCATCTGCTTGTCGAGCAGCCTTGGCTGCAGCCACACGAGCTGCTGCTTCTCTCCTTGCAGCTTTCTTGGCTGCTTCAGCCTTTTTCTTCTTGTCAACCTGCTAAAAGCATGGCAGAAAAGAGAGAAACAAGAGGTAGAGACGAAGAGATCGCCACTCTTCAGTACAAAGTCCTCCTCCTTGTTCTACAGCCAGTATATCCACCTAAACAAGAGAGAGAACCTAAAAAAAGAGAGAGAACCCACCGTAACAAGAGGTTGATCGTCCAAAGAAAGGCCGGTGCCCGTGCTTGTGACAGCTGTGGCCGCACCTCCAAAGCCAGCAAAGACGTCGTCACCTCCGCCATTGTCCAGTGCAGCAAAAAAGTCGTCAGCGCCAGCGTCAATGTCCATCGCAAAGGGTAGAATCGCTCGGGACCGTCAAGTGACGAGGTGCAGTGCCGGTTCTCCTCCTCTTCTTCTCCTTTGTATGTAGGTGGGAACGTCTCCGAGTGCGAGGAAGAGGTGCCAGGGGACTGCGACTCGAGTGGGGGCAGACGCGACGCGGCCACTTTGGCATTCCAAAGCGAATCGGCGAGTGAGGCAGCCAGGAGGTTTGGTGGACGGAAGTACCGTCGAGTGCCGCTTAGAAACGACACACACACACACACTCGATTTGTTGTCGGGTTGATCGGAAGCTAAACTCGATCAGCGAGTTCGAGAGGGGAGCTGTAGCCATGTTTGCGAAACCGTGAAGGGGGTACTACTACTACGACTCACTTGTATACTTTGTGGCTCTTATTAGTGCGAGTCAAACGACGTGAGCGTGCAAGTAGCTGGCTAGTTCAGTGACATTGGGCGAAAAGCACCGTAGAATAGTCGCAGGTGCAGTCAGACACGACTGTTAGCTGAGTGTCCGCAATGTGGTGACTTGCAGTGACGTGTAGATGAGTGTCAATCATATTTGATGGACACCATGGCATCCTTGACGAAATTATACAAAAGCGCGCTTTCTCTAGTGGACTGTAAACGGGGTGCGTTATGCACTTGCAGCTTCGGCAGTAAGAGCTTTCACGTGCTCGTGGAGCGAGTGGCGTGTGCTTTCATCATCTTCGTTGACACCAGAGCAACCGCATGCTACAACAAGAGGTGCTTGTCTTGATCATCTGCTTCAACCGTGGTGACCTCGTCGATGGGATCAGGATAGGAAGATAACTCGGACTTGAACAGGCGCAAGTCGCAAATTCGAATGGGTCGGGGTAGCGCACGCAGTTCCGCAAGCTCATTCTTGGTAGCACCTTTATGCTCTTGACGGGCTGCCTTTTCGGCCGTGCTACCACGGCCAATAACGTGGACGGATAACTTTTTGGGATTTTGCAGAATCCACTCGCGGAAAAGCTGCGCCATCTCACTCTGGGTCAGTGTTTCCATCTCCTTCGCAAGCTGGGCATTCATATCGAATGCAAATCGACGTGATGAGATTTCGTACCAGTAGCGTTGTGTCGCCTCGAGTAGGTTGTGGTCGGGCTCGAGTCTCAAGAGAATTTGCGCTTGAATGTGGTCCTGAAAATGCTCGTTCGCCATTACTTCAATTGCCTCTTCGAAGTCAACCATAAACTGATCGACGCACGTAGAAATGTAATCGGCACCGAACAGCGACGACTGAACCATCACACCGAAACCCAAAATACCGTTTGTCACACGAACAGTGCACGAGATATCGTACCCCAGCTCCTGTTTGGTGCGAAGGGTATCAAATAGTGGTTCTCCCATCAGCTGATGCAACAAGTCAGCGTAGGCCAGTGTGCGCAAAGTCAGTGGGCCGATCTGGTAGTAAAGCTCCACCTGCGTGTTCGTCTCAGACTTGTTCTCGCTACGCTCCTTCAACAGGAAGCCCATTGGAGTCTGTGGAATATTGCTGATGAGGCGTCGGGGATAATCACGCACAAGTAACGGCGCTGACACCTCTTGGAGCTGCTTCTCGACATTGGCGATCAATTCTAAAGCGACATCGTGCGGTGTGTTTCCATGTACAAAACCGGCGAGTCCAGTCTTGCCTGCCCATAGCTGACTCGAGACGAAGTTTTGCATAGATTCCACCGTGATCATCTCAAGCGAATTCATACACGCCTCCAAAGGAAACGAATGATTTTCCAAAAGTTGCAACCGGAGATACTTCGCTTTTTGAGCAACCTTCGTGATCGAATTTTTTGACTCGCGCAGCAACTCTTCGCGCATCACTTCGAACCGTGCTTTGCTGATTTCAGTTCCAAACAAAGCTGCAACCACCACATCGACGAGAAGGTGTAGTTTATCATTGAAGCCACCGAAGACCAATTCCAGCCCGGACTCCTTCACTTGGAGCGAATACATGAGCTCAGCTACATTTGCGTGGTACGCACACTCATTCAGCGCATCCCGAACGAGTTTGACGTACAACTGGGTGTGAACCCAATAGTTAACGTTGGCCACCACACTTGGCAAGTACAACATCAGCGCAACGTGTGTGCGAGGTGTGCCGAACACACGGTCCGGCTTGTACCATAGCTTCCCAAATACTGTTGTCTCGCACACAAGGTCCTCGGCTCCAGTCGTGTCAATGAGCGAGAAATCGCGCGGAATAAACAGATTTGGTCGAGGCAAATACAGCTTGGGGTTCATTTCTGCTCTACTCCAGCGCTGGATAATGGCATCTGCAATATCCTCTTTCGTGTACCGAACACCGAACCACTCTTCCTTGACTGCCTATTATCCCAAATGAGTCAAATTCCAATACACCAACTTAGCACTCTGTATGAGCACAATAGAACGACAAAACAACCCGCTTTTACCTTCGCCTGGAATTCAGAAGATTGTTCGAATGTTTGTGACACGATTGACAAACACACGGTGTCGGTGGTCAAATGATTTACGATGTCCTCAACAAGTTCTTTCTTGAAGGCGCCCTTGAAAAGATCGTAACGCAAGATGTCTTCCGGCGCGACTTTGAACATTGACTGGTACCGAGCGATAGAGTCAACCAAACGATAGAACATGGCATCTTACGGAATAGAATTCATGCATCGCATTGTGCGTACCTGCATAGTTTCACCCAGTTCTTCGCATCGTTCGACTGCGCTTTCATCTTCTTGAAAGCGGAAAGAAATGTCGGCCAGCGCTGCCAGCTCGTCGAACACCCACTCCGGACAGCCGTTTACTTTTAGCATATGCAGATACTCGAAAACAGCGTGCACGATTTCTTCCCAATGATCGATGCCTTCCAATGTCAGCTTCATAGTGATGTCAAACTTTGCAGCGTACGTGCCACAGTCGTAGCCGTCCGTGTCGGTCACACCGGCCGTCACAGCGGAAATCCAGCCCTTCTCCTTCAGCTATAACATGTACATCAAACACACCATGAGTGTCGCGTACAGACATTCGAGATCACGATATGAAGCAAACAACAAATTCGACATACATGCGACAGCACCGATCCCTCGCTTTCATGACCAAGGAGGCTAGCTAAGTAGTCCGCAGGCTTCTGATGATGTTGCCCAAGGACTGGTGGAATCATCCAGTCGAGATGGAGCGTGTGAATGTCCCGGACAGGAACAATCTTACACAAGAACGACGACACGCCAGCCCTTTTGGCTCCAAATGGCGGACCCGCTGAGTCAAACGACGGCACCGCCACATGCTTGTTTGGAATAGCACTAAACGACTTTGTCACCCACTGTTCCAACTCATCCAGCTTGTTTTCACCACACACGACGAGTTTCATGATGTTGGCCGAGTAGTACGTTTCATAAAACGCTAGAATGTGTTTGCGCACATCAGTTCCCGCCTTCTCCGGCAGTTCCTGTAGACTTTTTCGGTTTCCCCAACTAAACCGATGGTACGGATGATCAGCAGGTGACACATCGCACAAGACTTGCTGCACACGATGAGTAGCAAAGGACACACAAAAAACAATCAAAAGGTACAGTTTGATCACTACAGCACACAAAAAGCAGCAAAAATCGACCAGCAGTAGTAGCCCATGCATGTCCAACCTGCGTGCGAATCCTGTCGTTCTGCGTCGCTTGACTAAACTCCGACTCAATAGCCGACAGCTCTCGCTCCATGGCGTCTCTTTTAAGCAACGGCGAGATGAAAAAGTGGGCAAACATATCGAGCGCGAGCTCCAGATGGGCTGGCCCGACTTCAAAAGTGTAACTCGTGACTTCATTGTCCGTGGCTCCGTTGCTGTAGCCTCCATGGGCGCTCAAAAACGACTCAAACTCGTTCTCATCTGGGTACTTTTGACTCCCCATAAAGAGCATATGCTCGAGATAATGAGCAAGACCAGGCAGCGCGTCCGGCTCGGCAAAGCTGCCCACGCCAACAGTGAGACACGCACCCGCCCGACGTGGAGGGGTCCCGTCTGGCTCGTCGTCGTCTTCTTCTCCACTAAAGCCACTTGCACCATCACCATCTTCATCATCGTCTTCGCTTTCGCCGCTGCTGTTAGCGCTACTTAAGCTCTCGTCCTCCTCGTGGTGACTCTCGCTCTCGCGGTTGACAGCAGCCACGACATGCGCTACTTCAGACGTGGAGATGAGCAGCACTTGCAAGGCGTTCGAGAGCGTCACGAGCCGGTACTTCTTCTGGTCACTAGGCGACTTGGACTGCTCCACGGGGTCCATCCTCGGAGCTCGCGGTTGAAACGGCGCTATTCTGAAGTACCCCTACCGCACGACACCGGGTCGACTAGAAAAACCAGAGGGACGTAAACTACCCAAAACAAAAAGGACCCATACCAGTTATGACAGTCACTGAGAAATAGGTCCATCTGTCGATAACCGACCGTTTGTATGTGCGGGCGTCCATTTAGAAACGAGGTGCCACGCCAGTAATTATATAGAGTCAGCCATTTCGTGTGACCATGAAACTCGGCCGCGGGATTAACGTCGAGCACATCAAGCGCATGACGCTGCGCACGGTGCGCGAGAGCACCGAGGGACAGGCCGAGACGCTTTCTTTCCTGGATGCACTGGAGCGCAACGATTTCGACGAGACCAAGTGCAAGCGCGAGGCGCGTCAGATGATGCTCGTGCTGGACGACAAGAGGAAGCGGCGCGCTGCGGAACATCGTTCGACGCTCAACTTTCACGTGATCCGGATGATGAAAGGGCACCACGATCCGCGTCGTTAGAAGAAGAGGCGCCTCAGGCATTGGACAAGGAAGGAGGTGGTGATACTGGAGACCGAGACGACGATGCGGCTGGTATTGTGGAGATGAGCGAGGGTTTACAGGCAAGAACTTGGCACTTGTTGTGCTATGAATGAACCGACGAGAGACTGCTGTTCGTGCTGTGTGTTTGTCTGTTGCTCCTTTTACATGTCGGTGGAGACGTTGTCGTCTTATCCGTCTTGTGCTGACGCGGGTCCCTTTATTTTAGATAGTGAGCTGCTCATAGACTGACGATCGCGGCAGTGTCGACTACGCATTCGGGCATTTGAGTGAAGCGATGGTGGCGGTTTTACCGAGAGTGGTGGGTCAGGTGCTTGTCAGGAGTTTTGCTGGTAGTGTGAGCTACCGGTATGAATACCGGTAGCATTTCTAAACGAGAGGTCAACCGTTTCGCGACATAAAAAAATGCTTGCAACGCTCTATTCGAATTTGATACGTTCTTGATCTTGAGGCGCCATGTGGGATTCAGTAGCAAGGAGATGCTGAGAGTTCGTACATCTTGTTTTTATTCCCATCGCTCTTTTGGCATTGTACAGTTCGTATCGACTTTCTCGCACTTGTTCGCTCACTTCGGTGGATGTGGATGAGACCTTCGACTCGAAATTCATTCTCGAATCTACAAAACTAAGGGGACATTGCATTGGAATTGGTTGAAAGCACAAGTGGCATGTGACGTAAAGTTTTCAGAAATACTAGCACGAGCCGCGTTGGATTGATTATCTTGACTGGAAGTCAGGAGGACTATGTCGAGCATGTCTGCACCTCGACCGTGTAGCTTTGTCGATGCACTGACGAATGTAATATACGTAAAAGGTAAAATGGAAAAGAAGACTGTCCACTATGCGCGGGTTCGTGTGCTCTGTACACATACCAGCGTCATCGCTAAACCGTGTCGGAAATACCATGGCGAGGTAATGACAAAGCTAGTGCACGATGCTGGTAGAACGGAACTCAGTTTGGGACATTTTCACCCGCGACATCCATTATTCGGTCGCTAGAATGTCTTGCTCGTGTCGTACAATGTTAGATAAAGTAGTTAGCTCTGGAATTGGCTTTCGGCATCAATAACTCAAACCAGAGAACTGAATCACGTTCTGTGTACTCATGTACCCACTTCGGTTGTAGTTAGCCGCTAGGGAGTGAGATGTGTTTTGCGTGTTAAAGCTTCATGCTAATGATGTTGATGCTCTCGTGAACCGCCAATGAGGAAATGGGAGACGGAGGATGATCCTGCTCGGGTTTGCCATCATTCACAACGTGCGGCCGACGACACATCGTTCGTCAATGTAAACGAGAAATTTAATTCGAAAATGTCCCGGGCACTGGTACATGCGTGTGACCTGCACTTTCGATGCGGTCTCAACTGATGGCCTTATCATTGAGCTGTACCTAATTCGTGCATATCATGAGGACACATGCTACATTGCACTCGGGCAAGACGCACGAGGTACGCCTAGCTTTTTTACAGATGTACAAAAAGACGGACGGGTAGGCAGAGCGGAAGTAAGTCAACTTACTTCCGCTCTGCCTACCCGTCCGTCCTCTGCGTCACAAAACAACCCAGAAAAAGCGAAGACAACGAGAAGACGTATTCTGTGAGATATTCATTTGTGGGTATGCTTATCTTTGTTTCCGAGTGCAAGGATCTGGCAGCGTTTTTCACAACCATCATGTCGTGAGGTCACGCCTGCAAGAGGCTCTGAAGGCTGAGTCCTTACGTTTCCTCCTTCGATCCACGCATACTCGTTTAGGGACTGTTCAAGCCATGTGTGCGTCGGTGCTTGCATCAGAGCGCCTGATCCACAGCATCTTTAGAAATCGCGAGTTTGTCGTCGGTACGGCTGCGTGCAATTCTGAGCGACAGAAGACCAAGGATCTCATCACCGGCAATAACTTCGTCATGAAGCTAAGCAAGGCCATTTCCATTCTCGAGCCTATCGACGCGCTAATTGTCAAGTACTAGTCTGACAGCATCCCAAATTCAGAAGTTCTGCAGGATTTTCATGCCCTCCCGGACAAGTTCATTGCTGTTATGAACGAGCAGTCATCACTCAGCTGGATCTGCAGTATTTGACAAAGCTCATGGCTTCCTGCCTCCAATTTATGTATAGCACAGCGCACGGTCTGTCCTATCTTTTCGATGCTCACCTTCTCGGTGATGGTCTGCCGTTACCCAATTTCTGTGAGCTCGAAAACAAGCTTTGTAACACTCCCATTGATGACACCACGCCCGTTGACGACACTAGACGGATGTCCTTGTACACCGAGTTGACTGACTTCATTATCTCGGCGCGGCATGAGTAGGCTACGAACTCATTCCAATTTTTGATGCTGAAGGAAAAGGCGAAGACGCCACTGCAATTGGCTGACAGATGGTGTCCGATGGCCAAACCTGCAGCCCGTAGCAGTCAAGCTGATCTCGATGGCAACATCCAGTGCTGCATCGGAACGCAACTTCTCCACAATGGCGTTCATCCATTCAAAGCTTAGCAATTCACTTAGCGTGGCATCGGTTGAAAAGATCGTCTTCATTAAGAGCAGCAGGAGTGCCTTCCACGACATGCAGACCGCGGAGTACTATCCATCGGATAAAGAAGGCGACCTTAGCGAAAGTGATTACTAAAACCAAAAAAAACCTGGTCCGAAAATCAATTTTTAGATTAAACCAAAAACCTGATGAGCTCGCTAGAATAAATCGGGGTTTTTTCACCCTCGTTCGAGACCGATTTATTCCGGACGTATCATTTATGCATATAAAGCTCTTTTGATTGGATACTATGAACTGGCTCTCCACCGACTCTATCGCTACTGGACGGAGCCAAATCATTTAGTATCATGACTCGTGTCGCGCCAACCTGTAGAGACTTTGTCGCCTTGTGCTTGCAATGGCCCCTCTTTCGTCAGTTCCTAACGCCTTTTGCTCGTGTTTTGGACGTGTGTTTGTTTTGCAGTCACAGAGCTCAAGAGCCTCTCGGCCGCGTGCAACAAATTGTGGGAGCTGGACGCCAATCGTCTCGAGCCAAACGTGCACTATGAGCTGAATCTACAGGAAGGAAAGAACGCGTTTGCACGTGGCGATGTCGCGCGTGACGCACTCTTCACGTTTGTGGACCCGAGCGTGTTTGAGCGCCCGACGTACAAGTTGCTGTTTGAGCTGCTGGACAATTACGAGCGCGAGGTGCTTGAGGATGAATAGATTGTCGTCCATGTTATTGATCTTGATTGATGGTGGTTAGGCACTGTTGCTAACGCTCTCGTGGTGGTGGCTGTTGGGAAGCACAGACGGGGGTGAGTGAGAGAGTGACACCGAAGGAGCTGGCGGAGAACAAGTCGTTCTTGGACGCTGTGGTCGAGACAACACCCATGCGCTATGCTCATGCGTAGGTCATCTGTCTTTGATTTGTTACGCTTACAAGACGGTGCATAAGTCTTGTTAGAGCTGCGTGATTGACTTGTACATATTGCAGGTGGCTGGTAAAGAACAAGAAGGTCACGGGAGATCTTTGTGACTTTAAGAAGACACTAGAGTTCCTCTGGTTTGGACTTTATCGACGAGAAGTACGCAACGACTCCTCGGGATTTGAGCATGTTTATGTAGGAGAGCTGAAAAACGTGAGTCTGCGCATCGAGTCTTGCTACTACGTCTATTCTCCTGTTGCTAAGGCGTCATGTGCTGCTGCTGCTGCTGCATTGTAGGGCAAGATCTGTGGCTGCCACAATTGGCTGCAGGTATACAATGAAGAGCGCCATGGCCGCATTGATTACAAGGGCTACATTCGTCCTCGACAACGCGGCTGCAGATTCATGGAGCCGCACAACAAGGAGCAGCTGATCACTTTCCAGTTCGAGTGGGAAGACAACATGAAGCCAGTGTCGACCAGGTACCGTCTATCAGCTCAGTGCGATTGACAGACAGTGTGATGAGGTCTCACGTGTTCTGATGCTTCTTTGTGCAGTTTGATCGGAGTGAGTCCGGAGTTCGAAATGGCCCTGTACACGTTGTGTTTCCTCAACGGCCAAGAGAACAATCCAGTGCAACTCGGGCCGTACCCGTGCAATATCAAGTGCTTTAGCTTCGGCCGTGGTAAGGACACCAGGATTGGCACAGCGTTCCCCGAGGCGCTGCCGCTAACAGAGGCACAAGCTGCGATCAAGATTCAAGCTGTCATCCGTGGTAGCTGTACGCGCATTCTGAACCCGATCGTTCGCCGTCAGGCACCGCCTCCTCCTCTCGGTGCAGCTTGGGGCCCACTGCCCGGAGTGGTTACAACGTCGATCGTTCAAGTCGAAGTCCGCTCGTCCACAGTAACACCGGTAAAGTCTTGTATCCGTTCTGGTACTTCGGAAGTACCTGGTGTTGCAGCACCTGTTGTTGCGAAGCCTACGGGTGCTTGGGCTCAGCCGCGCAAATGGTAGCTTGCTGCGATCAGTACTGGTAAGCACGAGCACGAGTGTGCGGCTTTGTTGCTGACTGTACCGCTCGCTGGTGCCATGTTGATAATGAACTTGGCCTGTATCTTCTTAGCATGCTCGATCCGTTTCACGCTTGTTTTACAGGTGAAGTTCCGAAGCTGGGAAGGTTGTATGGGACTGTATCTGCTTGATGCGGTACTGTTTTGAGGGAAGGCTGCAAAGCCTAAATGTGGTTCAGGTCATTGCGGTAGTGCAGGTTTGATGTAACGACGGATGTGGCAAGACCGCTGGCTGCTTTTGAGACAGGAACCCGCACGACCTCAGACTGTTCGGACTTTCCATTTGAGAAGACGCAGTGGACAGAAGTAGACGTTTGCTGTCTGGTCTTGCACGAACCACCTGACAAGCTTTTGTCGTTGTGGCGGTCAGTGCGATAGAGACGAAGTCAATGTCGGGGATGCCAGAATGAAGCTCGTTGATCAGTCTTGGTGCTGGTGGCAGCTTTACAGAAGCAGCATGAGTGGTGTTGTTATTCCTGTAGATGTCACTTCACTCGACAGTGCGGTACGACGGCACTTGTACACTTGATTGAGAGATGACAAACCAGTGATGAGCTTTCAAGCAAGCGTGTTGAACGTGATGGATTTAGGCTGCGGCCGAGCATTCGTAGCAAATGGATGCCAGGACCTTTGTCGCTGCACTGTAGTGGCCATGGATGCTTCGACGACGTGGACACTGCGCCGAGAAGACCACGTGTGTTGGCAGTGATCTTCTGTACTCAGATGGGGGTCCGGGCTGACGATGTTCCTGTTGTGCATCAAGGATGTTCGAGACAGAGCAACTTGCGCGAATGTAGCTCCAACTGGTTGTTTTCGTCAAACGCGAGGGATAAGGCTGGATGTTGGCCGGAAAAACGGTAACATTGTCGAGGTTGCCATCGATAAGATGAAAACCATCCAGGCAACTTGATTTCATCAAGCAGATCTGAAGCGTTTTAGCTGACAGGTTACGGGTTGTTGTTGTGATCCACATAAGACGATGCCGAGTATGAGTACGGCGGCTGTGTGGGAAGCGACTGATAACTTTTGGCAATCTCGTGCGCAACAATCCAGCGAAGTGAAGTGCACTCACTTCAGTGCAACCGCCAGTCGATATTCTTGATTCATTACTGAGCCACGTTGAGCCAGTCAGGTATACAGGTACCTTTGGAGCTGCTGTATTCATTCGACAAAATTGCCGATGCGCGCGCACTGTCTGTGGCCGCGTACACAGATCCTCCTACCCACGCAAGCATGTTGCGAGGGAAGTACGTCTGAACGAGCTGGACTCGATCGGCAGTATCTGTAGCGGAAGCGAGCTCGTTGTCATTCTGTAGTACCTTGCGTACTTCCGCGATCACGCGCTGGACCAAGCCTGACAGATTGATCGAATAAATGTGAGCAATGGATGAAATATGATGGAAACGGCGGTCGTACCAGAAATCATAGCGGTTCCCCCAACAAAAAGCAAGTTCTGCAATAGTGCCGCCCTAACGTCAAGAGGGCTCTCCTTCACAACTTGCAGGATCCCATCGACAATGGACATCTTATCCTTGTCTTCTTCGCCTGACCAGTCCAGATTAACATTATGAGGCGGATGATTTACATGTGACAAAAAGCGTAGCAAGAACGGTACCTAAAACAAGCTGCTCCGTAACGCGTGCACGCAAGCTCCTCGAAACCTGTCCAGCAGACGATGGCATCAACTTCCGTGCCGAGCCCTAACGAATGTAAGTGACATCGCCCACCAACCTGTAGCACGTCGTTGTCACCATGCTGGAACGTGGCATCGACAGGATTCAGCGACAGATCGCCCTTCACACGAGACGCGTCGACAATGGTAAAATTAGCATACTCCGACATCTGCTTTCGATGGTGTTAAGGTAGCAGACAATCCACCATTTGTTGCACAAAGCACGCTCGCTCAAGAATGTCCTCTGCTGTAGTTTGCGTGATCGGTGAGACAAAGTCGGAGCTGTCCGTCATCCGACCACAAGTGGCGTCCAATTCTTGTCGAATGGTGTTGCAACAGTCCCGACTTCCAGCAGGTACAGCTAGTGCACATCAACACCCACACATAAGCTGTATTAGGCACCGTTACCGTGTATCCGCACCAAACTCTCAGCCTCACTCGTATATAGGTGAAGGAGAGGAATGCCCTTGAATACTGGCAACATCCGCGTCTCTGCCCAGCCACAATCGACCACCAATGCCGTGTGGTTGGCCGTAGCATACAGCACTGCCAACATCGACGGCACCAACGTCACTGCAGAGACCTAAACAAAAGACAGCAAAAAAGACATCGATCCTTCACGTTCGATAGAACTTCGAGCAACCAGCCCACAAACAGCACAATGACCTGAAGCATGTCAAAGAGCACACTGAGCAGCGTCTCCCGAACCACTCGTGGCAGCAGAAGATCTTCGCACACTACAACTCGCCGTCGCGTTGGATTCACCAGCAACAAACTGTAGCCATGTCAGCTCTCCACGAGCCACAACCATAACCACAACCACCTCCAGCATTCTCAGTATCCAGCAAAATCCGTACTTATAGAAGACCGAATGGAGCTTGAAATACAGAAACTGCCGCCATGTAGCAGCACTTAAGGGCGTCTGCAGCATCTCTGCCATCTGGAAACATCCGTACAAAACAATTAGACAGCCACCATCGTCAAGTCAAGTCAACCCATTCAGCACACACGCCCGTAGGTTAGCGTACCTCCCATCTCTCCACGCATCGAGGCGCGCGCTCGCCAGAGACGCCGCATCGGACGTAGCGCGCTCCGAGCTCCAGTACAAGCGGCTTGAGGGAGCTGTTCATGTTGGGATTCCCGCTTTTGAGTGACGTAAAGCAAAGCGATCCACTTGAGTGACGTTATAGGAATAGATAAAAATAACGACACCAGGGGATTAATGGTGAATTGCATGGCGATTGTGAATAAAGTGCCGTATTTATGGTTGTAACGAAACCGTCATGTGTGGCATATGCATTGCAAAGTCCATTTTTTTTGTAAAAGCCATTTGTAGGATAAGGTTATGCCCATATGAGATGTCTGTTAGAAACTGGCACGTTGGACAGGTTTCAAGGCTCGAGGGATATACCGCGTTACGGTCCCACCCAATTGGCCGGTGGTCAGACCAGGTGGCATGTGGGACCACAATGAGGCGATCGGGCAGATGGGACAGGGAGAGGCAGGTCAACAACTTTACAGAAGGGGCAGCGAGGTGGTGATCTGACAGTTGACACAGGACGACACGGTTGCGACGTGGGACCACCGTATGAGATTTTGGCAGGAAGGAAGAATGCCATCCGACAAGGACAGGGTCAAGTTGCAGTACAGTTCAGGTGCATGTCATAGCGTGACAAAGGAGAATAGTTAGTGCTAAATGTGTTTACTTTTACTTCTAACTACGGTCTTCCCTCTGCTAAGTTATCCCCGGCTATGGAATAACCTCCGGTAAGTTATAGGATTCGGTCTCCACCGACCTCGTTCTATGGTGTCTACGGAATAAGTTATAGGGAATAGCCTGAGGGCCAAATACAACTTATCAGAGGGAATATTTTTGTCCGCCGTGAGCAGAAATATTGTACGCAGAACCTTTTTTTTGTTATTCACTGCAAGAAAGGAGTGAAAAGAGGAGAGGGAACTACTTCAGCCAGGAACCAAGTGTGGCCTGAGTGGTGCTCGCACTACGGAGATCAGCTTGGACATGACGAAGGGTCCGGTGAGCTATACGATGGGACTCCTGAGAAAGGTCGAGAAGGGCGATGGATAGACTAAGACTGGCAAGCTTTTCAGCCTTCGAATGCTTTTCCACCTCCTCCTCCGCCTCAGCAGCACCTTCCTCCTCCCCATACGGATCCTCAACAAGCTTGATGATTTCGGCATCGGTCAGCTCCGCATGCGCCGTCTCCTCCTCCTCAGCCGGATTGAGAAGAGAAGCGATCGACATGGGATTGCGGAGCGGGAGCCTTTCCAGCGCCGAAACAAGATCCTGTTCCACGCGCTGCTTCTCTACTGCAGCAGCTGCTGCCTCCTGCTGGGCCTGCTGGCCAACAGTGCCGGCTTCGTTTTACCCCCACCAGTCGGCAGAGCCGGACCGTCCATGAGTCCCGTATGACGAAAGCAGTTGGCGATTGTGGCACTGGAAATCTCGCTCCACGCAGCCAGCGACCAACGCATGGCCGTGAGCTGATCAACCTTGTAAAGGTTGGTTTCTCCGCGCTCGTCACGGTCCAAGGCATTCTGCAGATGCAGCCGGCGGTAGTGCCTCTTGAATGCGGCAATAATCCCAGCATCCATGGGTTGGACCTTTGAAGTCGTATTAGGAGGAAGAACCTGGACCGTGATGTTGGTGAGTTCCAGGTCAGCAACAATGTGTGAAGGAGCGTTGTCCATGAGAAACAGGATTTTTCTATCCTTTTGCTGTGGTCAACGCATTAGTCAAACCTCCTTTACTGTACCACAACGATGATGTTCAAGGCATGCCCCAAATTACCTTCATACTTTTGTCGACGGCTCCCAGCCATTACTGGAAGAGTATGCCAGTCATCCAGGCTTTCTTGTTTTGCGGTAGAGAAAGCCCAGGCGCTCAGCTGTCTTGCGCTCAAAACACCGCGGCTTTTTGGCGTTTCCGATGAAGACCGGCGGGAGTTTGTCGGATCCATCAGCGTTTGCCGTGAGAGCAACTGTGATGCGCGTCTAGAATAGTTGTTAGTGCCAGAGAAACGCAGGAAACCAAGAGGAGAGCAATAACGTACCTTGTCTTTTTTAAACCCTTCGACCTCTTGCTGGGCGATCGTTTTGTCGGGCATCATACTGTAGAACAAACCTGAACAGAAAGTGAGCCTTTGAGATGCTTCTGTACTGTACAATGAGTACAGTACTGTACTGTATTCTCAGACCTACCAGTTTCGTCCATGTTGTACACGTCACGTGGCGCATAACCAGCAACCACGGCCTTGAGGTGTGGAAGAGCCTCCTCTAGAGCGCCCATATCTGCTGAGCCACTCTCGCCATGTATGCGGACAGCTCGCAGTTTGTGGCGTTGCTGGAATTTGTGGAGCCACCCATGCGAAAAGCTGATGTTTTCCTCCGAGACGCCCATTGATCCCGCAAAGGTCTGAGCCTTGGCCCGTATGAGATCTTCAGTGAGAGCGACCCCACGGTGCTGGCACTGCAAGACCCAGAAGGCGACGGCCTCCTCCACAGATGGGTGCTGGACAGTCCGAGGACGCTTAGCGCTGAGGTCAGTGGTGTCCATTGCCTCAAGCTCCTTCCTTTTTTTAATGATTTTGCTGATCGCTGCCTGGGAAAGTGCCTTCTGGAGGTCAAAGGCGTCCTTTTTCCAAGCCGCCAGGGCAGTCTGGGTGATGCGCGGGTTAGCATCCTGGTGCTTGCAGATGCGCAGCTTCTGCTCGTTGGTAAGACGTATCTGCGACATCTGTTGTGAGTGAGCAAGGTACAGTTGGTGGAACTTTTTAATTAGAGATAGCAAAATCACCAGAGACTGGTGGGGCAACCAAAATCACAAAATCTTCATAGGGCACGTGACACGTGACAGACAGGTTTTGGAAGCCTGGAGGTTTGTTGCGTTTTTGATTCTTTAATTAATTAAATTAATAATTTTTCCGCAGCATACCTCTGCTATGGAATAACCTCTGCTATGTTATAGGATTTGCCTTCCACCAAGTCTATAACCTAGCAGAGGGAAGATTGTACCTCTGCACAAGTGCAGATCAAGATGCGTCATGAATCAATGATACCGATTGTGTATTATTTTACGTCAATGACGTGGCAATGAACATAAATGTGTTCAGGTAGCGACGAACGTGTCATCTCCTTCAATGGTTTATTTAACCAATGGTTATATTGCAGGAGATTTTAATGCGCCCGACAGTGGGTTTGGAAATTAACGCGAGGTATCAGTTGTCATGACGGGGCAAGGCATCACTTAAGATCAAGATCGCTGAGGACGATGCATGATGAAGCCATGGTGTAACGGGGTGAAACGTTACATAACAATTTATAAGAAATTGTTAATAGAATATAACTATAAGAGTTATTTTCTCAGAATATTGTAATAAGGACAAATATTCTGCAGCACTTACGAGTAGTTCCTAATTGGTTGATATAGGCCATTATATCAACCAACGAAGACACGCCACGACAGACGCACGCAATGAGTGGTGAGAAGAGAATTGATTTACACATTTGTATTTAGACATAGTTAGATGAGGATAAACAGTGGTTTATTAACAGACATTAACTATACTAAATACAGTTCTACTTTTTACATTAACCAAGTACTCGCTTCTCCTTACCGTCTTCCTCTGCACGTACGAGTGTACGTGAAGTTACGCGGCACCGCCTCATTCTGTCATCAGAATAAGTAGCTTGTACTGTCATCAGTACAAGCTTGAGGGTGCCCCGTTACACATGGGATCAAGGAGGTTAGCCGTGATATGCTTGTAAAAGAAGTGTATCGGAGCTACACAGCTCCACAAGCCAGGGGAACACTTAGTGCTTCTAGAGCGATACTAATTTTGAAGAACTAGACTCTATGGGTCAACAAGCACAAAGCTTAAGGTCCCTGTTCCAAGGAACGGAACAATTTAGTGAATTTACAGCACTTAGTGATCAAGAGAAGATATCTCAGGGAGGTGTTACTAACTCTTAACGATCAACGGTCAGATACGTCTCGCAAGGCACGTGTCTTAGACAAGATCAATAAGGAAAACAAGATCATTAGGGGAACTGGACCTTATTTACGTGTAACTCTATAGAATATCTTGATCCCGATTTTACCTAATCTAGGCACTCATGTCCTAAATGAACGTTCTAAAGATTTCGTGGCTGACACCCGCCAGCCCCTATATACCGATAAGATAGTCTATAACTCTTCCAGTGGGATACCATCTCGTGTTTCTGAGACACAGGGTACCGAGCACTCTATGAAGTGTAACTCTTTTACAAAAAGGTCTTACTTGATCGGCATCTTCATCCTCACGATTTCTTGCCTTTCACTTTTCGTCGGGATCAGCATTAACGCCAACGCGCTTGTCGCTTCCATAGTGCACCTCTAGCACGAAAAATCCGCGTGGACGCTTCGCAAACAGCTACTAACTAACAAAAGGGCTATACCCGAGCGAGAAGCTTGCACTCCACGATCGAGAGTCCGACTTAAACACATCTTGCTTTAGCGACACAAATGTCTTGACCTCACACTTCATAGACCGTCCTTGATCATATACTATTGCTGGCAGAATCATTTCAAGCAGGTAACCCAGTTGCAGTGTCTCGGTATCCAAGTTGTAGTGTCTTCATTCTCTTTATTTATCGCTCTTGTCTTGTTTTTGTTCTCATTCTCGTTTTCGTTGTCTTGCTGTGGTCTTGCTATTATAGGTGCCGGGACATGTAAAAACAGAGCGGAGAGACACCAGACTAATCCATGTTCTCTTCTGCTGCTGCGATCCAGTCTCAACCTCTGTAGCAATGTACCCCCTAGGCGTCTCCAGCGGTACGTGCGGTCCGTTATAAGAAACAGTTGCACGCAGCTCGGTATTGAAACGCACAGCTTCGCTCGATGGAGCCGTGGAAACTTCTCCTCCAAGCCAATTTCCAGTACCTTCTTGCGTGGCTGTTGCTTCATTTCCAAACACTAGATGAAAAGGTTTGATGACTTGTCTTTCGTCCCACTGAAATATTTTCCAACGCACTTCCTGGTATAGCCTATGCTTTACCGTCACGTAGTCCGGACAAGATGTAGCAATATGACCATTTAATCACTTGTTGCACAAAAGTCACACGCGAGCGGACAGTGTAGGTGACATGACACCATTAATCACGAAATGATCCACATACCTTGAATCAGTCGTGATGGCGATCCATCGTATCGAATTCGTGTACGAACGACCATGACAGCAGCATTGCTCTCTCTTCTATTGATCAATGATACTGAACGAGCAGTCACATCAGGAAAGATCGACATTGATGTTCAGGAACGTATAATGTGCCCAGACATAATCCTTCGAACCATCCATCATTTGGAGACAACGTAGCTTGTAACGGGGCACCCTGAAGCTTGTACTGGTGACAGTACAAGCTACTTATTCTGATGACAGAATAAGGCGGTGCCTCGTAACTTCCCGTACACTCGTACGTGCAGAGGAAGACGGTAAGAAGAAGCGAGTACTTGGTTAATGTAAAAAGTAGAACTGTATTTAGTATAGTTAATGTCTGCAATAAATCACTATTTATCTTCATCTAACTATGTCTAAATACAAATGTGTAAATCAGTTATCTGCTCACCACTCATTGCGTGCGTCTGTCGTGGCGCGTCTTCGTTGGTTGATATAATGGCCTATATCAACCAATTAGGAACAACTCGTAAGTGCTACAGAATATTTGTCCTTATGACAATATTCCGAGAATATAACTCTTATAGTTATATTCTATTAACAATTTCTTATAAATTGTTATGTAACGATTCACCCCGTTACATAGCTACTAGTTACAGAAGTTCCAACATGTTGTCTAGCACACAAGTGGGGCGCACTCCAATCAAACCGCGAAAGAAAATCTAGCATGATACAGCGTTTGCTATTTGGATATCATGATACCGTTCTTTCACATTCTCGATGCCATGATACCTCTCTTCGACGTATTCTTGATCGTTATTTGACCGTTGCAAGCCTCGACAATCACGTGTGCTCAGCGCAAGAGCCTACTGACACTGCTTTGGCTGCACGTTACCAATACTAAGATCATCAGGTGCATTTGGATCCAGGATATTGTCAAGCAAAGAAAAGGTGCCAGCTGAGGTAAGTCGTGAAGAGTTCCACACTATTTCTCGATATTAAGGTCCCAATTTTCATTGCCCAAATTGTCTCGACAGCCGTATTTTCCGGCAGCCCGGCGCCTCGTGTGAGCTGAAAATCTTGCAGTAACAGAAGTCATCACTTTATCACGAACCCGATGGCATGAAGCGTTGGACACCGCATTCAGGGCCGGACTTTGTGGAAGTTAAAGGAGTGTGATATGGGGAAGGAGGGCGATCTATCTAGAAAGAAGACGCGAGACCAGGCGCGAGACAAGGCGCACAGAAAGAAAGATGCGCGACCAGGCGCAGGGCTAGACCAGCAAGGAGAGTTGATGTCAGTTTGTCAGCCCTCAATTTCCTTTAAGAGCAACAAGTTATTTGTGAGTGTGCAATTGTGCGGTTTCCATTATGCAGTTGAAGACGACGGATACATTGGTCATGGTACGCGCAATTACATCGATTTCTTGTGTGTGACCAGTATGTCTGCGGACACGTCAACACTTTGAGTCCTCATGCAAGCGTTTGAGGAAGCTGTAAATGGAAGTGGCGTCGCGTTGTATACCAGCACATCACTGAAATCGCATAATTCCGTGCTGTGGTTGACTTTCTCGAACAGACACATTGAGGACTTAAACTTGTCCATTTTGCACCCTGGACCGAGACGTCATCAGTGTTGCTATCAGTGCGACGTTTGAGCAGCCCCACTGCTTAGACGTATCATTATCTCTAGTCGCATCGAAAGGACTGTCGATGACCTGATACAACATGCGACCAAACGTTGGCAATTAACCTGACATGACATCAGTGTAGCCCCGATTCCAAGCTTGGGATATCAGCGTATTGAAACTCGGAGCGGCATGTAACGGGGCACCCTGAAGCTTGTACTGATGACAGTACAAGCTACTTATTCTGATGACAGAATAAGGCGGTGCCTTGTAACTGCACGTACACTGGTATGTGCAGAGGAAGACGGTAAGGAGAAGCGAGTACTTGGTTAATGTAAAAAGTAGAACTGTATTTAGTATAGTTAATGTCTGTTAATAAACCACTGTTTATCCTCATCTAACTATGTCTAAATACAAATGTGTAAATCAATTCTCTTCTCACCACTCATTGCGTGCGTCTGTCGTGGCGTGTCTTCGTTGGTTGATATAATGGCCTATATCAACCAATTAGGAACTACTCGTAAGTGCTGCAGAATATTTGTCCTTATGACAATATTCTGAGAATATAACTCTTATAGTTATATTCTATTAACAATTTCCTCATAAATTGTTATGCAACGATTCACCCCGTTACACGGCACGTACATTTTCAGCCGTACCGCTCTTGCTTCTACAGCCATGAAGCTCATCGATATGTTTGAGTAACTTCGCACCGTGCGCTGCAATTTGATCGGCTATAGGTTTCTCACTGGACTCGGACATTCACATGAGCGACACAAATCAAGGGTCACATTTCTTCCAGGTCGAAAGAAACGGTTTGTCCAGCACAACGTCGTAGCGCTTGCATCGTCATCAAAATGAAACACTTGCGGGTGCCAACATGTTGCAGCCATACGGAACCGTCTACAACATCGACGTCAAAACACCACCGAGTTTTTTTGCTGGAGTCCACGAAAGGGGCGGTGTCATTGTCCTGCGCACGAACACATCCAAAGTTTGTACACATACCGCTGCCTTATAGAATCTATGAGTCCACTGTGGAATTACCGTTAGCAAACTTTGGCGGATGATTCAACGCGGTAAATCAGATCGCTATCTGGTTTTGCGTGTCCAAGTAACGGAGCTGCACCCTTGACACCAAGTGTCTTTTTATCTTGAGAACGCCGTAAACAACAGCGACAGTACGAGGCGAGTGCATGAGTTCCACCAAGTCCTGTCCTCGACATGCGTATGAAACGAATCCACTTCAAGGTTCGCGGTGAGTGACGACTTAGCAATGAGCGCATAGAAAACGGTCCGTGGCTTTGCGTAATGGGCAAAGCGTCGTCAATGAACGGAAACTGCTGGGTCGGATTCTTTCGCTGCACAACAACGCTTGCGACTACTTTTGCGATGCTCTGATAGGTGCTGCACGACTGCAGCGACCCTGTTATCTGAAGTCATGGTGATTAAATCACCCGCAGGGGGCACAGAATGATGCCTAGCAAGCACTTCCACTATATCCCAGATTCGCCGTTGTGCAATGACGGCCAAACCCTCCCCCACCCAACGCAACCAGCTAAAGACTTGGCGAATGCATGCAGCTGTCTCTATGACTCATTAGTTCATTCAACCAGTGCATAATCGCTCATTATCAAACTGAGACAGCACATCTCACAAATTGCCCACATGTATAACTTAGTCTCCCATACCGACTTACTCAGCTCATGGCGACTCGACATTATATATCCAGCCCGCCCACACAGATCATCTTCGTTTCTTGGTACTCCTCAAGACCCATCGATGAGCCTTCACGCCCCAGTCCGGACTGCTTCACGCCACCAAACGGAGCCTGCACATTTGAGATCGCACCCGTATTGACACCAACCATACCACATTCCAATGCAGATGCCACGCGCCACGTGCGCGATAAATTCTGCGAGAAAAAGTACCCGGCAAGACCAGATTCCGTTCCATTCGCCATTTCGATCACCTCTTCTTCCGACGAGAATTTAAACAGCGGCACGACAGGCCCAAAAATCTCTTCGCTCCACACGCGCATTGCGTTGTTTACGTTTGTCAACACAGTAGCTTCGTAAAAATTGCGTCCAATGTCACTTTGCTTGCCGCCAACAAGAGCTGTTGCGCCGTTCGTGACCGCGTCCTCCACAAGTTCCGACGTCTTCAGTAAAGCATTGTGGCCAATAAGTGGACCTAGTTTCACGCCTTCCTCTCGAGGCGGACCCATCTTGAGATGCCTCACACGCTCCACCAACTTGGCCGCAAAGTCATCGTAAATACTCTCATGGACAAAGATGCGGTTACTGCACACACACGTTTGGCCCGTATTGCGAAACTTCGATGCTATCAAGCCATCCAAAGCCTTGTCCAGGTCAGCATCTTCAAACACGATGAACGGAGCGTTGCCTCCCAGTTCCAGTGACAAGCGCTTCACAGTCTTCGCCGACTGCTCCATCAGCAGCCTCCCGACGCGCGTTGAGCCTGTGAACGAAATCTTCCGGACGTCGCGGCTGCTGGTCAGCGCTTCACCAATCTCTGCCGACTTATCATGTGGAGCCGGCACTACATTTATCACACCCGGTGGCATGCCAACGTCCTCAGCGAGTTTAGCCAAAGCCAGAGCCGACAGTGGCGTTTCCGCAGCTGGTTTCACCACTGCTGTGCATCCAGCTGCGAGACAAGGACCGAGTTTGCGGGCAATCATCGCCAATGGAAAGTTCCAGGGCGTGAGGATCCCACAGACACCTACTGGCTCTTTACAGGCCATAATCTTGTGGTCGCGTGCCGACGTGGACGGCAAAAAGCCGCTCGCGTGCATGACCTCGTGTGCGTAAAAGTCAATGAAGCCAGCAGCGTACGCCACTTCCCCCTTGGCTTCAAGCAACGGCTTGCCGCTCTCTGCCGACGCAATAACCGCCAAGTCTTCCGTGTGCAACACGATCGCTGCGTGCCATTTCTTGAGCAGCGCCGAACGAGCGGCTGGCGTTGTCCTGCGCCACTCTTTCTGAGCGGCAAAGGCCGCAGCCACAGCTTCGTTCGTCTCGACGTGACTCATTGCTGCAACGTGCGCAATCTCCTCGTCAGTTGACGGGTCGATTACGGCAAAGCGCTCGTTCGAGTGCGCGCCGACCCATTGGCCGTTGATGAATGCAGTCGACTGGAGAAGCGCCTTGTTGTGCACTTCGCTGTGGAAGAAACGGCGCGCAGCGGACGGCAACACGACGAGGTGGAGCTGCTTGGCTGACAACATGGCAAATGGGACCGAGGAGCGAACGGGAGGAGCAAACGTCTCGATCTTTCTTGTTGGACGCAAATTGCGAAATGAGCGAGTGACAAGTCGCGGAGGACCGCGACGAGACTTGAAGTTTGTATGATCGGCTACTGGGCGACTTCTTTTTTGGCGGATGTTGAAGAGAGCCCTTGTCCTCTGCCAATCACAAGCGCGCAGTCTAGCCACGCACTGTGCTGCTCCTGCTAATTGCGGATCCAGTATTTGCTGCCTGTGTTCTTTCACAGCTATGTGGTCCACAGATAATTGCGTACGCCACACCATTTGTCACGCGAGCAGCTCTCAATGCACGTCACAAAGTGCCATCAAGAACAGTCACGAATGGTACTCCCACGGCTGTTGGTGCTCTACGGTAGCGAGACTGGCACCGCGCAAGACGTGGCCGAGTTCGTGCAACAGAGGGCTTTCAACCGGCAGCTTCTGGACACGCGGATCTACGCCATGGACGCGTTCGAAGTGGCCAAACTGCTGCCTCAGTGCTCCACTGTTGTCTTTATCGTGGCTACAACTGGTGACGGCGAAGTGCCTGAGAATATGCGTAGCAGCTGGCGCAGTCTGCTTCAAAAGAAGTTAGGGAACGAGTGGCTGAAAGGCGTCCGCGTTGCTGTTTTTGGACTGGGTGATTCGAGTTACGCCAAGTATAATGCTGCGGCTAGACGGCTGCAGGCACGTTTGCTGCAGTTGGGAGCGTCCGAGCTCATTGTACGTGGACTAGGGGACGATCAGCACGCTTTTGGATACTTTGGAGCGCTGAACCCGTGGCTGGAGAAGCTCTGGATGGCGGTTTTGCAGCTATATCCGCTACCAGAAGGCCTGACAATTGACGACTCGTCAAAGCCGATTGAGCCTCGCTACACTGTCATTGTGCATGGTGCCGGAGATAAAGAGATGGAGATAGCGAGCACGTTGACACCGAGGACGGATAGGTCTAATTTTTATGCGCCGCCGCGCACGACAGTGGGGCGTGAGAAGGGTATTTACTGGGCTCCAGTTGTTGAAAATAAGCGGATCACAGCTGAAGACTGGGAACAAGATGTGCGGCACGTAGAGCTCGACATTAGTGATGATGCTCAATTGAATGAAACTATCGAGGCTCCATTTAGAGCTGGAGACGTTGCAGTAGTGTATCCTGAAAATGTGATGGGAGTCGACGATATGCTCAAGTATGTGGCGCTGGATGGCAGCACAGTCATTTCGATCAAAGCTGCTGATGGCTTGGATCAGGTTGATCTTCCCTCTCCGGTCTCCGTTTCTGATCTATTTACCAAGTATTTGGCAATCCTAGAAATTCCGCGGCGAAGCTTCTTCGAGAAGTTGTCGCTATTTGCCACAAATGAGGAGGAGGTGAGAAGTTGGTGGATCGATAGTTCTTGATTTTGTGACGATACTAACTCTGTGATCTTGTCAATGCTCGGCTTTTACAGAAAGAGAAACTCGAAGAGTTGGCATCAGCTGAGGGCGTCGATCTTCTCTACGACTACTGCATTCGCGAGAAGAAGACGTACACAGAGGTGCTGACGGACTTTCCAAGCGTGAAGGTGCCACTGCCGATTCTACTACAGCTGATCCCTCGTCAACAGCCCCGGTCGTACTCGATCTCATCGTCAGCTCTTCTCCACCCCGGGCGAGTACGTTACCGTGCGTGGTCGCGTCCTCATTCCACTCGTTGTATGCTTATTTTGTCCATTCGTTAGGTTCATTTGACCGTGGCCATCGTGGACTTCTTAACTCCGTACAAGCGCCGTCGACACGGTATTTGCTCGTCCTTTTTTCTGTCATTGGACCCTTCCGAGAAGCAAAGGCGCGTACCAATGTGGATCAAGCAGGGTCTCTTTGAGCCTCCAGGCCTTGAGCAAGATATGCTGCTCATCGGTCCAGGAACCGGTCTAGCCAGCATGCGGGCGATGGTACAGGAGCGACAATATTTGCGCAAACAAGCAAGTGGTGCCAGCTCTGGGGTCATGTATCTCTACTTTGGATGCCGACACGAGAGCAAGGTAGTTGAAAGTGGCGATCCCAGCTGCGTGAGATTGCATACACTTTTTAACTGCTGTGTAATCTGTTGTACAGGACTTTTTGTACGGAGACGAGCTGCGTGGACTCGTGACATTGGGCGACCTTACTGAGCTGCACACGGCGTTCTCACGTGATCAGGTTCGTTGTTGTTTTGATGAGCAGGTTTGTTGGTGCTCTGGTTTGTAACCGTGAATGTGCCGTTGCACGTAGGATCACAAAATCTACGTACAGACGCGTCTGGCAGAGAACAAAGAGACCATCTTTGATTTTATCATGAACGGCGAAGGCTGCATCTATATTGCTGGCTCGGCCAAGCGCATGCCAACGGACGTGTACGAGGTGCTGCGAGATATTTTGCGTGCCGTCGGTAACGTATCACTATCAACCGCGGAAACGGTCATGAAGACGTTGGCTCGCAAGAAGCGCTACGTGGTCGAGTCCTGGTCATAAACTAGGAACAAAAAAGCAGAACAAGGTCACGTGCGACTTCATCTTGAATACTGTTGAAGTATAACGATTACTACCGGTATCGCCTTGATTTGCGTACAAATCTTCAGAAGCCAGAAAAAAACGATTGGTATGCGGGACGTGGAGCTTGCAGAGCAGGTGCGGTCGTTCGTGAAGCTCGCAAACGCCACTCAGACGTCTCAGCTGCACGAGTGGAACCTCGAATCGCTGCAAAGAGCTCTACAATGGGCACGTGTAGCTGAAGATGCAGGAGCTGACACTGATGTAATGCACGGCAAGATCGAGAGGCGAATTCGAGAATGGTTTCCAGTCGCCACACTGCCTACTTTGCCATTACATGATGCTTTGACAGCAGACGCTCTTCGTCATGGACGAGTCCATTTGCTGCAGTCGATTCTTCAAAGTCCATTCCTCGCGTCCCATCCCACGCGGTCGGAATTGCTCTTTGCAGTGCTGAAGGCAATGCAACAGAGACGCGAGGATGCTACTGCTAAGTTGTCAACGGAAGAGCTCGAGGAGCATTCAGCCACTAGGTAATTGGGTGGCTGGCAAAGCTGCGATGGGGTAGTGACTAACTTGTCGAGTGTAACTGGTCTCTCTCTCTCTCTCTCGCTCTTTACAGTGCATTGCTGACGGAGAAGGTAGTCGGAGCTTCTCGTATGAATGCTTTGCTGGCAATAGCTCGTCGAATGAGCGACAGCTGCAAGTGCATTCGGGTACAAGGTATCGTCGTGTGAAGATTGCAAGGGATGGATGATCCAGTACTGAGCGACGATCATGTAACGTATTGCTCGTGTGTGATGCGGTGCTGTGTCAAGTACTTACTGGATGGGTTGCAGTGCCGCCACTCAAGAGCTACGCTCTTTCGCCGCGCACACTCCAATTGAGAGCCATGGCGAAGACGTTGCAGCGAAATGCTGGCGACGCCCGTGCCGCAGTGAAGCCTGAAACGTACCAGACTTTCTTGACGAACCTGCGCGAATGCTTTGAGACGCCCGAGAGTCACGACGTTCGGGTACGACTCTTATCTGCGGCGCGCAGTGTAGTGCAATGTTGCAATGATGGGGACAGGAACATGACACGTAACCATGTGCATGGCAGGAAGTGGTGCTACTGATGCTCGTAATGTGTCCATGGCCAATAGAAGAGCCGCTGCAGCTTCGAGGAATGAAGGAAGATCTCATGACGATTGTGCGTGAGTGGATAGCGTGCAAGCCCATTCGGTTCTGGACTTTTCGACCTTGGTTGGCCGCCATGTTAGCGACTCAGTCCGAAGGTCTGACAAGCACGTATGTGTCCAAGCTATTCGGGGCAGGACTTCTACCACCTTGTAAGATGTGCAACGTGAGCTGAATGTGTCGATGGTTGGTAGACGTTTGTACTTACGCATGTGGAGTGCTGTATCAGGGGAGAATGAGTTTGCTGAGCGCGTTGCGACGTTAGTCGTAAAGGCCAACAACGTCGAGCATGTACTCACGCCGTTCCTCGTCAAGCTGGACCCGCACTTGCAACATGCTTACTTTGACGTAAAACTCGGTCCGTGAGGTCTTATTGCAGCACATAGACGCAACCTGACGTGAAGCTTCTTGGAGTAGTGTAAGCGCGGGAGGTTCTATAGATGTAGTGGTAAGTTAAGTGACCCCGCAAGTGGTAACGGATGGACCAGAGGTTTGAATTCTGAATCTGATTAAGGAACTTGCTGAGATCTGAGGCTGGACAAGGCTCCGTCCCGCGGGATTGGACGCTGCGGGTTGGAGCCTCAGTCGAGCCCGCATCCCATCCTGCCAAGGTGGTATTTTACGATGGTATTATACGATGGTATTATACAGTGGTAGTTTACGATAGTTCTGTGTAATCATGTGATATTTGCTCCTCGGAAAACTCATAAATTTCCGATTACTTATGAGTTAGCGACCATAGAACGAGCACGGTGGAACGCAATTGCATGAGTTATGAGCTATCTGAGGGATGACTGTACTGCATGCAGTTCTACTTTTTGCATTCTACATACGTGTTTGTATGCCGCTTCCTCTTCAGATCCGTGCTCGTGAGGATTGTATCGAGGCACCTTCGTACACTGCAGTCGGTATAGGTGAGCTTACAATATTATGAATATAGAAGATTGCCCCGTTACATTGATTGACTCACACTTTATACTGAAGCTTGAAGGTACGTCGTAGCATATACTGCACAATGTCCCACTGTCAAGGCATACGAGCGGTCCGTCGTTGTAGCATAAGGTATGCGCGCGTGAATGTAAGTTTATTACATATCATAGCCTAGAGGGAAATGTAGTAACAAGAGCGCGACATCGGGCTTTGGCGGTATTGTACAGCCTTGAAGTGTAAACACTGCTGCTGAACTTGCAGCGATCATCATTTACTCTAGCTCTTTTGTATAACACCTTGGTAGAACCTGTCTTACTATAATCTTGCGATTGGAGGCATCAACACGATAATCAGGTAGATTCCACATACACCCGCTACACTGTGCCGGCCCCACTTCAGCCGTGATCATAATCAAAAAAATGACTCGCAATTTGACGAGGCTATGAGTCGGTAGCACATTTGGAGCATTCTGTTGAACAATTGAGCCACTTGTAATGTCAAAATGGTCGTTACATATAGCAAAAGCTCTTGCTCACGGAAGCGTAAGCACTTCCTTCGTGCAACCGGATTGCCACGAAAAAGGTAGACAGCATGATGGACATGATTGCTTCCAGGACCATATAACTCGTGCTTCTTTTGGCTCAGCGACGATAAAACGCGCTAGTGCTTTTTCGGGCCGTCCCAAAGGTTTGGACATTGTATCACCTTGGCTAGTCGTAGAAATGCCAGTCTTAAAATGGCTTTCGCACAAATCGCCAGTACAGTGAAGTTTCGACCGCGTCTTCTGACGACCATACGATCGTTTTTAAATCGCATTCATAATAGCAGAAGCATGTCGGTCGGCATGCAACCCGCGCAGGCATGCTAAATGCCAAAAGGTTCCAGAAGAGACAGCTGCGAAGTTTTTGTGGCAACGACGTCCGACACAGATACGTGGCGGCAAGCGAGTGCTGCCGAGGAGCCGGAACATAGGAAATTACAATCGATCGGCGATGCACATGCAGTGTTGTATATAATCTCTTCGGCTGCTGAAGTCGATTCTTATGTCGGCATATCACCATAATGCGGTCACTTGAGGGACTAGTTGCTGTAACTTTGGCTACCGGATACTTCACTGGGTTTCTAGATACTACACCGTGCGATCATTTGATAGATCACGCTACTTCTACCCGTCTATATTCGATGAGCACTTGGTCACGCATGAGGCCAGTTTGGAGATCGTCCTAACTTGCGTGCTCGCCGATGGGCGTACCTCGCCTCTAATATCAGTTGATCCCAAAAACAGCTCTGATTATCGATAACACACCTGCTCAAATGCTGCTCATCACCTCGTTCCCGGCCAGATCGAGCATGATAAAAGCCTACCCGCATTCTCACGATACGACTTGTACGCGGCATGTCAACGCTTTTCACATCGGTCTGTCTAGTGATACACCCGCTATCAAGTGTCCATTGGTCCTGTCACAAGTGAAAGCTCTTACAAATTTCGAGCTGTTGACATATAAGTAAGGTTCACTCGGTTTTTACACATTGATCATCGAGTCCCGAAACTACGAATAACTTGCAGCTGAGGGCCCCACAACTGCAAAGAGAGCAAACGTTCAAGTTTGTTGCCATGTTGACCTCCATTTTGCCGACAGAGCCATAACACGATACTATACTTTTGTTTGCAGCATCCTTCTGTCTTAGTGGTCAAGTTATTCAGCAAAGACAACAAGAATATGTGCTGCACCATCCCGCCTGAGTCTTGCTGCCGCACACTCGGTGTTTCTGCCTAGCTATCATCCTTCCGAGGAAGTTTGTCCATCACATTCTTCCAGAGTTAGGTTCAGACTTACAGTTAAGATTGACATACCGCTGAACTCCACTGTAATAGTTAGACAAGCTTTGTTATCCTAGCTTACCGCTAGAGGGCAAGCATTCGTATCACGTTCATCAAATTGTCTCTACGTGCAGATGAGAGGGAGAAATCTTGCACAGATCCTTCGACACCACGTGTATCTCGAAATATTGCCGTGCATCGTAGCCCACGAATAACATCTCTCCGACACGCACAAGTCGACGCGTGAAACTTGATCAATTATCTTTTATCACACGTGCGCACGGGCAAGTTGTACGATAACGTACTCGTGGGATTTCGTGGTCAGTGTGGCGAATCCCTGTGGTCCACCACTTCTGTCATCCGGTTCCACCGCCGCCAAACGATGACGGACGCAGTCGTCTATGGCTGAGGTAATTGCAGAGAAGGGGTAGAAATTACGTCTGGATGTCGAGCTTTTCGTCCGTCACCAGCATCGCTTCGTGGAATGTGCGTGTTGTCCTATAACCTTCATGCGGAAAATCGATAACGCAACCGCGGTAGCCGACGGCGATTCAGCGTAAAAATGTCCGTTCGGTAGGAGACCTATCTGCTTGCTCGATCGTTGTTCGTCTGTGTTGCAATCAAGCATCCGACGATTTTTGCGTAGAAGTTTGAATGGAACGTGCGCACTGAAGACGGGCGTCGAGGTTTTGTCTGGATGGCGATGTACGCGTCGCTTGCAGGAGATTACTAACCGTCATCAGTAGTACTCTTTCCCGCGTGATTGTGGAAAACGTGGACTGTCGTTCGCTTGCTAATGTCCTCATCTGTCTTTTTCTCTCTGTTGTACGAACAAGGTTAGTTAGCAAGCGCGTACGTGTCTACCCCGTCAACAGATCTCCTCTAGTATTTCTTAGCCTCCACACGATGCTGATAGATCTATGTGGGAGCTGCTGTAATTATTGTCCTGATAAAGTGACTGCTAGACTAGCATCGAAGACCGCAAGGCACGAAACGCTACCTGGCGTACGCTTCATCGTGCTTCGAGTGGGGGACAGAATTCGTAATCTTTGTAACGGTGTGCGAGGACGCTTTCGTGTAATCAGAGGAGAACTACTAGCCTTGACTTCTTGTCGCGCCAAATTGACAGTCTGTCGTTGTAAGTGCTGCTTGACTGGATTCCTTGTCGCAAATTCTTCGTATCGACGCCGCCAGCAAGAAAAAAACGCAAAGACGGATCCCCCCGTCCGAGGACGTTGATGTCCAGTAGTTGTATAGTACGATAGATAGTGCGTAGCTAGCTGTATGATCGAAGGAATTGATTTTCTGAGGCTACAAAGAGCAAAGCCACCCACATCTTCAGCTTTTAGTGGGACGCTACTCTAGTGGTGGTGGTTTCGCCTTCGTGAGGCTTGTATATCACCCAGGAGATGGTCAAGCTTGCATGTACACCATGCTGCACCTTCGAGATAGTTGGCCGTTGTGCTGAGTCGTAGCCACAGTATTGGAACTCCTCTTGCTGGGATGGCTGGTGTTCGGTGTCTGATAAGGGCTGCACATTCAATGTACCAGCCGTTGAAGTCAGCGTCGTCAAACCGATTCGAGACGGAGCATCCTGACGTGGTGCCGTCAACTCGTGAAGTCTGAAGTCAACGAGACAGAATTGTATAGCAGCTACTTACCAACCTTTCCGTGGTCTCTTGGGCGGTGGAAAAGCTGTTCGCCATGCAGCTCAGTACGTCAGAACGGTGACATCAACTGGATAGGCAGACTGGCTGCTTCTTCTGATGCGATTACACCACGTCGCGACTCACACACACATTCAAGTTGGTCCCTGGTGCTTTCGATGACAAACGTGCGACGCAACCTTTTCTACACGAGAAAGTGAGCGCCTGCACGGTCGCTGCAGTGGATCATTTGTACCGAGTAACCGGTCTGGGTGGAAGCGGGTAGAAGTTGCAGGAAATGATTGAGCCCGCTACCGCTTTCACGACTGCATTCAGCGTGGCTGCTTGTGGCTGTGTCGATAATAAATACGCTGTTCGTTTCACACAGGAATTTGTACAGCATCGGAGACAGCGGTCGATCCGACGTCTAGCACTTGCAGTCGTGCCGAAAGCTGGTCGCACCGATCTGAATCCTATCCGACACTGTTGAGACCGAGTTCTCGGGTAGTGGTGGACGTCAGTTCTAGTGTGGCGTTGTGAGCGTATCGCTTACATCTGCGCCTCGTGTGTCTTCAATCGGTTCGTTACAGGTCCGCTGGCTGTTTGTTTGCTGAAATCCGTCCGACGTCCTTGAGTGACAATTCCATCGTCAGCGTTACAGAAAACGCGACCGTAGTCGTGACCGTTTCGCGTGCGATGGAGAGTCTCCATTAGCCAGCTGACTTGGCGTTACATAGCCACCCAGGACCAATTTTAATGAGACTAAGAGATGGTAGCACGGAGGTCTTCACTGAAGTGGCAGCGGTAGCGATCGCAATTGCAATATTCGGCTCATCGCATGTTAAGAGTCGCGAAATGAACGCTACAGCTCTTAGATTGAGAGCTTGCGTGTGTGTGTGTGTGACAAAGTTCGACCACCCCGTCACTTGCTTCATCCTCAACATGAAAGCAAAACAAACGACAGCTCTTCGGTATTCGGAGTTGCACCCCCCCAATCGAAAGCCTTTTTCCAATCGACACTTGCGGCGTGGCGTTTCTCTACGAGGGTCAGTAGATAGTCGCGCTTATGTAACGTTCCTTCAGTCGTTCGTTCGGGAAGGTGGGCGGGCGGGCACGTCCATCCCAAATGCAGCGGCTATCCAGGAATCCGGTATAAACCGGACATCGATCCTCGTCGGAAACCCTTTGCGGGTCAAAAGGAGTTAAAACGAGGGAGCACTTGTTGTACAAATAAGCAAATCAAGCAACTAGCACACCTCGTGTTAGCACGCACTACCGTCATGAGAACATCCTTCTTGGGATCATCCACACCTTAATAGGCTTTTGCGTCTGCTCCGGTTCGGCAGCTGTTGCAACTTTTATGGTGGTGGCGTGTCGCTCGCATGGGTTTCCATTCAGTGTCGCGTAATTACTGACTTCAAGCACCCCATCGCACCCGAGTGCCACTAAAGCCAGGGAATTCCCTGGACGGCGTAATCCGTGCCAAAAACGCTGCACGTGCGATTCCACTTGGCAAGTGGCAATCCGGTTCACAACTTGAACGGGCTCCGAGCCACCGCTAGCACACGTGGTTTCACTCATGGACGACCCGGAACACTCGTCACAGACTTCCATGATGTACCAGGTGGTTGGGATGCTGCTTCTGTGCGTCATCTTCCTCATCGTGTGGCTCTTTGCCTGTCGTCGGAATCGCCACTTGATTGACATGGAAACGCCGCTGCTCTCGGGGGAGTCAGTCGACCATCGAATCGACGCGGCGACTCGAGAAGCCGAAGCGGGGTTCAGTGTCTGTGCAAGTTGCGATTTTGAGAACTTCAAGCGCTTTGAGTACTGCGTGCTCTGTGGCGATAAGCTCCTGTCTTTGTCAATCACCACGGATGAAGACGGGAGTACCGATGACTGTGACCGGAGTCCGTATCCTTTCGATACGGACCAGGAACGGCGAGAATCCTTGATCACTTCGCCAACAGCAAATCGAGGCACGATAGGTCATTTGCTATCGCCCCGGTCGAGGAAACTGTCGTCGTTGACTCGACAGCAACGTCGGGCGAGGAACCGTCGAGAGTGGAGCCGGAAACTTGACGTGGAAGGAAACCTCTTTTGGTATCGCAGTGGAGGGAGTGACTTGCCAGTGAGTACGGAGGTGAACGCGCTCATGCCTGGATATACTTTGTCGTTCAAGATTCCAGAGCACAAGGACTTGAAAGTGGAAGAAAAGCATGCAGCTGAAGCAAACAATGATGAAGAGGAGGTGGAGCAATGGCAGCAGGAAGATGACGAGGATCTAGTGATGATGGATGTGGTAACTGAAGCAGTAGAGACGGAGGAGACGCTGCAGGAGATGCGAGACAAGTTTTTTGAAAAGCTCGCGCTGCTTACAGGTGTCGAGGCGGAACTTACCGAGGCCTCAGCTTCCCAACCCGCGGAATTCTCGACTGGCAAGTCGACGCTTGTCGATGCTGGTCCGGAGCGACGGAAAGAGATTGTGGCTTTAGCAGCGAGTGACTTTCCGTCCAAATACGCGCATTTTGTCGTTAGCACGGCGTCACTCATTGTGCCTGCCGAAGTGGAGTTTCTGAAGTTGTCAGTGCACCGTGACTACATGCTCGAGGAGTCTCTGGACCACATGGTTTGTATCCAGCCGAGAAATTTGCGCTCGTTCATGCGCATCAACTTCTTGGACGAGAGTGGCGTGGATGCTGGAGGTGTGCATCGCGAATGGTTCATGCTGGTGAATGAGCTGCTGGTTTCGCCGACACTGCGGCTTTTTACTTGCACGAACAAGGCCGACCAGAGCTACTTTTTCAATCCACAGTCCCGCGCCGAAGTGGGTGAGGACCACCTTGCCTGCTACTTTGCCACCGGACGGTTGATTGGCCGGGCACTATTGGAGGGTGGAATTTGGGGATTCCACCTCGCACTTCCGTTGCTGAAGGTGATCTTGGGCGTGCCAGTGACTTTCGCTGACATGGAGTTTCTCGACCCAGAAACGTACCGCAGTCTGCGGTGGCTAATGGACAACGACGGTGTAGAAGATCTCGAGCTCGATTTTAGTCTCATTGAGGTGGTACATGGATCGGAGAAGGTGGTGGTGGACCTGGTCCCAAACGGCCGTCACTTGGTCGTCACAGATGCAAACAAGCGCGAGTACTTGGACCGTCGCTTCCGGTACGCGCTGTTTGAGAGCGTGGCAGATCAGATGTACGCGTTCTTATCAGGTCTATACGAAGTCATTCCTCGCGACATGTTGCTTCTCTTTGACCCAGAAGAGTTTGACTATCTCCTCTGTGGATCTCCCGAAATTGATGTCACGGATTGGGAGGCTCACACTGTTTTAACTCCGAACCTCGAGAACGCTAGCCTGACCCGTTGGTTCTGGGAGATTGTCCGTCAAATGCCCAATGAATACCGCCGGCGCCTTTTGCTGTTTGCAACAGGATCTGCATGCGTGCCGCTGTCTGGATTCCGTGGCCTCACCAGCTACGATGGCCGATTGTGTCCTTTCAACCTCAAGGGCGTGTCGTACCAAGTGACTCAGTACATATCCAGTCATGCGTGCTTCAACCGTCTGGATTTGCCGCTGTATCACAACAAGAAAGAGCTGAAGAGCATGTTGTACGCTACATTGGACACCGACCTTACGGGGTTCACAACAGCATGACCCAATTGGACGTTGCTAGGCGTCTTTCGGACTACGAAAAAATGGTCACGTGTCTGCAATATCTTGATCGTGGAAGGGACCCCTACAATTTTTGCAAGCATTTATAGTCGGGCTGCGTAAGTTTTGAGATCACGTAAAGCGTCAACGCTATTGCTGGCTCCACGACTACTGCTGCGAAATACAGTGAAGGACTGTACAGCGTCGCGTATCAATCACGCACATTATTGTACAATACAAAAAGAGGTACATGTATTTTCGAGCACCTGTATGAATTCCGTGTTCGCCCCCCTACAACAGCTTTGGATACACCAACAGCAGCATTCCACCAATGTTGAACCCACCTCAAGTTGGTCATGCATTCGGAAATCCGAAGCTTGTGCAGATGGCTATAAGTGAGCCAGCACACCTTCAATAGACATCGATCGATCGATCGAACAGCATGCAGGCTTAGGTAACGAGTCGTTTCCACAGGAAAGTGAAAAGACGCGTGACGTAAGTTTAGACAGGGATGGTGTGACATCATAGCGTGCCGATGTATTTGTAATCTGCTGTGCACACTCTTCAACTGATGATATTTCCGAGACAGAGTCCGACGGAAGCTGTCAAGAGGCCATATTTGCTACTTATGGGCTCAACGTGTCATAGAGGTGGCAGCTGAAGGTGAAATCCATGATCGAGTCGTAGTCAAGCGTTTTGGGCATGGTGTTGATGCCGAAAGGTTAGAACTCGCTACAGGACTGACTGTTGTTGCATTGTGCTAGGTCGAATAAGGATCAATTGTTGCCCTTCATGCTAGCAGCAGTTGAAATGAAGACCAAGGGCATCGAATACTTCTCTTCTAGCGCAGACCCTTACCATGACACTTGCCCTAAAGTGACAGGGTTGGTGCACGACTAAGCACAGGTTGATGACGTTTTTGCCTCATAACGTAGCAGCGAAAGTCACGGGTGGTGATACTGTACAAACAAAAGGCGCGCAATCTTCACTCGTCATGTTTACCTCGGCATTTCGCGGTAAGTAGTACTCTGTGGCGAAACCTTCGTCTTTGACATGCTTTGTAGCTCAGGCAAGACTCAGACCAGCATATGTGGTACGTCTGCACTACGCTTCGGCACTGAGCTGCTTTGTTGCGCTTTTTGCGACCGCGAGCATCTCTGTCACGGATGTGATCTTCTCGCGCGGCTTCCCGAAGGCTTGACCCCGTAAAGTCTCTTCGGCGCTGATGCGCACATAGTCAGCCCATTTCACGAGTTGTTTGTCAGGATAGCGCTTTTTAACTAGCATTTCCACAGCCTCCACTCCACCCAGGTCGTTGCCAGCGTTGCCGTCGCTGTGAAGAAAGTTCCCAGCAGCAAAGTCTTCCACAATGCACCCTACCGTCTCCCGTGCATCGACAATATTGCTGCCAATGATACCAGTAGGGCCACGCTTCACCCAGCCGGTGCAATACAAGCCTACCACAGACTTCTTCTCACCACTGCTGAGTGTAGAAACAACGCGACCTTGCTCGTTTGAAATCACATGGCGACGGGTGTCAAATGGGACACCGGCCTCAATTGGCAGTGACTTGTATCCGATACTGCGCAGCACAAGGCTGCATGGAATATCTTCATAGAATCCGGTTCCTACAGCACGCTGCCGGTTGGGCTCGCCCTCTAGTTTCGTTTTCTCCAGACGAATGGCTCCCACTCGAGTCGGGTCATTCTCGTCGGCAATGATTTCCGCTGGTGAGCTCAAAAACTTGAGTTGCACAACACGCTTGGCGTTTTGAGTGCATTCAAACTGCTCTGCGGCCCTACTCAGCAATTCTCCCATGCGCTTGCGAGCTCGCTGGTCCTGGATTTCCTGCTTGGATGCAGACGTCAAGCTTCGCTTCAGATCATCTGGATCGACGACACACGCAACACCATCCAGCTTAGTCAGCTCGCGAATCTCCTTCATCGTAAACGCCGCCTGCGCACTGCCTCGTCGTCCGACTACGAGCACCTTCTGAATACTGCTATTGCGCAGCACCTGCACTGCGTGAGCCGCAATGTCTGTATGGGCCAGTTCGTCCACGTTCTTTGTGAGAAGGCGAGCGCAATCAACAGCTACATTGCCTTGACCAATGATGACCGCCGTCTCCGTCTGCTTCAAGTCTGGCGTTAGTCCACGAAACGCTGGATGACCGTTGTACCAGTTCACGAATGCACGAGCAGACAGGACACCGTTTAGCTGCTCTCCTGGAATGCCCAGCTCCCGGTCTTCTGCTGCGCCATAGGCCAGAACCACAGCGTGGTAGTGGCGCTGCAGCTCAGCCAGCGTCACGTCTTTGCCCACGCACACGTTCCCCAGAAACCCAAACCGGTCGTCACGAGCCACGAGCTCAAAGTCGTTCATGACGCTCTTCACTTCCGGATGATCCGGGGCAACGCCCGAGCGCACGAGACCGAACGGCGTCGGTAGCGCCTCGAGCATATCGACGCGTACACCGCGGTGCTGCTTGAGCAGGTACTTGGCGGCGTAGAAACCTGCGGGTCCTGACCCAACTACACACACAAGACGAAGAGGAGGAGCGTCAGAAGAGCCATGAGCGCTGAAGCCGCGCACTTGACGACGCGTCAAGTGCCTGGTATACCGGTGCAGCATGTCGTTCGGATCGATGGATCGACGAGGGTAGTTGGCTACATATACCGGTAGGTCGTCGCACAGTGTGCAATTACCGGTATGCAATTCGACAAGTTTGCTCACCTCCCGATAAATCATGTTCAGGGCAGAAAAAGACCCATGGGAAACCAGGTGGCTTTTCAGCATCGGTCGAAAGGACGTTCGGTGGTACCATTAATAAAAGGTACTGAGACACGGTAACAAAGGGCACGCCCTCCCAATACAATCAATACGTGTCACGCATTGCACCAGCGGCAAGTGCCGTAGTCTAAAGCGACGTAGCGCAGCGCATCAACGCAAACGTGGCGCTCTCCTACAGGGTCACATCCTTGCATCCCATCCCGTCCCGTCTAGTCCTCAGTCTGAGCCTCAGTCTCAGCTTGAGGTTCGCCTTCAAATCTTCTCGCACCCAGCTGCGTTGTCCCGGCGCTGCTCGTGCCAGCTGGTTGCGCAATCAGAGTCCACCCTCTAACCTCCAGTGCCTCCGTTGCTAGTTGGCGACCCACTTGATCTACCGGGCTGGCTCATCTCGATCGAACCCGCCGCGCGGCCTCGGCATTCCGCTTTCGCCCCCCCTCTCTCTCTCTCTCTCCCCCTCGTCTCCCTTCCTCCCTCTCTCGTTCGCTCCCCCTTGCGACCACTTTCCCTCGTACCCCATGAGCGACCTCCAGATGGTCGTCGGTGCCAAGTGCTTCGTCCCTGACGAGACGCACGTGTGGCTGGCCGCCCAAGTCCTGCGGGACGAGAACTCGGGCGACGGCAAGACGCGCAAGATCTACTGCAAAGTGGAGCTCCCCGACGGCGGCTCGGAAGAGCGCTGCGTAGACATGCTGGCCAAGAAGACCAAGGCGCTGCTGGCCGTGCACGAGCTCGAGACGCTGCCGTATCAGAACGAGAACGTCGGGCCGGAGGGCATTGAAGACATGATTACGCTCAATTACCTGCACGAGGCGGCGATTCTGTACAACATTAAAAAGCGCTTTTTATGTGAGCTCCCGTATACGTATACCGGCGACATTTGCATCGCTATCAACCCGTACAAGTGGCTCCCGGAGCTCTACGCCGAAGAGCAGCACCGACGGTACTTGAACCAACCCAAGGAAGAGCTCCCGCCCCACGTGTATGCGACGTCTGTCGCTGCTTATGACAACATGCGACGCTCTGAGTGGAACCAGTCGATCCTTGTGAGTGGCGAGTCGGGAGCGGGCAAGACCGAGACGACCAAGATCCTCATGAACCACCTCGCGACGATCGCGGGCGGCATGAACAACTCGACGATCAAGCGCATTATTGAAGTCAATCCGCTGCTCGAGTCGTTTGGCAATGCCAAGACCGTCCGCAACGACAACTCGAGTCGATTCGGCAAGTTTACACAGCTCCAGTTTGACCAGAGGGGCACGCTCGTGGGCGCCAAGTGTCGCACGTATCTCTTGGAGAAGACACGGGTGATCCAGCACGAGGCCCCGGAGCGCAATTACCATATCTTTTACCAGCTCTTGGACTCGCCCGATATGGCGGCAGAGCTCCAGCTCGACTCGACGAAACATTATGTGTACACGGGCAACGACACGGCGCAAAAGATTGAAGGATTGTCGGACGAGAAGCACTTTATCAAGACACGAGAGGCACTGGCGCTCGTGGGACTCTCACACGAAGAGCAGCGGCCACTGTTTGAAGTGCTGGCGGGCGTGCTGCACCTTGGTGAAGTGCAGTTGCTATCCGACGCATCGGACGATGAGAAATCGAATATCGCTGTGGGTGATTGTGGCGCGATCTCGGCGACTGCGATGCTGGGCGTCACGTGGGGAGCACTCGAGACTGCGTTGTGTTCGCGTACCATGCGGGCGGTGAACGATGTGTACAGTGTGCCGCTGAAGAAAGAGTTGGCGATGAACTGTCGTGATGCCCTGGCTAAGGCTATTTACTCGAATGTGTTCGACTGGCTCGTGACGACAATCAATCACTCTCTCGCTGATGACAAGCATATGTCGAATCACGTCGGCGTGCTCGATATTTTCGGTTTCGAGCATTTCAAGCACAACTCGTTCGAGCAGTTTTGCATTAATTACGCTAACGAGAAGCTGCAGCAGAAGTTTACTCAGGATGTGTTCAAGACTGTCCAGATTGAGTACGAGGAAGAAGGTATCGTGTGGGACCACATTGAGTATGCGGACAACCAAGATGTGCTGACCGTGATTGAGTCGCGCATGGGTATTATTTCCTTACTGAACGAAGAGGTGATGCGACCGAAGGGTAGCGAGGAGTCGTTCATGTCCAAGGTGACATCTCTGCACAAGGATGACATGACGCACGTGATTGAGTTTCCCCGCACGTCTCGTACCGAGTTCCTTATCAAGCACTATGCTGCTCCAGTCATGTATGATTCGGTGGGCTTTCTGGAAAAACATAAGGATTCGCTGCTACCTGATCTATCCGAGCTCATGCGTGGTTCGTCAAAGCCATTCATCGCGGAGCTCTTTGAACCGAAGCCGGAGCCCAAGACCGCTGCTTCTGAGGCGTCGGGAGGTCGCCGGAAGCGTGGCGGGGCTTTGTCTATCACGACTGTCGGTACTCAGTTCAAAGAGAGCTTAACAGAGCTGATGGCGACGATCAACTCCACTCAAGTTCACTACGTGCGTTGCATCAAGCCCAACCCGATCAAAAGCTCCACAGTCATGGATCAGTCCATGGTGGTCTCTCAACTACGATGTGCAGGTGTAATTGAAGCTATTCGTATCTCACGTGCAGCGTACCCGAATCGGTTGCAGCACACAGAGATTCTGGATAAGTTTTGGCTCTTTGTACCAAGCGGTGGCAACACTCCGGTCGAAAAATGTCAACTACTCATGGACAAGCTGAAAGTAGAGTCTCCAGTGCAATACCAGATGGGTAAGACCCGGGTGTACTTCCAATTGGGTGTGCTTGAAGAGCTCGAAGATCGTCGTAAGAAATTTCTGGATGCGAAGGCAACGTACTTGCAAAATGTCATGCTTGGCTTCACGCAGCGTATCAAGTACCTCCGACAACTGGCTGCGATTATCAAGCTTCAATCAGTTATCCGATGTGTGATTGCTATGCGAAGGTACAACACATTTATGAACGGCCTCATTTTGATGCAGGCTCACTGGCGAGGTAACCAAGGTCGAAAGGTAGCTGCAGAAGTCAAGAGCAACCACTACGCTGTCATCATTCAGCGGTATGTGCGCGGCTTTGTCAAGCGTCATAGTTACGTCAACATGCGGGCGATGGTCATTCGTGTTCAAGCCGTGGTTCGAATGACGATCCAGAGGCCAAAATACCTCGCTGCACTCGACGAGAAACGTCGGGAGGCTGATATGGCGTACCAACTGAATAAGTTGAAGGCTGCTCTGCAGGAAGAGCAAGAAAGGAATGTGCAGCTACAACGTCGTAGTAGTGTGACGACGGCGGATACAACTGCCGCCTCGAGCGTGGTGATGGCTGACGCTGGTGGCATGATTGAAACTCTTACGGACGAGAATAAGAAGTTGCGTGAGAAGAATGTAGAAATGAAGGTTGCGATGAAGGGTTTGAAGGTCGAGATTGAAAAATTCAAGAGTGACAAAGAATTCTCGTCGGCTGGCAATCACGTCAAGCTTCGTCAGCTGCAGGACACGGTGCGTGAGAAAGACAAGAAGATCAAGTTGCTCGAGGCCGATAACAAGAAGCTCGTGGAGCAACTTGCAAAGATTTACGTGGACGGTGTGCCGGAGAAGAAGTCAACGCAGAAGAAGTCCATCTTCCGTACGCTGGGGTCCAAGAAGGAGAAGAAGCCTCGTGAGACCGTGCTGATGGACTCGCTCACTGGTTCGGATGACCTTAACAGTCGTACGTCGGAGACGCGTCAGTCAGAGCGCCATTTCCCTCGCATGCCAACGATGAGCGTCGGCACCCGCTTCTGGAATAACAAGAAGGGTGGTAACGGCGACGGCTTTGACGTTTCGGAGGTTGAAGGTGAGGATAGCCCGACGGACAGCTCTGCGCGCAACACGATCGTGAAAAGCGTCGAGGTGGGTGTGACGGGGGCCATGTCGAGTCTGAAGGGTCGCATGTCGGTCGTGAAGGGCATGTATGATTCTCGAAGCAAGCGGACGAACAGCAAGCCGGAGGAGACAGCGGGCACGTCTGACAGCGTCCCGTCCACGACGGTCAGTACCTCGAGTAGTGCGAGTAGTGCGAAAGTGAAGCCACCGCCTGCAAAGCCAGCGGATCGCCCCGTGCGCGAGTCGTTCAACCTGGATGCGCTGCCCGAGGTATCCCTGCCCGTTGGCTGGGAGGCCAAGGTGTCCCGCTCAACGGGCCGCGTGTACTATGTGAACCGCAAGCTCGGCAAGTCTCAGTTCGAGCGCCCTACACTAGCTTCGGTGAAGGCCCAGAAGCTGGCGCGTCAGAAGTCAGCGAACGGGGTGTAACTAGACCGCGAGATGCGATGACAGCCGACAGCACGACTTCAACCGTGGTGTCACGCAGAGGCTTGGAGGAACGCGTGACCCTTGTCTATTCCAAGTCGTGTTGTCATTCATAATAAACGTACGTGACCTTTCGTGGGCACAACTTGACCGCAATCGGGACACGAAGGGGCAAGCGGGTGAGTGAACTCATCGGCACGTCAGGTAAACTGGACAAGTACGATAACCTCTATTGAGGGACATCTATAACCTACCTGCCGCCTGAGCGCGTACGCAAACTTTACCGTCGTCTCACTCTCTTTCGGTCAGTCGAAAGCTACGAACGGATCGGCCGGCAGTAGACGATTAATGAGCAAGGAGGCGTACGGACGCGCGTCAACTCTCGCTGCGAGGTCGACACGATAGTAACAACTGGATCTGCACGTAGGTAGGTTGGTTACCTCTTGTATCGGCACCTCCTCGCAAAGGGTTTCTGCAATGCAGCCAAAGCTTTTCTTAGATCACTTCGATGTCGTTATGCTTGCGACTGCTGCGTTTCCGGAAATTCCCATAGTGCGAGTGGGTCGCCGAGATCAGACTCCGAAGGGCGCCGGACGCGGCGTTCGCGTACGACAAAATGGGAGGACTGTCCTTGTGCATCGTAGGGCCGTCCAGAGTCATTTTGTCGGCTGCTGAGACCGTGAAGCTCGCAGCTTTGGGAACGCTAGTGTACGCCATGGATGACGACGCCCGTTCTTGCCGCGGCATTGTCATGCATCGGACACGCTGGATTGTGTGGAGAAGAGCAGGCGACAGCTTGCCCCCGACCTCCTTCTTAATGATCTCCGTGATGGACTCGCACTGCGACTGCAGTGACGTGAGCTCTTTGTCCATTGTCTTGAGCTCGTGCTCCAGGGTCTCCACGTTCTCCATGCCGATCGAATGCAGTGCACTACACTCGCTTTCGAGCTCGTTCGCCTCGATCTCGAGCACCGAGTTGAGGCGAAGCAGTGCGTGGACCTCACGCGTCAAGTGCTCGTTCTGGGCACGGAGCTCTGAGGCCGATGTCATGCTGCACACCACGTCACTTCCGGGACCGAACACGAGTAATGACGACGACGCGATTGCAGCAAACGAACAAGCGTGAGGGACGCAGCACATGACGAAACGACGGAAAGGACTGCCATAGCGGCTGGGACTTGTGTCTTGAGGCTGGCGGTTGCGCTCGGGCCTAGAGCTCCAAAGGGGACGAACGGATGACCACGACGTGTTCACCGAACAGAAGGCATCGATTCCTATGTAGGTTCTGGACCATGTGCTGAGCATTACACGGATGTAGAGAGCACAGACACCACAACAGACGACGAGTCACTGCGGGCAAGAGCTAGAGAGGCATGTAGCGGGACATTGTCAGCTGGTAACCGACTGTTAAAAGAACGCTTCGGCAACAACTTGCAACCTCAGCTGGAGCTCTCCAGGAGGTCAAAGTGCGGTGGTGTGCACGCTTAGGTAACACAGTAGGTAGTAGCCGTTCAAAGGAGCAAAAGCCTAACAAAGCGGTAGTAAAGCTAATAGCAGCTCCCATTGCAGTCGTTCGGTCTGGAGCCATATTAGAGACCGGGTATCAACTCGATCAGACAAATGTACCAACGCCGTCGTTAACGAACCTCACATAAAATGTACCCCCACAAGATGATTACGCCGTCGTTGTCGAACTTCACGTAAAGTGTACCCCCCACAAGATGATTACGCCGTCGTTGTAGAACTTCACATAAAATGTACCCCCACAAGATGATTACGCCGTCGTTGTCGAACCTCACATAAAATGTACCCCTACAAGATGATTACGCCGTCGTTGTAAAACTTCACATAAAACTGTACCCCCACAAGATGATACGCCGTCGTTCCCCCTCCCAAACTCGATTCATCAATTGTGCTGGGCATCATGGAGAGCGAAGGCGACAGTCGCGTGCATTTCTCCGACGTGAGTGATCCGTGGTCCAGCTCCCGCCACGTCGCCGTGCTCCAAGCCCTCGATGCAGTGGAAAAGGTGCGTGTTTTGCGTACTTAGTGGCCGTCCCCGCTCAGTTCTGATGCCTGCCTGCCTTCTAAACCTGTGATGTCGGATCGTTTCTTGACTTGGCTACACTTTGACTGGCTCGCACTCGATAGAAACTCGTGACAGCTCTGCGCACAGCTGCGACTGCCATGTCCCTCATCACACCGCGTGTCTCGTCTGAAGAAAGGTCGTCACTGGCTTTCAATGCAGCGTGCACCGAGTTCGTGCAGCTGGTGAAAGAGATCCACGCCGAGTTGGCGACCCATATCCACCTGGTTTCGGACTACCGCACGTTTGCGCGCAGCACTTATGGCGCTGAAAAGGACGTGGACATATGTCGTGAAAAGATTAAGGTTGTGTCAGAACAGCTGCAGACGCTCTCGAGCTTCCTCGAGGACCACTATACGCCCGAAGAGAGCTCGTGACGGGTAGACTTTCCACCTGAACCAGGAGCGAGCTGCTGGATATTGGTGGTCGTGGCAGCTTCATCGAGTTTTGATCTTGCACTTTTCGCTAGCTCTGTGCTTTTCCATGCTGTGCTTGGGATGGCAGCGTAGACGTGGCGAAACTGTGGATTGGTTGATGTCCTGCCTGCTCAGACTGATGTGATCTGAACGACTATCTGGTCGCTCTACTCAATTTGAAAAGCTCCCCGGTGGGATATTAACAGTCTTAAGACACACTCATCTTCCTTTTCTTCCCGTAAACGTCCCTCGAGTTGTTATTGATCCGGATGTCAATGCGAAAGCTTTCAAGTTGAACACATGTGCTTCTTTTTGACCTGCAAGCAAATGGATGTATCGGATGCTGTAAGCCTTACCATGTCATCGTATGAACTAATGCTTCTCGATTCATGGAATGCGTACGAGCCACATCAACGCAAAACAAGGCATGAGACGTTAGCGAGCGCAAGACCTCGGTTGAGTCAGACTTGAAGGTGTAGACGGATCAAGAAATACGTGAAAACACTGATCGTCGGAATTGAACATGGTTCCATTATGGTGTGAGGTATCTTCGATCGAGGCAAGTCAGTCCTCATCTGTGTTTGATGGGATCAGGATCCTACTCGATGCCGGTTTTCACTAGAAACGTTTGCTGTGTGCTCTGTCTACCCAAGCAAGAAACAAGTTTGTGCTCACCAAGTGGTATCGTTGACTCCGATCAGCATCTTGCAGCGCAATCATACGCAAACTGGAAAACTCCTGCAAAAACTGTGCGTGGATTGTGCAAGAGATGAGAAGCTCGAGGATGTGGTGCTGACTATTGACTTCAGTTGGACGGACTGAGAAATATGAGGGGTACGATGATATGCTGACAACACTTCGGATCCATTGGTGTGACCTCCTGTCATTTTGGAGAGTCTAGTACCAAAGCACTCACGGCACGACATGGCGTTGGGGTCTCATCGAACGACGCAACAGTACGTACGTCACACAAAGCCCAGGATACATCTAGAATTACTTTAGCAATGACAATTGCTACCGAGGTCGAAGTGTCCTCTTCAGTACGTATTTCCGAACAAGAGCTCTCTCTCACAGTACCCTGGTGTCTAACAAAAGCACCATACGAGCCAAGCGACCACAAACATGCAACCGACTTGTCATCAAGCGGCTGAACTTTTGGATGAAGATCACGCGATCCGGTGGCCAGCACCAACGATGTTCGAATTCAGAGCAATCGCTTGTTATCAAGTACACTGAAAAATGCCGATTGTTTGCAGCCGACCATTTGTACCGTGCAGATGATCTCCAGCAAGTGTTGGAATATGGTGGTCATCTGCCACTGTATGGAGATACACCGTTGCACGTCTTGAGACCGCACATACCCGTCACTCTTGCCGTGACAATAACCCAAATACTGCTTGTAAATCACCGTAACAGTCATCTGTCACTATACTGGACCAACACCGATAGGACTGATCTGTATAGCATTTGTTGACTACCGCCACTCAAAAAATACCTGGCGACAAGCTAGTTGCTCCTAGAGCACAGTTTACATGCCTTGTCGTGCCTCATGAGTGCTATACAAGTGTTTTCTTGCAATCACCTTCAACAGGAAGAAAGCAATGTATTAACGCCACACTCGCTCTTGCTGCCCACCATTTTTCAAAATCGATCATTGCCACTTGCAAGCCGTCCAGCCAAATTGTTGCGTTCACTTTTTCGCTACCCACCGGCGCGAGCTCAGTCGCAATGACATCGGCAGATCGTTTGCTCATGCAGTAAGTGGCATTCAAACACAGTTTGGTAAACGCGAATCAACGACAGCCGTGCTTGTCATTTCGCAACAGTGTGCACTTTTTGTCGCCATGCCTTTCGATTCTTCGGTCGTAAAACGACTTCACATGCCGCAGCGCTTCGAGTTCGTTTCATTTCCGAGGCACATACACGCCACCTGCTCGCGACACCCACGCCTCGGGTTCCGGTCGATAACATGGATCAAGCGCTCGCGGCGGACTGGGACTGCGATCGTCAAAAGCACTATGAGTCCACTTTCGCTCCACCGAGGCCGATGAGCGCCGTCGACTGGCTCGTGGTGCAGGTGATCGACTTCTACGATAATGTTTTCTTTCCCTACTTCTGCTACGACTTCGGGACGACCCTCGACGTCGAGACGATCGGCTGTGAGATGTCGTGCCATCGCGGCTTCGACGTCGCGAACGGCTCCTGCTTCGACTTTGCTTCCTCCTCTTGTACTGATTGTCTCGACGTTCATCCAACTGTCAAGCACCACCATAAGATGAGTCAATCGTCTGCCTTCAACTTCACTCGAAAGACCCGCACAACAATCGTCAATCAACCCTGATACCTGTGGACGAAACGGGTCCGGCGGCGGCAGCGGCGTGCGATAACAGCGATCTCGACGACTCGACGACCTGGATGGATCCCGTCGGCGTTTGTCCCGCTTATGGTTGCGTTTACGCGCATGTTTCTCCTCCTTGTCGCGCTCGTGCTTGTCCAGAACGACCTCAATATCCCGACCAAACTCGTCCTTTTGCAATACAATTGTCGGCATCGACTGTTCGTCAGCTACCGACGTGACCGTCTCGTCTGCCGCTTGGCTCGCTTCTATTGACTTGACGTCCGCTGCTGTCCACTGTCCAACGTCGCGTGTCACTCGAGACTCGTCCAGTGCCACGTCAGACGGTGCAGACGGTGAGCACGCGACGGAACGATCTCGCCACTGCATGTCACATGCAACAACCAAACAAGCGACAGCTTCAATTACTATCGAACAACAGACCCACAACTGACATGGCAGAAAGGACAGCGTAACGCAACGTGCGCATGCGACCGTTTCGCCGCGCGACACCAGGGGGGGCGCCATACCGCCAGTTGCGCAGCCCAGCGGTGGGCATGACGGCCACTGGATCGACTTTCCACCAATGAGAGGGTAGCAGCGTACTTAGTGGAAGACCTCCCCCTCCACCATCACCAACGACAAGATCGAACCTTAAGCGAGCGACCAAGCGAGAGAGACCGAGAGAGGAGAGAGCGACGTCGCTGTAGCCATGAGCAGCAGCCCCAGCCCCAGCCCGAGCGCCCGTGACGACACTGACGCGTTCGTGATCAAGACGGCCAAGCACCGCAAGAAACCGCCGTCTGCTGTTGCTGTCGCAGCAGATTCAGCGAGTGGAGACGCAGTCGGTCGCACGAGTGCGTCGACGTCGACCACTCGCACGACAACCGCGTCGGCCAGTCGGACCGAGAGTAGCGACGCCGCGCCCAACATCTCGCTGCGACCGCGGACGATGTTTGCCATGAAGGGACGAGGCCGCACCGAGTCGGAAGGCGCAGCTTATCGTCCCCAGTGGTCGAAAGACGGGGAAGGCTTTGTCTCGTCTTCAACAACAGCTACCGCTACAACCTACAACCGCTACAGCTGCTACAGCTACAGCTACAACAATGTCAACAAGTACTGGACCGCTGTCGATGAAAGACGCGATCCTTGGGGGCGGCGACGACCACCGGAACGATCGACGCAAGCTTAAAGTCTTGCGCTACAGCAAAGAAGAGCTTCTGGCGCTCCATTGTCCGACGGACGAGCTGCCAGCGGTTTTAGTCGAGACGTCCGTGGCGTCGGAGCACAGTCTCCCGCCCGTGGCGACGCTGCCGTTTGACTATGAAGAGATTTACAAACAGTGGTCGCTCAACCGCAATCGTGGACGTGGGCGCGGACGCAGCAATGCAACTGCTGCTGGAGCGGGGGCAGTGCAAGGCACGCGAGGACATCAGGATCGCGGGGCACGGGGAGACGAGACGCTGGACGGTGCTACGCAGCAGAAGGACGAGGGGTTTCTTCGACAGGGACACAAGGAGAGGGACTCGACGTGGGAGCGCGGTGTAAAGATTACGGAAACATCGTCTCGAGGCGACTGTATTTGGGACGATGTCTTGGAGCCTGGCACGGACAGCAATGAAATGGTGCGTGGGTTGGCATAGTGGAGGTTCGCTTTTGCTGGTTCTGACTATTGCTGGGGCTGTGGTGTGTGTTGTGGTTGTTGTTGTTGTGGTTCGGATGTGGATTGTAGGACTTGACAAGTATGGCAGAGGCCGCCGAAATATTCCGACGAGAGATGGACGCGATGCGGGATGAGCTGCAGGGGCCGAAGGTGGACCCGGTAAGTGTTGCAGCACTGTCGAAATTGCCGTGCACGGTAAAGACCTGATGTCGTGCTGTGCTTTCAAAGGATGAAATTAAGGACGATTTGGACGCATTTGACAAGAAACTTGAGGATGCTGCGGCTGCTGGGCAGTTTGAGGATAGCGATACTGAAGAAACGCCGTGGGACGATCCTACGCTGGACGACCAGAAGGCTACGGAGGGTGGCAACCATCTGTCCGACGAACACGCGGTAAATCCGTTGGAGCCTCAGTCAAGCGGCAGCCATTCATTCGATGCGCTGGAACCTGCTGACACGCAGCTTGCACTCGAAGAAAAAGGCAGTCGTTTGTTTCCGCAAGTGCCTGCTGAGGAATGCTCTGCTGGGCCACCCTCGTCATGCGTAGAGATGGCGGACGAATGGTTTTATCTGGACCCACAAGGGTTGCAGCGTGGACCGTTCAAAACGGCCGAGATGCGGGAGTGGTTTGAAGCAGGCTACTTCAAGCCGCACCTGCCGATTCGTTTTGGTCAGCACGGCATATTCACGGCCTTGGCAAGTCAGTTTGTTCCCGGGCAAATTCCATTTGCCACTTTGTCGACACGCGTGAATAGTGTTGGAGGAATTCGGATGGACCCCATTCTGAGTGAGCAACAGCGTTTGCTAGAACTGCAGCACGAGCAGCAGCGCCAGCAACAAATGATGCAGCTTCAGCAACAGCAGCAACAACAACGCATGCTGCAGCTGGAGCAAGATGAGAAGATTCGTATCGAGATGCAGCGGCTTGAAATTGCACGTCAGCAGCAGCAGACGCAGTTGTATCAGCAGCAACAGATTCTACGTGATCAGCAAGAAAAACAGCGGCAGCAGCAACAGCAACAACAGCAATTTTTCTTACACCGGCAGCAAAATTCGTGGCAACTCAGCCAGCGTGAAGGTATAATGAGCGCGCTAGGTCTTTTCAGTGGAAACCAAGCCAATGTTGCATCGACCGACAGCTTCAGGACCGATGGCGTGGAGAGTCAATTCCGGTCTGAGTACCACACCCATCACCAAATGAGCACGCAGAATGCGCCACCCGTTGGTCAAAGCGCGGCTCTTGTAAACGATGAAGCGCAGAGACGCACACAAGCGTTTTGGCCAAACGCTGCTCCGGAATTACCTGGTCCCGAAAACGTCACAGGTTTGGGCTTGCAATCAGCACAACCCAAAAGCCCAGTAACACCAGACTCGACTCAGCTCCCTGAATCGAACGGATTGGCACCCGTATCTGATGCATGGGCACGTCGACAAAAGGTACCGGAGCAATTGCCACCACCGTCGCACGACATCCGTGTTGAGGCGACGCATCGTGCTGCACAGGAATCTCACGGTAACAACAACCAAACCACTGCACAACACGGACAGCCAGGGAGCGCATTGTCTACTACGCCGACGAAGAAGAATGCCAAGTCCAGTGTAGTACAAAAGAACGGCAAGCATGCAGAAAACGGTACAGTTGCAACTGACGCGTGGGCGATTGGAACAGCGCCTGCTGCGGCGTCGTCAAAGTCGATGTCGCTGAAGGACATTCAGCAGGAAGAGCAGCGTGAATTGCTTGAAAAGAGAAACAGGGACAAGGGAGATACGGCGCATCTTGCGCAAATGGGGGCTCAGTTAAAGATGATGCTGGGTGTGGATTCAATGGCCGTTACACCAAAGAACACTCCTTCGGTGTCTGTACCACAAGCTACGGTGGTTAAGTCGACAGCAACGTCAACACCAGTGCCGACCCCAAGCTCCTCTTCACCTGTACGAGGTCCGTGGGGTCAACCTCCTGCTGTCGTAACAAGCGACAAGTCAAAGTCAATGCGTGATATTCTGGCCGAAGAAGAGCGGTTGGCACAGGAGCGTGCTAAGGCAAACGCGAATGCGCCGGTCAATTCGCAGTGGGTGAACATCGTGGCTGGTAACAAGGCCGCTGCAGTTCCTAAGCCGTCCCGATCAGTGTTGGGTCCCGTTCCCGCATCCGTGCTGAAGAGCCGTCAACAAGTTCGTGCTACCAATGGTGCATTGAAGCCACCCCCATCCAAGACCGAGAACGATGCGTCGTTCTGGAACTTTGGAGCAGCTCAACCGGCTGGCAAGGAGTCTGTCGTCAGCGTCGGTAGCTCGAACGCGTTTGGATTGAACAGTGTATCGTCGGAGTTCATGGCCTGGGCTTCGAAGCAGTTGAAGACGATCGACGTTGACGCGAACGTGACGTTGTTGGAATACTGTGCGTCAGTGGAAGACCCCGGCGAAGTTCGCGAGTACCTTGCGGCGTATTTGGGCTCGACACCTCGCGTGTCGGCGTTTGCCACGGAATTTATCCAGCGGAAAAAGCTGCAAACAAGCGGCAAGAAGTCACCAGGGCACCAGGATGCCCAGCAGCGTGCATCGGAGACGGACTCGTCGACCAGACGAGGCAAGCGCCGGTCCTAGGACGACAAAGAAGTGGATATTGTTGTTGCTGAGCTACTCAATGGACTATTTAGGGTGCAATGACGACAGTGAGCGGCGATGAGTTGACTACGTAGTAGGAACACGTCGAGCCGGATAAAGAAGAGCATAAGGCAGGGGAAGAAAGAAACGACTTGTTTTCGCTGCAGTTGTGGATCGTTTCAAAGTGGAAGTGCATGTCCACAGTGCAGATGGGTACGACGCACAATGTCGGACACGAAAAGAGCATGAGCCATCATTGTAACGAACAAGTTATGCTTGTCCTATGCTATCGCATATTGTCAATTGCACATGTTCGGGTAGCTCTCGACTATGTTTACTCGAAAGTCGACGCATGTCGTAAACTGCATGGGATCATCATCTGCCAGTATGATTTTCGATGCCTTCGTCATAACTCATCAGCCATTCTAAATTACGTTTGCGGTGGACGCAAAAAGTTTCAGACTTTGACAGAAACTAGCGCGCGAGATCAAAAGCATTCCGACGACTATTTTTGGACAGCACGACAGTGAGAGCAGTATTCGTTCGGTGAGGTTCTCCGACGAGCGGTACACTGTACTGACCTCGACTACCCCGAGGTTTTTTACAAAGTCCAAATTTGCCACCAGGGAGGAATTGCAATAGCACTTTATTCGATCGGAGCGAGCGCTATGGACGAGGAGATGAAGAGCGAGGTGGAGCCGGCAGTAGCGTTGACGACGCAGCCAAGCGAGGAGAAGCGCTTTGAGATCAAGAAGTGGAATGCCGTGGCTCTCTGGTCATGGGGTGCGTCATTACTGCTGCAATGATATCCTTTCGGTTTTTAGTGTCCAACTGTTGAGTTTATTGTGATATTGAAATATCTTTTGATCTCTTTTTGTTTTTTTTCATTTGCTACTTAGATATTGTGGTGGACAACTGCGCGATTTGCCGCAATCACATTATGGACTTGTGCATTGAATGCCAGGCCAATCAGGCGTCTGCTACCAGCGAGGAGTGCACAGTGGCCTGGGGCGTTTGCAGTAGGTCATCTTTTCGTGTATACATGGCGGCAGCGACGGTGGGGGGTGGGTGGATTTGTGTCACGACCAATATCTGACTGTATACTCGTGTATGTATACTTGTTCAACTATTGGCAACAGATCACGCCTTTCATTTCCACTGCATCTCACGGTGGCTCAAGACCCGCCAGGTGTGTCCATTAGACAACCGTGAGTGGGAATTCCAGAAGTACGGAAGATAAGTGCGAGCGGCAATGGACTGAGTGAGCTCAAGGTGGCGAGGACTCGTCGCTTTGCCCGCTGCGACCACATTGACCGGGAAAAGGAATGGTGATGATCATGATGCAGCGATTCGGTCCGTTTGCTGGAATATTACAGAGGCACATTGAGCTGGAGTAAAACAGGAGCGAGGGTATCGAGGTTGACTCGGGTGTTGGCCTTAACGACTTCAGTAAGTCGGTTCATTCTCCTTAATTTCACGATCTTAGCGTCTTTGGCACTTTTTTAGCTGACGTCTGCCAAAGGCAAACCGCGCATTGTGGAGTATTATTAAATGTTCACCCTACTACTTCCTTGTCTTTGAGAAATACATGCAGTCAACCTGCGTGGCTACTACGTCCAGAGCGAGAGCACGCCCATAGCGCCGTATCCAGCAAGCAGAGCCGAGCACTTTTCGAGTTGGTACCGCGGATCTTGCAGTTCTCGTGGGATAATCTCCATAATTGCAACAAACAGGAACGTTCCACCAGCAAGCGCAGCACAGACGCCACCTGCAGGCGTCGCTTGCGTCGTATCCACGAGCAACCTTCCAAACAAAATGCCCATGGGCGTCATGAGCGAGAAGACTGCAATCGACGACAAGAGTTGCGTCCGCGGGACATCATGATGCAGGAGCTCCAGTGCCAATGCAAATGCGGCAAGCGACTTGTGTGCCAAGATCGCAATAAGGATATCCCATGCGGGCGTGCTGGACGCGCCCATGCCCATGCCTTCCATCACCGAGTGGAACGACAGGGCAATGAACACGACAAGTGCCAGGATAAAGTTGCCCCGGACGATACCGTGGATATGAGCGTGGGGCTCCTCTCTGCTGCTGTCGTCGTCAGTGTCCACTTGTCCACTCACGTGCTGTTTCGCACCTCTCCCTTGTGTGCCATAGGCCCCACCAGTCCCGAGTGAGACCGGATCGTCAGTACCATTACAGTGCTGCTGTCCAGCTGTCGTCGTCGTCGCTACAGCATCTCCAACCAACACCAGCAGCTCGCCTGTTGTCCCCTCTTCCTGGCGGGTGTACCCATTACGACTGTAATGCCGCTGCAGCGTATGTGCCACAACCTCAATGAGGAGCACCAGGAGGAAGCCGCAGCCGTAGAAGAAGTTGGCCCACTTGAAACACCGCGTCTTGTCCCCGTCATAGCGCGTCCGCACGGCCAGAAACACCTGTGCCGTGTGGTCACAGCCCCACTCCATGAGCGCCGCGTTGTTCTGCGCGTCCGGGAGCAAGTGCAAACACGAACTGGCGAGGAAGATGCCGGCGGCCACCATGTTGAGCACGCAGCTGGCGCGTTTGCTCACGCGGTGGCGACTCAGGAGCGGCGCCGTGCCGCCTACGAGCGCGAGGATCCAGATGCCGAGCGCTGCCAGCAGCTTGAATTCGTCCAGCGGCTCCATGCTGGTCGTGGTCCAGTCTTGGTGATGGGTGGGGTGGGTGTTATGCACGAGTGGGTTGTTGTGGGTGTGTTTTTTGGGATTGCGGGAGGTTGTGGAGGGGCACTTTGGTGCGGACGAGGAAATCGTAGACTGAAACGAGTGCGGGCGAATGCGCATCACGTCGCGGTTCTGCTTTTTTGTGCTTTTTTGTGCTTTTTCTTGTCCGACGGCGGTGGGAAGTTGGAGATTGGGAAACGTGATACGGACCCAGATCGAGGCGAGCGGGGGTTGGACTGGCTATGACCGAGAAACGCGCGACAGACGAGGCCGTGCGAGACGATATTGTTACTAAGTACGCACGCATCAAGCTCGTGACCGCTCACTTGACGGACTCACTACCAGAAAAAAAGCATCTGCAGCGTCTTTCGTGGTGGTGGTGGTGGCTGAGATCGTGCGTCACGTGTGTCGGCATGCGTGACGACTTCCGATAGCATTTTTCATGAACGGTTTGTCACGGAGAACATGGCGACATGCTTCGATGTTTGGAAAGATCGCAGCTCGACGCAGGGAGATGCATGCTTGCGTGCTTTCTACTGCCATTGAGATCTAGCGGAGCTGTACAAAAGGAGAAGCCGACTATGCACCGTGGTGCCAATCGTTGCTGCAAAATGCTGTGGTAAGGCAGTCAGCGCAGACACGACGATCGAGTTGGACCACGTACGGGATCCAATGACTCCTTTTTTTATGCGGTGATGTCGATACTGGATGACACACGCGCTCGTGCTTGCATATTCGTGCATGAAGGTAGTACACAAACTCTGTAGCTGATGCACTAGACGTCGGAGAGTATCGCCGAGTTGGTCTTTACTCTCGACGTGCTCGCCACAGCCTTTGAACAATGTGGAGAAGTAGATGACTGGCACGAAGCAGAACTAACTCAAGGGGACATCATCCAGTCACGAACAGCCGATCGTGACAATCCACTCGTCCACACTCGATCGATAACCACAAGATACTTAAAAAGCCAATCCGAACATCAAACGAGTCAATCGACCGTGTCCCCCCACCGTCGGCCTAGCGTCACACGATCTACAAACCGTACTTACCGTCACAATCGAACTTAGTGGACACGACTTGTCCTGAGTGACACGCCCCCCACCAATCACGACCAAGTCGGACGCGCAGGATGGAGCCGCCAAGCCTCGAGCTCCGACCGCTCGGCCGCGATCCAAAGAGCCTCAAGCACAAGCACAAGAGCAAGCCCAAGAGCTCTCAGAAGCAGCAAACGCGCGGAGGCAGGAGCGATCTCACTGTGGAGCTTGCAAATCGAGACGACCAACTGCGGGAGCTCTTGGCTGGAAAAATTGCCGAGATTCAAGTCGGTGGCGACGAGACGTTCGACGATCTCTCGGGTCGGTAGCAGTAGCTGCTTGTTTTGATGCACAACGCGTCGATTTTGCAATGTACTGATATAAGTTATTTATGAATGGCTGGTATTGCTCCGACGTTTGGTTGTTTGGTGAATTGGTTGGGTGGTTGAAGGGATGTACTTGGATGAGACGCTGCCAATTGCGATGAAGAGCAAGGCAGCGAGTGTGAAGGAGAGTGAAGAGATGACGGCTGAAGATAAAGTGGAGGCACTTGTGGGCAGTCTGAATGAAGCGGTACGGAGCTCTGGGTCGGTGGGTCTAGAGGTGTGTGGACTTGAATTGTGATAACGAGCGTTTCGGGTGTGGTTTTGGGCTGTTTCGTAGAGCGACCAAGTGGCATTGATGCAGCAGAAGATTAGCGAGTTGAATGCCAAGTGCATTCTGCTGAAGCAACGCAAAGGCGCAGGTGTGTTTGATGAGTGTCCGAGTGATTTGGTTTTTCTCCTTTGCACGTAGCTGCTTTGGTGACGAGTTGAGTCTTGATGCAGTAAGCTCCGAGCTAGTGAAGTCGAACGCGTCCAGGGCCAAGCTGGAACAGCTCTGTCGAGAGCTGCAAAAGCAGAATAAAGTTATTGTGGTTCGTAGATTGGTAAAGTAAGATGGTTGGAGCGTCTCGGATTTGACATGCCCCGGTCTCTGTCTGTTCGTTTACACAGAGTGAAAGCCGTCGTATTGCTGACGAAGAGGATCAAAAGCGGTATGTGCGTGTGGAATGCCATGATACGGGAATATACGCATAGTTGACTCGTGGATCGTGCTGTCTAGACGTGACTTGTCAGCCCAATTTCAGAAAACGATCGAAGAAGTGGGCACGAAAATGGACAAGCAGAGTCAGGACTACGTGTTGTCACTGAAAGAAAACGAAACGTATGTGTGTGTGTGTGTGTTGACTCGTGCTGTCAACCGACTCACAAGTCGAGATAGATGCAAGAACTCACGCTTGTGTATCCCCATTGCAGTCTTCATCAGAAGCTAAAGACGTCTCTTGAGCAATACACGGCACGTGAAAAGTACTTTCAGCGGCAGCTGGAAGCAAAGGATCTCGAAGTCCAGCTTGCCGAAACGAAACTGCGGCATCAGATCGAGCTGACGTCGCTTGAAGCGGAGAAGGTGAAAGGCACTCTTGACAAGGCCAAAGAGTTCTCCAACCGTGAGGTTCAGTTGCAAGCACAGCTCAACTCGTACTCTGAAAAGTTCGACGTGGTGCAGGAAACACTGACAAAAAGCAACCAAATGTTCACTACCTTCCGTGATGAAATGGAACGAATGGCCAAATCTACCAAGATGCTGGAGAAAGAGAACCTAGCACTCAAGAAGAAGTGTGCGGCGTATGACACGGGTGCAATTGCTTCGATCCAAGGACAGGTAGCGTCTGCTGAGGAGACGCTGAAGCTGCACGAGAAGATCAAGAAGCTCGAGCGTCTTTGTCGCCATTTTCAAGCTGAGCGTAAGAGCATTCGACAAGACCAGCCTGACCAAATTGCTGCAGTCGCGACAAGAGAATCGAGTTGACATGCAAGACAAGGTCTGCTGATTCCGTGAAGCTTTACGTTTGGGTCAACCTAATGATAGCAGGTTTATCCGAGTATAGATCTTTTCGCACGCGTAAAGTTCTTGCCCTAGACAATGGGATATGGTAGGAGCGATACCACGATTATAGTGGAGTAAGCGTACGTCGAAAAAGACACAAAATGTTCGTATCGTAGACTTTTTACGAATAGTGTGCTGCTCCGCATGTAGAGTACTGAGAATACAGCTAGAGAGCATCGATTGGTAATATCCACTGATTACATCTATGTCGTGGCTCTATTTGTGTGGTACTATTCTTACCGATCAGACTGCACTTGTTCACGGCGTACATATGCATGCCACATTACACTTGTGTAGGCTTATGTAGGTCTTGTTGTTTTTCTATCAGTGGGAGCGCCTCTAAGAGTCCACCACCATAGAAGAATTATCTGGTAATGACTGTTCTTTGTCATCTTGACGATTATCGACTGAAAGCCGGCTAGTGTTGCAGATCAATCGTTACTGTCGCCACCATCTCACGTGATAAAATGATCACACAAGGTCAATGGGACCCACATGAAATGTTGTAGCAAACCGATAACAACGCCAGGTCTGTAGGAAGACGCAAGAGCAGAGAGAGGAAACAATGCGTGTCAGTGATAGTAGTAAGTAACTTCATACATTCCTCAGTTCACAATTGTCATTCAAGTATTCAGTCACGAACAACAACAAGCAGCGAAGAGTCGGCTGCTGAGCGGAAGGGACTCCGGTGCGTGAAACTTTAGAGAGCGAATGCGTCGTTAGTCCGATAAAAGCTGCATCGATGGTATTGGCGTAATCGTTGTCGTCGTCATTGGAAGTGATGTTTGCTATCCACATTTGGCATCCGTGATGTACAAAAACGTACTTGATGGTGCTTTACGACCACCTCTCTCGATGTTGCCACCGGGAATGCAATCACCATGATGATGATATAGCCATTTCTGCAAAAAGAGACATGACAGTTATATGGCATGAATATGCACGGATGCAACAAGTGTGTACTTTGCCTCTCGAGAGGGTTGCCGCGTCAATATTTGTCCACTTTTATGGCTTTATCAACGTATGTTAAACCGCCGTGCTCTTTAAACTTTCGATAAGTAACCCATGGCCTGCTGGCAATCGCTATTCCAGTAATACGATAGATTGGGTATGACAGATGAAGATTGTCAAGTCGGTTCATTGACGTACTCGCGACCGGTACGTTTGACCTTTCTCTTCTCCTAAGGACAATTGCAAATGACGAGAAAGCGTTTACGAGGACCGACGTCAATGCACCGCATCTACATTGTTCGTATCTTTAATGAACCATCTGAACCAACAACACTTCAGTGACCATTTCGTAGCTCGTTCAGCGAAATAATGCTCCCACCTTTGCGTTCGAACTCCGTGTAGAATAACTTCGCAGCACTTGAACTTCAACCCGTTCTACGCATCTGAGACACAGTGCATTGTGACTGCTACTGTTTAGATTGATTATGAAGTGAAGCCTTTGGCGTGAGGGCCGTGATGTGTGGTGATAAGCATCTGACATTGTAAAATATCTATTTGCTCCGCTGCGACGTTGTTTTATCATCTTGAGTGTACGACTAATTCATTGGATGCACACAAGATCAGGGTACGGGCATGAGTAATCTTATGCATGTTAAAATTCCTTAGGATCTGAGTACGACACACTATCGATCGCTTCAGACTGATGCAGTTAAGGAGCGCACAGCGTTTAATCAGGCACAGACAAAGCACATCAATTAATGCAGTTTTAAACAGACCATCAAGCTTCTACCAAACATGCAACGATTCTTCATCATACATTACATCACCCCTTTCATCCAGTATTTGGAACCAAACCCGTTGAGGTGCCCGAATTGACAGGCATGGGGCGAATGCTGCAGATGTATCGGACCAGCAGGTCACTGCAACTTGAACGAAAAGATCAAGACAAGCTGTTGTCTATGATGCAAGATCAGCAATGCTCTGACGAGAAGCATACATCTTCCTGTGCGACACATCATCGAAGAAGGAACGCTTGCATGTATCGGCACTACACTCCCCCGCCAGCATGTCAGCGACTGATGATCCACTGCAATACAAAAAGGCACCTCAATGACAACTCCGACAGGTGCACACGCACCACTGCTTTGCACTCAAGACGACACGCTCTTAGCATACTTAAGCGCAAGCCTTTTTGAGTGGGTCACGCAGTCAGCCAGTCCAATGCCGTAAAAGCTGTTGCCACCCAGATATAGACCCGGCGCACAGCGAGCAGCCTGCTTTTCGATACGCTGCAGCGTCTGGCCAAATCCAACATTGTATTGCGGAATTCCATTCTTCAGTACCATGGTACGCACGTAATCAGGCTTGCGCGTGATACCAAGGTGCCGCTTCAAAGCATCCAGCGCATTGCGCTCCAATTCACCTTCAGGCAGCGATGCCACTTCCGGATAACGCGCGCCACCACTCATGACACTCAGACGCGTCTGCGATTTTCCTGCTCTGTTCTGCATTGGGAACGTGTTGGAGTCAAACACGACGCCAAGCACCTTCTCATGCTCGACGCTCGGGATGAGGTACCCAAAGCCATCGGTACGGAGCACCTTTTCGTTGTACCCAACGTGCACAGTCCCCATGTCTACAAACTCAATCTCACTAAGTGCCTCAGCCAAGCCAGGTGCCGAATCCTTCACCACTGGAGACAGACAACAAGAAGGAATAGTAGAGAACACATGCGAGGCCTTGATCGGCTCCCGGATTTCGCCGGATGCGGGGTCTTTGCTCTCCACCACAAAGTCCGACCCCACGCTGTTATGGCCCTGTACCGCAAGCCGTGTCACCTTCGTATTCAGTTGAAAAGTCGCCATCGGATCAGCACGAATCCTATCTTCTAACGATTCCATGAGTGTGCTCATGCCATGCGTGAAACTCACGCTCACTGACTTTTCGTGTCTCTTGACAAACTCGGATTTCTTCGAACCATCCAGCAGCGTATCGCTTTGTCCGTACCTACCAAACAGCATGCCCCTTACGACAGATCCATGTTCTCTCTCCAAGTCAGTCAACATGGGGAAGCACGCATGTATCGAGAGTTTCCTGATATCGCCACCGAAAATACCTGAAGCCATGGGATCCAGCAGTCTCTCAGCCACCAAGGGACTGAACCGTCTGCTCATAAACTTGTAAATAGACTCCTCGTCTATTGCTCCAGGCTTCACAAACAGCTCGCGCAAAGCTGCACGAGCCACTGGAAGCGACAGCGGCCAACGCAGCGCGTCCAGCACCGAGTTCGGCAGCTTCTCGACGTTTCCATTGCGCAGAATGTACCGCGCTTGTGCTGCTGGATCAACCGCCTGCATCTTCTCTTGTAGCTGCAGCTCCTCGACCAATCGCAACATCTCTGCACCGTTCCGGGACGGTCGAAAGCCTCGGGGTCCTTCTTCAAAGAGGAATCCCTCCTGCGTAGCTGTCTGTACCCATCCGCCCGAGACGGAGCTGGCTTCCAGGACGTGGATCCGTGTTGCAGTGGTCGATACAGTCTTGGACAGCGCCTGGCGCAGGAAGTAGGCGAGCGTGAGGCCAGAGATGCCGCCGCCAAGCACGACCACGTCGCGAGTTGCCATGGCGAAAAGTGGACGCCGAGGCTTTTGGTTGGTAGAAATGCACTTGTGACATTGCGAAGAGTAGACGTCGAGGTTTTTGGTTGGTAGAAATGCACTCGTGACGTGCGCTATGGGCTTTGTGAGGGGGAGAGTGGATACACATACATGCAGTCATGCAATTTCGACCAATAGAAGCTGAGGTTGCTATAAGGCGGTGGGAGCTGTGAACAGCTCGATGAGCGCTAATTTACGTAAGCTACAAAATAAAGTGCCGTAACGTCAAAGAGGATCGACCCGCGCGCTGTCGCGGGAGCAGTGCAGCACTCTATTTTGTCTGCTCCGCGAAACGTGATCATGGTTTTTGTGCACATGCCCTTATTGATGACCGTTGTTTACGCCAATGCACTTGTCGTTCAAAGCATGCTCTTGTACCAGTAGTAGTAATAATCTGCAAAGATGATACTCTGTCTTTGAACGGGTCCTTGTGCTCAACAGCCTTTGTGCATCTATTAAAGTTTGTGATGGACACGCGCAGCATCTCGATATCGCTTTTGTTGCGAAGCTTCTGTGTTGCATGTGGTAATAGGGTGACGCCGACAGAGGGTCGAGATGACTTGTTCGTGACTCCACTGCGAGGATATCATCAGCCGAAGTTTGACATATTTCACTGATTGTAATTGACGTGTACTGAAGAGAGGAAGCTCGGTTCACATACCCGCATACTCGACATTCAGCTCGTATCAAGTCCATCCGTTTGATTGCTATTGTATTGCAAACGCTCCGAATCTTAATTGATGCGTTCACCCGATGGTTCCTACGAGGAAGGACGCAAAGCATGTGTTTGCACAACAAGAAGCCGACACACTGGTGCGAGTTCGTCCACAACGTCATGTACTTTTCAATCCGAATCTCATCGCTCCCCGTACTTCCTTTCACAGCATCCTACTGATACCGTCTTCGGACTCACACCATATCAAGAGATGCAAGCTTAATGATACGAGACATCGATCGTGTTGCGCAGTTCACTACTTTCCACACTATACCTCCGATGCGCTGGTCCCCCCTGTCTTTCTTGATATCCCTCTCAAACTCGTTTCGGATTTCAAGATGAGAGGGATACACATGTTTTCGTGCAGCAGCGACATTTCGTGCCAGTGCCGCTGACGTAGCAGCAAAAGCAGAAGATCCAGCACGTGGTGAAGCCCACGACCGCACGAGCGAGATCTCTATCGGACTCCTCAACTTCCAGGGGTCCTCTTCTGTCTCTTTGGACCCCAAAACTCCGTAATCTAATGGACGAAGCGGTCGAGGAGAGCGCCCGCAAGAACCTCATGGAGAGATTCCTCAAGCGCGGCCGCGTAGAGAGCGTCAATTGCGAGCCAAATATGTGGACCACTCAAGAAGGAAGTGGAGAGAAGGAGGACCATCGGAAGATGCAGCTCAACAGCTCGTTTTGCGCTAATACAATGAGGGACAAGGTCGCTCCTGCTGGAGCAGGGAGAGCAGATTGGATGCTGCATGGTGCAGCGTTCGTGGTGCAAGAAAAGGCTCTACGTCGACCGCGGTCTTTGCCAAATCTTACGAAGCAGGTACAGAAAAGCAAGAGAGAGGTAGATGAGGTTGAGGTGACAGGATTGCTCACGTTGGTTCGACTGCTATTGTTTATTTTCTTCTGTTAGGCGGACGACAAAATGATCACTCGCATCTTTCCAGATATATGCCCACGAGAACTGCGTATTGCAGAAGTGAAGTTGTGGAAGTGTCCGTGGATGAGTGAAGACTGTTTGACTTCTAAGGAGATCGAGGCAGCCCCAGAAATGCTGGAACAGCTGCAAAATCAAACAACAGATCAAGACACGAGAAAATTGAGTGATTTTGCGGTGCAGGCTTCGTCTACTCATGCAGAGTCTAGCGTTCCAGAGTCAGCATCGACAATAAGCGAGGAAAATGGACGTTGCCGGACTGATGTGGATGACTGGGCGAACCAAAAGGATAGTGCGGCAGAAAAGATAAGCAACGAGGTTGCCGCGACAGCCGATTTGTCATTACTAGAAGAAAAAGAACCACGACGGTTTGTGCCACCAGCAACAAGGGAGTGGTTCTCATCCGAAGGCTTGCCGCCTCCAGTGCCACCCATTGCGCGTAGTCCTGCACCACTGTGGAAAGCTGTCGAGTCAACAAACGGAAGCTCCAACAGTCGCGTTCGTAAGCGTCCTCAGCTACGACTGAAGTTGGAAGACATGCCTACACCTCAACAAGCGGAAGAACGGGCCCAGCGAGCTGCGACTCGACTTATTGCGAAGCGAGATGCAATAGAGGCTGCAGTTATTGCAGCTGAAACGTTGTCGGGGCAAAACCACTTTGGAGATGGCCCCAGTGCCGCACAGCAAGCGGTGATGAAATTGAATCTCAGTTCAGGATCAGAGTCGGCCCTTCAATCTCCAGACGGTGCGTCCAGAACTGTTTGTATGGATTTGGCGATTTGATACTAACCTAGTACGTATATGATCGTGAAACGGCCAGACGGCGAGCGACATAGTGCAGGAAGTGCTTATTCTCCCAATCACGGCATGTTTACTACCAAAAATGTGGCAGTATCAGAGGCAGGTATCTCGTCACCCGATGCTGCTTGCTTGCACCTACAAGAAAACCTTGAGCGTGTAAAAGAGGTTGGTCGGGGCGCTTCTGGTGTTGTATATAAGGCGATTCACATCCCGACGCTCAAAGTTGTTGCAGTCAAGGTTTGTGGATACTCGTTCATTTGTCTCATCGATGCCTTTCACTCACTCATGCAGCTGTGTCTTGCATAATAAAGGATGTACCCGTTTACGGGCGTGGCCAGCGACGACAAATGGTGCGTGAGCTTCATGCGCTATATTCCAACCTTGTACCCATGGCAGACAATGACAGCCCGATACCGCAACGTTTTTCGACCGGAAAAAGCGCGGGTAAACCCAGAGCAAGGTACGCAACTGCATCACATATGTACATAGTATGCATTATTGACTAAACAAACTTGTGCGTTTGTTTGTGCTGAGTAGACCCAGTCCGTACATTGTATCCTTCTATGACGCATTTGTCGATCGTCCAAGAAACTCTATTTGTATGGTCATGGAATATATGAGTACAGGATCGCTACAAGATATTATTTTACGTGGCGGCTGCCGAAGTGAAAGAGTTTTAGCACGGCTGGCGACCGGTGTACTGCGCGGCTTGTCTCATATTCACAAGAAGCGAATGGTGCATCGCGACATCAAGCCGCATAACTTGCTCACGAACCGGCAGGGCGAGGTCAAGATTTCGGATTTCGGCTTAGCGCGTACCCTGAATGACAATTCTACCTCTACAAAAACGTTTGTGGGCACCTTGCTTTACATGGCTCCTGAACGGATAGGTGGCGGGGATTATTCCTACCCAGGTGAGCAAATCGGCGTGCGTGATTCTTGCTAACGACCATAATCTCTGACCCTTGCTTCTTTATTGAAGCTGATGTATGGTCCTTTGGACTTGCCATGATTTCTGTTGCCTTGGGTCGGTATCCGCTGCCCACGCAGGATGGATTCTTCGGTTTGGTTGACTTCGTGAGTGCAGCTAATATGTTCGTTGCGTTGGTTGTCGATATGTCTGCTTGACAACGATGTTTATCGTAGGTTGCAAACGAGCAATGCCTCAAGCTGCCGGCTGATATTTATTCTGAAGAATGCCGTTCTTTCGTCGATCAGGTTCTGTAAATGTCTTCCTGGCTCTAATGTGTTGTAAGCTACACGTTGCTGACTGCCTGTGTGTGCAGTGCGTGACACATGACCCGATCGATCGGCCTTCGGCAGATGCACTTCTTCAGCATCCTTTCATTCACAAGTATACGGATGAGGAAACCCTCGAGGAGGTAGGTCTTTTTTAAAACGATTGCAGGTGTCACAGCTTCTTGATCATGTGTTTTGTTCTCGATAGTGGACATCGTTCATCGACCGGGTGCACCTTTGCGAAGAACGGCGTAGCGAATTGGAATCCCTGGGTGACGCAGTCTATCGTCATATGTACGAGCACTCGGTGAAGTTCTCGCACACCCCGCAGGTAAGCACTGTTTAAGTTGCATGTGTGCCATGACTAAAAAGCAGTGTTTTTTGATTGACAAGTGTGGCTTTCTTGTTACATTCTCAGTCGGACTCTGGAGTATCATTCGTGTCCCAAGCGACACCCATGTTTTGCCGACGACAAGTGTTTCTTCGACCAGTGCAAGTGAGGTGAGATACCAGCGACAGTAGAAGAGTAGACGAGTGGAAGTAGAGTGATTGACTTACAACCCCCTCTTGTGCTTGCTTTTCGACAGCTTACAACTGGGCCTCGCTACCTACTTAGATGTGCCTGTACATTTGGTCTACGAGAAATTTGAAGAGGTGAGGATGTTAACGTGTCTACTTGCTTGCGTGGCTCTAGCTGACGACAAGACTTGTGCAATGCAGAAACGTAGTTATTACAGCGACAAACTGTTGGAAAATTATTGCTACTCTCCACAAAGTTGGACGGCCTCGCCAGGAATTTCACGACGTCAGCAATTCGGCATCGGTGCTGACAGTCCACAACGCACACCGCGCGAAAGGGGCTCATTCTGGCGAAAGCTGCAGGAGAGCATGTCGAAACTTGGGCACAGCAAGCGTAGAAAAGAGCGAGAACGACGACGCTCTGCCGCAGCATTATAGGTTACAAATAAGCTTACTAAGCTCAACAGAATGGATTAATTATGAACAATTTCGTGACTAGCGTTCTCTGCTTCAGCTAGGATTCACTTGCGCTCCCCCTTTCAGATGTCCTACATCGGCAGTGTAAAGCTTTGCAATAGTCTGGCATGGCACGGCAAAGAGTTCCAGGCCTTTTGCATGGTAAAACGCCTGCGAACGCGCCAACTCAGCGACGATTTTCTGCAGCAAATACAAAAGGCCCATGAGTCCACATCTCGTCAATCCACCCCACCTGGCTCCACTACCGTCTAACTGCACCTTCATTTGCTCGATTCTGTACCGCTCAAAGTTCTCCATGTGTATATCCAGCAACGCATTGACGTTTTCAACGCGACGTTTCTGATCCGACAGCATCCGAAGCTTCTTTTCCTTCTCCTTGGCAGCACTTCCTCGCTGCAGGAAGCAGTAAAAAAGACAAGCAGATGAACAAATTGGTCACTAAACTACATCACTAAAATGACTGTCACCTCGCCCACACGTACCTTCATCTCGTCAAACTCGGTCTGCAGCTTCACCTCAATCTTCAGAGCCTTCTCCCGGTCTTCCAACAGCCTCTACAACCCAAACGAACCCACAGCAACGTTCTGTTACTCACACCCGTTTCAAACGAGACCGTCATTTCCCTGCCCTCGTCTCTGTACCTTCATGGGAGTAACCGCCAATTCATTCACCTGCGTCACGACCTCCAAAATCTCTGCGTCCGGCCTCACCATCATCACGTCGTGGCTCTCGCGCACCAGCGACTGGCCACACTCGCGCAGGTCTTCGAGACACTTTGCCAAAGGTTCACACGTCTCTTGCGCAGCGAGATCCTCGAGACTGGCAGTAAACGCGAGCAGAAACGTCTCCTGCTCGGCATGTGCTTTCTTCATCTTCTGCACCAGCTCCTCGACCGCGTGTCCAGCGCGCTCCACGAACTCGAGCTGCAGCTGCAGCGTCCGAGTGCGCTCCATTACGACAGACTGCGATGCGAACGGTCTGCCACGCGAACTGAACACCAACGATACATCAACGACACACCATTTACTACAGCGACCGTCTGAATACGTGGTCCACGCCAGTTTCACTCGTTTGACCAAACCGACGCGGTCCTCCTCTTACTCTCACTTTGTCTCTGTGTCTGTGTCTGCTTGCAGGACCTTTTCGTGGGGACGATGCGGATCATGATCAAGGGCGGCGTGTGGAAAAACACCGAGGACGAGATCCTCAAGGCAGCCGTGATGAAGTACGGCATGAACCAATGGGCGCGCGTGGCGTCTCTGCTCTCGCGCAAGTCGGCCAAGCAGTGCAAAGCGCGGTGGTACGAGTGGCTCGACCCGAGCATCAAGAAGACCGAGTGGAGCCGCGAAGAGGAGGAGAAGCTGCTGCATCTCGCCAAGCTCATGCCCTCGCAGTGGCGCACGATCGCGCCTATCGTAGGGCGCACAGCAGCGCAGTGTATGGACCACTATGAGCGGCTGTTGGACGCAGCGCAGCAGAAGGACGGCGTGGACGTGAGCGACGATCCAAGACGGCTGCGTCCGGGTGAAATTGACCCTAATCCAGAGAACAAACCAGCGCGGCCGGACCCTGTAGACATGGACGAAGACGAGAAGGAGATGCTGTCGGAAGCACGGGCGCGATTGGCCAATACAAAAGGCAAAAAAGCCAAGCGGAAGGCTCGTGAGAAGCAGCTTGAGGAAGCGCGACGACTGGCGGTCTTGCAGAAGAAACGAGAGCTGAAGATGGCGGGCGTGTTGTCGTCAAACCCGAGTGTGCACATGAAGAAGCGCAAGTATATTGACTATGCAACCGAGATCCCGTTTGAAAAGAAAGCACCCGCGGGCTTTTATGATGTGTCGGAGGAAAAACGCATTACCAGCAAAGGCCTTGACCCCAAGCGGGCAGCGTTGCAACTGGACAAGCTGGAAGGCGTACGACGCGATGCGCAAGAGAAGAAAGAACGCAAGCAGGATGCAAAGCGGCAGCAATCACTTGGAAAATCGAATTTGCCGCAGATCATTGCTGCAGTAAACGCAAAGAACGACCCGATCAATGCCATCAGGCGCACTGCGTTGGAATTACCTGCTCCAGTGGTGTCCAACGACGAATTGAGCGACCTAGCTAAGCTAGGCATGCATGCCTCCCATGCAGCTGCGCTTGCTCTCGGGAATGATTCGGCACTCGAGACGCGTGCTCTCATGGGTGATTATCTAGCTACACCGTTACTTTCTGCTACTAGAGGAAATGGAGCGACCACGCCATCAATTCGCGACGTGCACGATAATATCATGCAGGAAACGGCGAACCTGCTAGCCATGCGGAACAGCACAACTCCTCTTCTCGGTGGCGAAAACGTTGAGCTCTACGAGGGAACGGGTTACGCTGGTGCGACCCCACAACGAACACCCTCGTCAGCTCTAGCTAGTTCAGTGGGGAATAACACACCGATGTCTGCTGCTCGGACGCCTCTACGCGATGAGCTAGGCATCAACCCGGAACAGCTGTACGGTACAGAGGTCGAAAGAAATGCCAGAGCAGAAAAGGCTCGGGCCAAGCAGATAACCACAAGTCTTCGTCGAGATTTTGATAGCTTGCCTGCGCCGCAAAATGAGTACGAGATTAACGTTCCCGAGAAAGACGAAGTTGATGACGAGCACGTCCCTGGTCTTCAAGAGATGGATGCTGGAGAACAAGAAGCTCATGAGCAACAGCAACGCGAGCTGGAACAAGAGCGGGAACTCAAGCGGCGGTCCACCGCTGTGCAGATGGATCTCCCGCGTCCTTTGAAGGTGAAGCAAGTGCTGATTCATAGCGCAGTGAGGGAAGTTGCGGACGAAATGTGCCGCATGCTCGAGCACGACCTCACTGCGTACCCGATGAATGATGGCAAGTTGAAGAAAAACAAGAAGCGCAAACACGCCTCGAGAGCTACTGCAGTACCGCGTTTACAGCAGTTCTCCGATACCGATATGGAGCGAGCGCGGCAGATGGTGCAGATTGAGGCCAGTTTGTGTGGCGTGGAGGACATGTGGAAAGCCGAAGATGCTTCCGTTGTGAACGCGAAGTGGAGTGAAGCGCAAGCACGTTATCTCAGCAAGGCTGAGAGTGACGGGAAAAGTGACGGCGTGGTGTTTGAGTTTGCATCATCTGACAAGGACAAATTGCGTGCCGTGCAAGCCCGCTTTGCTGAGCTTAAAGAAGCGAAGCAGCTTCTTGCTAAGCGCGCACAGAAGCTGGATGAACGAGCGCGAGTCGTGAATGGCGGATTGCACCGCCGCTTGCAACGTGGTCTGGAGGCACTGCACGACCATGTGACAGAGCTTCAAGACGCGACGATAGAACAGGCGTGTTTTAAAAACTTGGCGGGTCTCGAGACCCAAGCTTTGCAGAGCCGCATGGCACGACTGGCAGCCGACTTGAATTCGCAGCAGTTGTGTGAAGTCAAGCTACAGAAGCAGTACGCGTTACTGCTTCAAGAGCAGAATTAGTGGCAGTAAAGGTACGTTGCGTCTACATACGTATGAAAGTGTGGCCGTGGCCGGACTTTATGCCCCTACGTGCTGCTTTACTAACCTTTATAACCACTGGTCTCATTAAATTTCTGTAGGAATTACTACTCGTCGTTATCGTCACAAAACAGCACGGTTTTCGCAGTCGGAGATAAACTCCAGCCAACGCGCAAATTCTCAAGCGAGTATTTGCGATGCATGAGACTTACTAGCGTCTTGAGCTCATGCCATTTTGCCGACATGGTGGACTTATGTGCATCAGCCAGCTGGTCTAGCTTGTTCAGCATAACTTTCATCTCTTTTGGAGTAAGGATGTTGAGAAATGCCTGCAGGGCCAAATCCATTAACGCCACCTTCTTACATAGCAGATCGAAGGGTGGTGCTTTCTTTGACACATTGCCGCTCTTGCGCGTTTCTGCGTACTTGTGTGTCAAGTCTTCGACAATACCAGCCACAATATCAACGACAAGACCGCTCTGGATCGGGAACTTCAGAGGTCTCTCAGAAGTCGCCTGCACACCAGAACGCATCATAGATACAGGCATTAGTGTGTGACAACAGCGTCCACACTGTAAACTCAGCGTGACGTACTCCTTCTTGTGCTTTCTTGTCGATTCGATGTTGCAACACGTAGATCGCAAGTCCCGTGGTAAGCTGCGTACCACGCATCGTACGTGGAATTCGACGAGCGACTGCAAGCCATCCCGCTGGCGAGTCAAACAAACCTTCCGTTGCCCCAGCGATCCGAAGAATAAGCTGTGGCGCCCATTCCTTCCGCCACTCCGTGCGTGGAAACACGTCAAGCAGCTCTTCAATACAGATGGTAGCCAAATCCACGATGCTGGCATGAATGGCGTTCTCAAACTGCATCCGCAAGAAAAACATGGTAAAGCTGAACGCATCATAACCTTCCAACGCCAGCGTTCTCGTCCGCAAACAAAGCACAAAGTACACGAGCACGTAGTGCATATTCAGGGTCGGAAACGGCACCACGCGTGCCTTCTTTGCAGACGGTGGCGTCACTGGAATCTTGCTCTTCACACTCATAGATCGCTTGCTATCCTGGAAGCCGTAGGTGCGAAAGGCATTGAGGAAGTCATAGATGGACGGTTTCCACTCCATCTCGATAGGAGGGGCCTGCGTGCCAAACGCTGAGCAATAATCTTCAATCGAATGGGAAAAACACGCCACAGGAAGCCCCCAGCTCAACTTCTGAGTCGAAGCTTTTGCAGTCGAGCTCTGAATCAGAAATAGATTGCTAAAACATCCGCCAACTACGTGACTGTCACTATGAGCTGACACTGCAGACAATGAACCCCCGCGTACACCACACACACACACGCCACACGTCTTAGGCATTACCACAACAACGACAAAAGCACACACAACACAGTGACAGCAAGACAGCAACTCACTCGTCATAAACAGCCACGATCCGATCTTCAAAGGCACGGAAATTGGTGTCTTGCACGAGTCGCTAGTGGTAGTTGCTTTGCTTTGACACTTGAGCATGCAGTAAAGCAGAATAGCTTTGGACCACAACAGTCCACTCAACTCTCCGTCCTCGGTCGACTCCATCACCTCGTACACGAGCTTCATCTCGCTCTGCAGGTCCATCTCTGTTGCCTTGTACGTGCGGTACGGCAGCGGCTACATCATTCACAAAAAGCACCACCAGTCAGTTCGTTCATCGTCCATTCCGTCCGTCTCGCTCGTTCACAAGCATCTCAGGCATCGCATAACCTCTGTCATGGGTGTAAACACGTAGCCAAACTTCTCCTCGGTTACAGTTACTTCAGACGTCGAAAAGAGATCACTGTCACCAGAGAGCGTCGACATGTTAATGGCCATGTTCGTCAAGACTTGGCCCATGGGCGACGACCCGCCAGCTCCCGAGCTCTTCTCACTCTCTTCACGCAGCTGCTGCAGCTTCCGCTCGCGGGTCTCGCGCTTGCGTTTCTCCGTCAAGTCATCGTGAAGTAACGCGTCGAGACTCGTGAACTGCGAGAGAATAGCGCTGGGCTTGTGGCGCTTGACGCGGCGGCGACAACGAGCGTCGACCACCAGCTCTTGGTCTTCATCTGAGGAAGAGGCGGGTGATACGGATACGGCTGGATAGCGGCGCTTGCGAGCGCCTCGAGACGTCGTAGCCGACGCCTTCCCGCGCGTCATTACGGTCGATCCGTCGAGTATTGGCGACTTCTCTCGCTTGACTGACATGATTCCCTCGTTTGACTGCCTGATTAGGGTTTTAGCGGCCAGGATGGGTGAGGGGCAGACAAGGTCCCTTGACTTAATGACATGCCAGGTATGTGATTGGCACGGTACTTCCTTGTCGCGCGTGGTGTTCGCGACAAGACCTACCTTGTTCTGTGAACGGAACTGAACGGAACTGACGAGAGGGAGGGAACTTCAAAGTCGAAGTCTCTCACCGCGGATTGGTGCAAACAATGCTTTGAGCGTCAAGAACCCGCTGTGAGTGGTCGAAAAAAAAAACAATCTCTCGACCACCGGGTCATTGAAGATCGCAATGCGTCTCAGCAGCCACGTCTGAGCTCAACGACGCCAAGCGAAGCCTCCGCACGACGCCGACAATTCCAAAACACTCACATAAAAAGCACGAGACCGAACCAGCTGCGATCCTAAGCGCAGGAGCGATCGACTGGATTCCTCGGTAACGGCTCCGCAGGGCAAAGCGCTGTCTGTATCTGCGGCCACGACGAGAAGAAAAGCGAAGAACTGGCAGCGCGTGTATTGAATAGCGTGGAGGCAACTCCACATCTGTATCCATCTATCTATTGATCGATCGACCTGCCTCTTGTTACGGCTCTCTCCTTCTCTCTCTCTCGCTCTCGCTCGCTCGAGCTGAGAGCTTTGCTGCATGATGCGGGACATTTTACGGGAAGATATTGGGGGAGAGGCTCGAGCGAGTGGGTTCTCGAGACTCAAGCACAGTGGCGGAGGCTTGGAAGTCACGATGGAAGAACCGACGTGCGAAGACGATATTGAGTGGGGCCAAGTGTTCTCGGCGGGGGACAGCGCTCGGAGCTTTGTCGAAGGTTTGTTGCAGCAGACATTACATGAGCTTTCGATTCGTGTTGTGTGTGTACACATCGTTTGATGATCATTGCACTTCCTCGTCCCTTGCTTCTTGGTACTTTGCTGCAGCTGAAGTGATTTCTGCCATCGAGTACGACCGGTCAGGAGACTTTTTAGCTACAGGGAACAAAGGCGGACGAGTGTCCATTTATTGTCGCCACGGAAATCCAACATCGGTGAGCTAGCGAGCAGACTTGTGTATTCAGGATTGTGACGCTGACCGTTTGGATTTGACAAACAGAACCAGAGTATGTACGGCGCAACGACTGATCCGCGCTACCAGCTGTACACTGAGTTCCAGAGCCACAATGCTGAATTCGACTACCTCAAAAGTCTGGAGATCGAAGAAAAGATCAATCAGATCAAGTGGTGCCACGCATCCAATGGGTCGCAGTGGTTGTTGTCTACCAACGACAAGACCATCAAACTATGGAAAGTGCACGAGCGTAGCGTCTGCGAGATCACGACGTACAATGGAGAGGGTCTTGCCTACGTGCCACGAGCGCAAATATCACCGGAGCTCATACGACTGCCACAGACCCAAGTTTGTGGCTATGTTACAGCATCTACCGCTAAGCGAGTCTACGCCAATGCACACACGTACCACATTAACTCGATTGCCATCAATAGTGACGGGGAAACGTTCATGTCCGCAGACGACCTTCGCGTAAATTTGTGGAGCCTCGGCATTTCGGATCAAAGCTTCAGTAAGTAATGTGTACTTGGTCGCCAACGCTCTCGCAAGGGGCATCTTTTGACGTTTGATAACTGTTTTGTAAAGATATTGTAGATATCAAGCCGACAAACATGGAGGAACTTACCGAGGTTATTACGGCTGCGGATTTCCACCCGACACAATGCAGCATGATGATGTATAGCACTAGTCGGGGTGCCATAAAGCTAGGAGACATGCGGCAAGCAGCATTGTGTGACTCGTACTCTCAAGGTTTGTCGGTTTGCAGGTTTCTGTCTGCCTATTGTTTCGTGCCTGCAAAAAGAAGATTTTTATTCAGCACGTTTTGTTTCCATGGGACACAGTGTTCGAAGAGCCAGAAGATCCTGAAGCACGGAGCTTTTTCTCCGAGATTATCGCGTCGATTTCAGACGTTAAATTCTCTCCCGATGGCCGCTATATTATTGCACGTGATTTTCTCACACTGAAGATCTGGGACATCAACATGAACTCGCGCCCAGTTCAAACGATCAATGTGAGTATCGATGGCTTTCGCACGAAGGCTTACGCCGTGTAAAGTTGGATTAATTTGCCCATGCTGTCGATGAGCAGATTCACGAGCACCTACGTCCACGGCTAGGCGATCTGTATGAGAGCGACTGCATCTTTGATAAATTCGAGTGCGCCGTCAGCGGGGATGGCAACAACTTTATCACGGGCTCGTATAACAGCGAGTTCCATATTTATGACCGCCGTGGACGTGCTGATATTTCCATCACACCGCGTACTGCACGAGTGAGTCGCCGTCACTCGATGCCCCAGCGAGGTCTTGCGCAGCAGATCGCCGCCTTGCCTGCTCCTGGTGATCCCAATGCACTGGACTTCTCCAAGAAGATCCTGCAGACTAGCTGGCATCCTTCATTGAACGAACTCGCTGTGTCCATTCGCAACAGCCTCTTCGTGTATGCTGCCTAGCAAGCACGTCGGCGCAAAAAGCACTGTTGCAGTCAAAAAGGCTATCAACGGCACACACCCAACCAGCAAAAACGCGACGGACATAAAAAGTTGAAGTAGTATCTATCGGCGATAAATGCAACATAACAAAGGTGACGTACACGAAGCAATTATTGCATATCCTCTGTTGTGTTGTCCGTGTCGAGGTCAACAAATGTTTTTACTGTGCAAGCTGTATCGAGGGAATGTGATGAAAAGCATAAGGAAGTGTGTGAACAATCGGCACGAATCTTGTTTTTTGATCGACAAGATACGTACAAATTCGATCTTAATTATAGTCTAGATCTCGACAAATTGGGATGAAGTGGAGGGACGGTCTATCCTCTTTTGAAAAAGGGTAAACAGACACTTCGGTGCACGATTTTCGATCAATCCGAAGAATTTAATTTGCTGCTTAAATGACATGAGTCAGATATATCTGAAAAGACCGTATTAAAGCCATTTTGGCTGCGGTTTTGATCCACATCGTTGCACATTTACAACATTATTTACAAGTTGTACGAGTTAGTGAAAATCAGTTGATTTCGGACCCATTTTACTGGATACCGATATAGTGCACGACTACTGGCCGGATGCTTCTGCAAGCATTACTTTTGTAAGCAACCTTCCTGCGATGTCGATCGTTGTCATACGCTTCTTCTACTTCCTACCAAGCTCTGGAGGGAGAGTGAGGATCGTATTCTGGATGTGTCGACCACATTCGGGCGTTGTAAAAGCCAGGATGCATTACCAAAGTCACCTTTCACTCGCCCAGATTGATACTCATCGAGACGCATGTGTAGCTAAATCAGGGAAAGAGGGTAGAGTTTATTACCTCGAAATTTCTAGATTGCATTGCTAAAGTTATCAATAATAGTGCTACGGTATGCATAACACGCAATCTCGATGGCTGTCTATTTGTACAGCGCTGGGTCTCATTTGCATCCATCAGATCAAGCAAATGGAACGACACCGCCTAATTGAGTGGATACCTGGTGGACAAAAAATTATGCTCTATGTGTTTGCAAAGTAAAAATATCCGATGCCTGTCATTTGCTCAGCCTTGGAACAAAGCCATATACAGTGCTCCCTTTGATAACGTTTCCACCGATATCTAAAAACCTCCGCCATTTTATAGGATTGGACGTCCACCGGGGTCGTTCTGTGGTTGTTCTGCGGTCGCTAACTCATAACTTATAACTAACAGCCATGAAGCAAGATATGAGTTATAGATGGAGAATATGTACCGAATGTGGGGGAGCAAAACCCTGTAAGCAACGAGGGTGATTTGTGCGGCGTTGGCACTGCAAATATCATCCACTAGACTTCGGAGTAGCGCGGATGTTAAACGGTGGGTTTCCTGGGACGGATAATGCAATGTGAAGGCACTACCTAAGATGAGAAGTTGATCGCACTTGGTCAATATGCCTGTAACTGCCCCCACCTCTGCTTGGTCATTCCTTATTCTCCTACACGTTGTCCAGAATATCATGATCACTAAGCTCTGGCTTAGCGCTCTTGCCTTCTTCAATAAAATCGTTTGCTTATCAATGGAGCATCAGCTGATAGTTACACCGTGTTCCTAACAAAGAACAACAACCCCAGCAAACAACCAGGATGGCTAAGTGTCTCTAAATTTAAGGCACAACCTGAACCAATTTTGCAAACAAAACGTAAGGACCTGTGTTAGTGGTCTTTATGGCTATAATTCTGCTGTTTTTGGGTAGATTATATTTTAGGGGTGGAAGATTGAGTGAGTGGTTCTAAATGAGCTTTTTGCTTCTTTATTTCTATAATTATTGCCTTTGCTGCAGCATATCTAGCACATATTCAGCTTCTTCAACATTTGTTCCATTTTTCTACTTTAATTTATAAAAATCAAAATGGTCAGTTTTTTATAAACGTTGCCACCATGATCCAATAGTCAATAACCTCTTTTAACTTGTAGGAAATGTACCCACAAGAACTAAAAGTGAGTAGAGGGAGACCTGAAATACGAAAGCGAGTGTCGGCTGAGCCATGCAATTATGCTCGACGGAAGTTTTGTGTCCTCTTGGTCTTTTTCTGGTACAGATTTTCAGCAACCGCCTTCTGATTGGTCCAAATTGCTGCGAAATCTATCGACTGAAAATCAGCGACACTCACGAACTCTACCAAGTACCACGTCGCGGCCATGAAGAAAAAGGTGCGTCTCTTACGTCCGTTGACGCCACTGCTGCGGGTCAACCGATACTAAAGAAGACACTAACTACGTGTCCTGTTTTCGATGTGGTTTGCAGGTTTTGTTGATGGGCAAGTCCGGGTCTGGCAAAACGTCCATGCGCTCCATTATCTTTGCCAATTATTTGGGTACGCACTTTAGACAGTGATCCTGCTTTTTCAGTATAGTATGCAGTACAACACTGACTCTTTACTCTTTGTATCTGTACTTGCTCACATGCAGCTCGTGATACGATGCGTTTGGGTCCTACCCGTACGTGACTGACTGTGAGGAGGATAAGGAGTTTGCCATCGAAGAGTTTATTGATCTGAAAAGCTGGTGTTTTGTTTATCGGACGCTTTTGGTTTCTATGCTTGCAGTGGACGTCGAGCACTCGCACGTACGTTTCCTGGGCAATTTGGTGCTGAATTTATGGGATTGCGGCGGGTATGTAGACAGAAGAACGCTCATTCTCGCTCTTTGTACTTACGCGGGTTTCTTTCTCGAGCTGACGCTGATGTACACGTGCGCATACGCTGCAGACAGGACGCGTTTTACGAGAATTACTTTGAGAGTCAACGCGACCACATCTTTCGCAGCGTGGAATTGCTGATCTACGTATTTGACATTGAAAGCCGTGAAATCGACGTAGGAGGCCGAAGCTTTCCACACGATGGCTAGCTGTGTGCTGATTGTTCGGATGATGATGGATTTGTTTGGTTATTGCGGCTAACAGAAAGACATGGCTCACTTTGACGGCTGCCTGGAAGCCATCGACCAGAATTCCAGCAACGCGAAGGTGTTTGTACTGATCCACAAGATGGATCTCGTGCCAGAGGATCAGCGGGAGCGCGTATGTGACTATGTTTGCATGGTTTGATAATGTGTTTATGTGTGTGAGCTAATGAGCTGTACGCGCTGGGTGATGGTATTGGTCAGGTATTTGATCAAAAAAAGCAAGTGATTCTGGAACGAACCGGCCAGCTTCCGACGGTGTGCTTTGGCACGTCCATCTGGGATGAAACGCTGTACCGCGCGTGGTCGTCTATCGTGTACTCGCTGATTCCGAACATGCAAGATCTAGAGAAGCACTTGAACAACTTTTGCTCAATCTGTAGTGCTGACGAAGTGGTGCTGTTTGAGCGTGCCACTTTCCTCGTGATTTCGCATGCCACGCATACGAATCATCGCGACATTCATCGCTTTGAGAAAATCAGCAACATCATCAAGCAGTTCAAGCTGAGCTGTAGCAAGACTCAGGCACAGTTCCAAGGAATGGAGGTTCGGAACTCGAATTTCACGGCCTTCATTGACTTTTTCACCGCGAACACGTACATCATGATCATCATGTCCGACGACTCGATCCGTACGTACCGCGCTCCATGTTGCGCCAGCTTTGCTTGCTTGTTACTTTATGACGTGTTACCAGCTGCTGACACCTCATCTCTTTTTGTTGGGTAGAACCGGCGACTATCCAACTTAACATCAAGGCGGCTCGCCCTGTGTTCGAGGAACACGTGCAGCAGACGAGCTAAGCTGATCATTGCGCGGCTGTGTGATTCGGAATCGTAGTCGTACTAGTAACACGTGACGGAATGCAACACAACGAAAAGATGCGTGCATTTAAATGAACAATCAGTCTAACCAAGTGATCCTGATGCATCTTTGTTCCCTTGGCACACATGGGTCTTCCATAGGTAGAACAACCTACCAACGTAGTCAAGGAGCTGGTGGACTCGATGGTGGGTTGTTCGACTCCAGCATGTATCCTCTGCGTCTCAAAGCACGCAGGACTACCGGTGTAACTGCAAATGTGAGAGGCCACCGAACGGGTGTGAGTACCTTGTAGAACGTGTAGGCAATGAGGAAGGTTCCAGCTGTCTTCGTCGTCGAGTCACTTGCTACCGTGGACAAGCCCACCCAATCTAATATTGCCTTGACATCCACACCACTTGAGACTCCCACGTAGATGGTGGAAATCGACAGCAACGATAGCACAAGGTGTGTGCAGATCCCGACGCGCCCGTACTCAATGGCAAACGTCTTGACTCGTTGACGCCATGGCAGCTGCGGAAGTACTTCCGAAATCAGCGGATCGCACTCACGCGACGTGTCTGTGTCAGTCTACCATCATCCGAATCAACAACATCAAAAGGACACCATCAGCAGCAGCACATACAGCACCAACATCAGCAAAGCATTGACAGGGAAACACCCGTTGGCACGTCAATGTGTGGACGCAAATGCTTCTCCCTGACTCTTCTGACAACTGTTCACACCTTCGTTGGAGATACAGACGAGACCTTTCCGTCTACGAGCGATTCCGTCTCCTTCTTCAAGTCCTCAGCCATCCTGCCACTTGACCAGGAGCGAGAAAACACGCCACAATTAGAGCCGTGAGCCGCAACGCGAGGCAACAGGGAGTCAGGTAGACGGCGCGGCACAGCGGCATCTGCTCGCGGAGCTTGCACCGGGAGCAATGAGAAAGAGACCCAGTTGCTGCTTTCGGTGGTCGAGGAAAGTAGAGACAGTGATCGTGATATGTGATAGCGATAGCGGCGACCGCACTGCGCCGCGCCTAAACAAGCGCAGAAGTACCTCATGTCGTTACGTAGCAGTAGAGACCTGAGAGTTTCGATGAGTTCCAGTACTGACAACCACCGACGTCAGTATGTAGTTGCTTGTAATTATTCTCCCCTAAAACCACTCATCTACTCCTATGGGCAATGCTTTCGAGGATTGCCATTCTCTTACCAAATATGGACCCTTCACTTTTTAGTCCATGATTAATACTGGGATTTGCGATTTACATTCCCTGATATTTCAAATTCCACTCCTATGGGTAATGCTTTTGGATATCGTCATTTAACACCTAAAATAGGGTTCTGCCTTTTTCTGCCGATAAATAATCACAAAGACAGGGGGCAAGCACTGGAGTTCGCCCTTACATAAGAAATTCAGTCTAAGGGGCTAAATTAAGTTTTCTGTATTCACGTTCCAAAACAAGTGATGGTAGCGGCTAGGGAATGAGCCGTACGTTGTGCGAAAGAGAACAAAGAAACACCTTGAACGACGCTACCTTGGAGAGAGAGAGGTTCAGAGTGCCGATTTACTTAGTGTTTCTAAGTACAAGACCTCTGGAAAGACCTAAGCCAGGATATGAGCGCCGGTGTACCCGGTGGCTGATCGTGACCGATCCCCTGAAATAACGGGGACCCTCTAGGTTGTCGAATAAGCAGTTCAATACACGCATTGAGAGTCGCCCCTCGAATGGCTGTAGCTGCTGCTCGATGTTCTCGTTTCGCAACTGCCCGTAATTGTCGTATACACGCTTCCCATTGTTGCTCTGTGCTGCTGTGACCGTGTTGATCCGCTCCGCGAAACACCACTGCATTCCTGTCCGTCCATAAATGGGTGTGGCAAACCGTTGTGAGGATGTTCCAAATCCGCTGCCATTCGCGCTCGGCTCCGGGGGCATCATCGTCAAATCGGTCGACTAAAATAGCTTTCCGATATCGAGGCATCGCGGTAGCCCGCCGGTTTGCGCACGCTGCCACAAAGTGCCTCGTTCTTTGACGTGTCGCCATTTCCCCTGTCCAATGGCTTACGACTTTGTCACAAAGGGCCTGCGCACAATAGCAGTCCCAAAAAATGTGCTGCAGCGTCTCTGGACTTGCCGCACATCGATCCGTCCACTGGCAACAAATATGGTGCTCTCTTCCACGATAGAATAGGTTTAGTTGTATTGTTGCAAGTCTATAGCTCGTCCAAACCTGATAGGGTGTTAACCCATTACCACGGTCCCAGATCTGATGTGGGGTTTGCTGTAATGCTGCTCGCTGCCACTCGTCCTTTGTAGTTTTGCACTCCAGTCGGTCCCACGAATTGCTGCAGTGGCTTCGCTAGGGCTCGTTTGGTGCAGGTGAAGGCCTGGAGACCTATAGCATTTTAAAATCTGTGCATCGCCATGCCTGCCGGAGCACTCCACGGAAATCTATGCAGCTGTGGATGAACCGCGAATACTACTCCAGTAGTGCCGATCCTCGTGCTGATTTGCAATGCCTGCTGCTGTAGTTGTGCTGTTTTTAATTCCGGGATGCGACCTTCGAAAAACCAATGTAGTCCATCTTCATCCTGTTTTAATGTCACAATACGTGTAGCTGCTGCAGCTTGTGACCACCCTCGATGCAGCCTTTTCCCCGAAGGATCCAGCAGAATGAATCGGCAAATGATGACTCGTAAAGCAGTTGCATAGACGGATCAGCTGTCATGTCCTCTCCTATGCTAATATCCGGTGAGGATAATAATATAGACGTTGCCCACCGTTAAGTGTCTTTGCCGAATGTCGCCCGGGTTGGTTTGCCCGGTCAGGAAGTCAGAAAACAAATTCCCTCGGTCCAGTCCGACGCACGTGTAAGTCGGCCAGAGAGCATGAGGCTATTTTGTTATGCTTGCGGTGCTTCAGCGTGTCTCCATGCTCGTCTAGGAACCATGGATTATCTTTCCAATCGAAATGGCCTAGAAACTTGTGATCTCCGCAGGCCAAATGTTGAAGTCCTCTCCTCGGGGCGGGTACGCCTGATAATACGAGAGGACCCAGTCATCATCCTCCCACCAACTACTGACCCCCTGAAGCATCGCTTCACAATGCTCGGAGATCCGTGATCGGACACCTTCCAAGTGAATAGCAGAAGGAGCCAACCATTCCCCTAACGCTCGTAGGAGCGTGTATCCTGGTGACTGGTCCGTCTGACGGCGTGCACGCCCCCACTAATCAGGCGTATTTTGAGTCACACTGTGCGCTTGTAAAGTCGGTAGGTTCCGATATGCCCACGTCTGCCATGCTCCGAAATACCGATCCTCTTTTTGCGTTAGCCACACCACTGCATGCTTTAGTCTTTGTGTCTTGATCGCTACCGTTATGGAAACGAGTACAACTCCACCTGCCTTCTTTGGCGCCACTAGAATACCCGGATTGACTTTGTGCCGACACCGCTCTGTCGACGTAGCGTGCGCCCAAAGAAATTGCTTGTAAAGGTTGGATAGCTCGACTTCGGCCCATCTTGGAAGATCAAATGCAATCGCCGTGAACAATATCGACGGTATAACGATAAATTTCGTAATGAGTACCCGATTTTCCACGCTGATAGCCACTTACGTTGCGGTCAGGAGTCGCCGCTGGATCTTGCGAATGTGCTAGGCCCAGTTTTGTTAGTCAGCTCTCCGGTTGCCACTTCGTACCCAAGGTACCTGGTCGTGTCTGCGGGAGATACAATGTCAATTCCGTGCCAAGTGGCCAGTGAAACTGCCGTGCTGAGGGAAATTAACTCACTCTTGGCCGATTGGACGCATAGGCCAGAAAGTCGCCCAAACTGTCTGATGAGCCTGAGAGCGTGTGGTATCTGATGTGCTTATTCCAAAAACAGAGTAGAGTCGTCCACAAATGCTGAGAATAAATGTCACCGCCGTTTCTGCCGAGGTAAACGAAGCCCCACCAGCTGTCCAATCTGTGTTTAGGGCAATCCCGAGGATTTCCACAGCTACCAAGAATAATAGGCGTGCCAGCGGACACCCTTGACGTATACCAGATACTACCGGTATCGCCTTTGATTGTTGTCCATTCACCACAAAACGGGCTACCGTGCCTCGATGCAGACGCGTCACGAGATCCACGAAACATCCGTCAAAACCAAATTGACGCAAAGCTTTCGATAGAAACTTTCTGTCGAGGGTGTCGTAAGTCTTTTTTTAAATCTAAGAGCTGAATACATCTGCTGTTGTTTACGTCCAGTTCCGTCTTCGCCCATGCTGTTGTTAACTGGGCCAACATCATCATTACGGTTTTTTTGCATTCGGCGTCCGTGTACAAACCCTTGTTGAAAGTCACTGATGACCCTCTGTAGGCACTTTGTACTCGCGTGGCAAGCACTTTAGCTAAGAGCTTGTAACTCGTTTGCAGTAACGAGATTGGGCGATTATCCATTGCGTCAGTCGAGTCGCCTTTTTTCGCAGCGGTATAACGAGAGCTTCAACAAAAGAATGTGGCATCTCCGCCCCTTGGAGAATTTGATTGCACATCGTTTCCAGTGCTGGAACCATGAAAGCCGCTGAGTCCTTGTTAAACTCATTATTTAGGCCATCCTGACCTGCCGCCTTGTGTCTTTCAAGTGCCGCAATGGCTAGCAAAATTTCATCCACAGATATTGACTGTAGAAGAAGAGCGTTGTCTTGATTTTGCAGCATCTGCCCGGACAAGATACTTACAAATTCCCCGAATTTAGGAGGCATGACATCCAGCTCCACTTTCGATGAATCTTGCACAGAACGGGAGACCATTCCACAGCAAACCTATCCGCTACGATCACATCAAGCCGGAACGCCGCACCGTGTCGCTGGGTGATATTAGTGACATGCTGATCACTCTCCTTATTGAAACCCTTTATACGAACACCGCAACCGCGCCGTAGAGCGTGCAAGCTGGACACCAAGCCGTACCAGATGTGCCTCCCGCATTTCCTCCAGATTGGCTGAAATCCATTGCCGACGCGTCTGTAACTGTGCCCAATTTCTTTGACTTGTCTTCTTAATGAAGCGCTTACGTCGTTGTTTTTCTCGTTTGAATATACTTTGGATACACTATACGCCTTCGGCCACATCTGCGTCCCATGTGTGAACTTTGGTTCCGTGTCCGACCTCCATATTCGCTAACTCGTGGTGTAGGTCCGCTACCACTCGGTCGGGCTTGTTAGTCTTGATAGGATAAACGCCTTTTAACTGATTGGGCGGCCTGTGCGTCGCTAAGGTGTCCCTCAGATGCAGTTCCACCTCCTGATGATCGGAAAAGAGAGGTGGCGAGCGGACGGATACCCAGCGATGAGGGGTGCCCAATCTTCAGGCACGTAAAACCGATCAATTCGACTTGCTCGTTCACGTTCCCAATAAGTGAAGTGATCCGTTAGGTCATCTTCTTCTTCGTCATCTGCATGGTCGCGTAGCATGCGCGCATCCGTCATCTGCGTATCAGAAGCAACTTTGTGAGGGCAGGACTCTCGGGTCGGCTTGCCTCCCGCCACCACATCCTGTCCAGTTGAGGACTCTGTACGCGACTAAAGTCCCCCGACAAGACGCTGTCAGTATTGTGAAGTTCCCATGAACTCATCCCGTTGAAGAACAGCTCCCTTTCTCCTCGTAGGGAAGGCGCATATATGTTTAACACGCCAATCTCACCCATCCGTATTCCGATCGTGCGAGTATCCCACCGATGTGTCTTCCATGCTAATGCCGTATTCGCCGACGCAGGGGTAAGAATGATAGCAACTCCACCGGATGAGGATGACCCCGTGCTCCAGTAAGACATGACAGGATGATCCCGATCTCGCTCTTCCCCCCAGAGACGCCTCCACTCTGCTGCCAACGCGCTGGTCTCGTTGACCGTGTCCACATGCGTCTCTTGCATGCACAAAGCCAATGGTCGCCGACACACCGGATTTTGTCTCCAGGCCTCCATCCATTGATGTCGCGTCTTATTGTTAAAGCCTAATACGTTTTGTGTGACCAGTTTTCGGTCCATTTGCAAGCCGGTAGATAAGTCGGTGGCCCCGTCGTGTGGTGAACCCTCTAAAAATCTTAGCTGCCCGTACGCATTCGCCGTAGCTATCGGAGATGCGTAATAGAGGGGGCCCAGAGTCACATCCATAGTGCCCTTAGTACAGAACGGGGCTGCTTGCCTCAATATGCTGGAGTTCAGATGAAAAAAAAGCTACGAAGAGCTTCCCACTCGACTGGTTTGTTCTTGGAATAACAGGCGCGTTTGTACTGGTCATTTGAGACCAGTAACCTAAGGTGCAGCCGCAATTTGTCCGGTGTGTGCAGCGGTGTGGGTTTACCTTCGGTAAGCGCGGAGATTTCACAATCATGTATGAGAGAGCACACAATATGGTGACCCAGTCCCTTTAGCCGCCGGAAAGCACAAAATTTGAGCATATCGTCGCCCGCGTACTTCTGAGACCGCAAATGATTCCAGTCGTCCGCGTTATTGACCAGAGGAGCCAGTACCTTGTTGGTACTGCTATGACGAGTATTGCTGATCCACCGGTCCAGCCATTCGTGTGTACGTTTGTCCATCGTCCTGTCCCTGCATCTCTGTAGGCCAGCCGCAAGACATTACTGTCTACCATCAATGGTCCATTGAACAAAGACGGAATCATCGAGAGTCAAAAGTAACTGTTCTGGAAAGGCAAACCATTTGACATGCCACATCAGAATATCCGGCGCATGCTGTACGATCCGTTGTCATTCCATTGTGGTACTCCAATGCCGCGGGCAAGGAACATGTGTCCCTAAAGACCATTCCGACTGCAATAGCTCCCACGCAGAGGCCCAAACCTCCTTGTCAATACGTTCGTCGTCAGGCTCACTAGGGAGAAGCCTAGGAACCTCGTCATTTCGGCCTTTTTTTAAGAACCACTTGCGCCTGCGAGTTGTGATCTGTCTGTCGATCGTCATCAATAGCTGTCGGTGATGCGAATATACATGTTTACGTGCCGTGGATGACTGAATCCTTGTGTCCAAAGTTTCTCCGTGAGCAGTAACGTTGAATCCCCCGCCAGTCCAAATACTGCGAGTGCGGTGCATCGACTAGTCGGTTTCGGTGGGTGCGTCGCGTCCACTATGCTATCCTTGTGAATAGCTGGATCGAGGCCGCCCGGGATAGTCACAGTGTCTGATGTATCCGACTTGGCGAGTAGTAAACCGTCTGCCCGCGAAGACGAAGTGTTTCTGGTCGTATTTGGTTGGCAAAGCCCCCTGAGCTGCAGCTGCCAAAAGTTCGATTGCGAAGGGGATAGATGGTACTCCTTTAATCTCCCCTTTTCCGTGGCAACTGTCGCGTCCTCTCTTGACACAGTTGCTAGGCACTGTTGAGCTTCCAGGGATCGTGATAACGTTGTCTGAGTAAGCAGGGTGAGAAGCTCGTCATAGCGCGTAGGGTCACGCGATGACAAAAGCAGATAAATCTCGTGTTTCAGCTCGAAATGGACTGACTCCGAATCTAGTTGCCCACAGATGGCATTGATCCGGTCGGTTCCTGACGCCGCGACATCGGCAGCAACCATACTGCTGTCGTATTGGTAACGGTGTTGGTTACTGATACTAATGACCATATGTCATGGACGACACTGTGTGATAGTGTGTAACGATGGGATCGACTCATCGTTTTGTTACTAATATTATAGAGTCGATATCGATAGGCTTAGAGTAGTACAACGAGACGAACTAAGGACCTAGCTAGATGATAATTCACTTTCCATTTTACCTTCTTCTAAGCTCTCCCACCTCAACTCGCTCTTGGCTGTTGCCAAAAGTCAAAAGGTTATGAGCCCAACTACGCCGGATGCGGGCGACATACTCCGCGAAGATAACTACTTCGTGTGGGAGTTCAACGCAAGGATGAGGCTGGCAAAGAAGGGATTGCTAGAGCACCTAGACGCTATGAAGGCCCCAGAAGAAGGAGACGCAAGCGCGTCAACTTGGAAAGTCAACGACATGAAGGCCTTCGCGATTGTGTCCACAATGATCAGCACAAATCTTCAGTCAATGGTGCGCACGGCAGAGACAACGGCAAAAGCATGGGACATACTGAAGACTTTCTTCCTGCGGCAAAGTATGCACAATCGTGTGCAGTTGCGGCGGCAACTACATGAGTTCAAGTTGGCCAAGGGAGGAAGCATCATGGATCACTTCCTGAGATTTGACGAGCTGTGCATGACTATGCAAGCTGTGGGACAAGAGATCTCACAGGATGAGCATTTGGTCATCCTATTGGGTAGTCTAACGAGAGACTATGACCCTATCGTCAAGATAATTGAGAACATGCCCGGAATGACACTGTTTCACGCTAAGGAAATGCTGAGACGGGAGTACGATGGAATGGCGAGGACAGAACACCAAGAAATCGCACTGAAAAGTACGCACACTTCCAAGTACAAGAAAGGTCCGCGCAGACATATGGGGAGATCAAGTTCAAGAGGTGAAAAGTTTTCGGGAAGGTGTTACCGATGTAACAAATATGGGCACAAGCGTCAAGATTGCAAGGCTGAACAAGTGGAGACAGAGCGATCTGGAGAAGAGAGAGCATTTACTGCGTCAAGTCGGACGTCAGCTGGATGGTTATTGGACAGTGGGGCAAGCAGCCACATGTGTCCCGACAGAAATGAGTTTTCGAATTTAAACTCACTGACGGACCCGATCATGATCACCATAGCAGACGGCAGCGAAGTGGAAGCGCAAGGTGTTGGGACAGTGCGCGTGCAACTCAAGACTGGTGAAGTGATCAGGATCGAAGAAACGCTATGGGTGCCGGGCCTAGACCGAAGGCTACTGTCAATATCGGCATTGTCAAAGAGGGGTCTACAAGTGATCTTCTCAGATCTGAGCTGTCAGATCAGAAGTAACACGGAAGTCGTTGCCCAAATACCAAGACGAAACAAGATGTACGTCTTAGAGTGCAGTCCGGCTGAGGTAGCCAACGTTTGCGGAGAGACATCTCAAGAGCAAGAATCAAGTGACGGATCAGGAGCGGCTGATCTACAAGTGTGGCATGCAAGATTAGGTCACCTGTCAACGAAGATGCTCAAGGGTATGGCAGGTTGCGTCAATGGATTAAAGATCAAGAAGAATCAAGGCGTTGAAGATGATATCGAGATCTGCGAAGGGTGCATCATGGGTAAAGCAACCGTCAAGACGTTTCCGAAGTCACCATACGGACACGTGAAAACCAAGGAGGTGTTGCAGTTGGTCCACAGTGATGTCATGGGACCTATGGAATCGAAGTCTCGAGGAGGATCAAGATTTGTCGTGACTTTTATTGATGATTATTCGAGATATATAGTCGCATACTATATTGAGAACAAGTCGGAAGTGACGGATCGCTTTATAGAGTATAAGGCACTTATGGAGAATCAACTGTCCAAGAAGATCAAGTGTATCAGGACGGACAACGGGACGGAATACGTCAACAGACGTTTCTCCGGTGTATGTCGAAAATCTGGTATCATGCATCAGACGACGATACCCTATTCGCCACAACAGAATGGGCTGGCCGAACGCATGAACAGGACACTGACAGAGCGGGCCAGAGCAATGCTCAGCCATATGCAAGTGGATAAAATTTGGTGGGCTGAGGCGATGAACACGGCAGTCTATGTGACAAACCGAGTTCCATGTGCTAGTCACCCGACTAAAACTCCATTTGAGTTCATCTTCGGGAAGAAGCCTGACCTCTCCGAGATGTGTGTATTTGGATCAAAGGGATATGCACATGTCGACAAGTCGAACAGGACCAAGATGACCAAGAAGGCGATTCGATGTATTTTTCTAGGTTACTCGGATCAAATCAAGGGGCTTCGAATATGGGATGAAGATGCCAAGAGGGTGACGCACACGAGATCGGCTAAATTCGATGAGAGACCACCACTTCAGTACGTGCAACGTTACAGCAGATCAAGTGACCAAGAGTTTCGCGCTGTTCATGACGAAGACACTGTTTCTATCGATTTAGAACAGCCACGAGTCACGAAAGACATGGACATAGCAATGGAGGACAGTCACAGTGTTCAAGAAGAGAGTCACATGCAAGACAGGCGTACAACAACGATGGCTCTACCATCAAGATGCAGTAGCAAGATGCCTGAACACGTGGGTTCCAATGCTGACGATCCAATGTTTGAAATTGATGATGTGACGATGATTGAAGAAGATCAAGAATCGGCTGAAGACGTGTCAAGACAAGGACAGATGGTGATACGACCAAGTCGACAGACAAGTATTCAAGCATCGCAAGAAACCGCGATGGTTCCACTAGAATCGGTTCAACATGGACAATCTCAAGCGTTAATACCAGTGAATGGTGCTGATGAGGACTTTTATGACGGCTCAGAAGTGTGTCAAGAAAAAGGCACAAAGAGACTACGTATTGGGTATGAGCAAGCATGTGCAGCGTTCGAGACCCCAACGACATACGAAGAAGCTCTTAAGTCACCTCGTCGTGATAATTGGTACAAGGCCATTCAAGCTGAGCTCAAGGCATTAGAGGAAAAGGAGACCTGGACTGTTCAAACACAGCGTCCAAACCAGAAAGTGATTGGAACCAAGTGGGTGTTCGCACTCAAACGAAACGAGCTGGGTGAGATTATTCGATACAAGGCACGTCTTGTAGCACTTGGCTACAGGCAGACGTATGGAGTTGACTACATGGAGACATATTCACCTGTGGCAAACCTCAACTCAATACGGGTGTTTTTGGCGGTGTGCTGTCAAAAGGGGATGTTGATTCATCAATATGATGTCGACACTGCGTTTCTGTATGGCGTTTTGGAAGAAGAGGTATACGTATACCCTCCTCTGGGTGTTCGTGCAGAACATAATCAAGTGCTTAAGCTGAATCGCAGTCTGTATGGGCTGAAACAAGCGGCCGCTACATGGTACAAGACAATTTCGTGTGTGTTTGTGGAGATGGGGTTCTTTTCATGCGTGGCAGACTCATGCATTTTCGTCAAAGAGACCAAGGGCTCGTGGATTTACGCTGCATTATATGTGGACGACCTTCTAATTGGGGCTGAATCTACTGGAGTGATGGAAGATGTGGCAGCTCAACTATCAAGTCGTTTCCAGTTGAAGATACTAGAGGGTGTTCGATACGTTCTTGGAATCGAAGTCAAGTACCTGCGCAACAATCGACGTCTGAAGATCAGTCAAGGATCGTGTATATCAAGAATGGTCGAGAAATTTAATCAAGTTGATGCGAAAGCAGTGTCAAATCCAAGTGTTGAAGGGCAAGCGATGGTCAAGATGGACAAAGCTGACACAAGAATGAAGAATCGACCGTATCGATCGTTAGTGGGGTCGTTGTTGTATGTGGCAACAGGCACACGACCAGATATTGCGTATACAGTATGTCAGCTGAGTCGTCATTTGGAATTTCCACATGAAGAGCACTGGAATGCAGCGATTCGAGTGTTGCGATATCTGAAGACGACGCAGAGCAAAGGAATTTGTTATGAAGGAGTTTCAGGCAATCTTCAGCTGAGCGCGTACACCGATGCAGACTGGGCAAGTAACAAGTGGAATCGCAGATCGATTTCGGGAGTTTTTATCATGATTAATGGCGCACCTGTGATTTTCAAGTCGAAGATGCAGCAGAGCGTGGCACTGAGCACGGCAGAAGCAGAGTATATGGCTCTTTCTTTATGTGTGCAGGAGGTTCTGTGGACAAGAAGTCTACTCAAGGAGATGCAAGTGCAGATTAACTATGCTGTCAAGATTCACGAAGACAACCAGAGTGCAATCGCTATCGCTAAGAACGACGGCTATCAAAGTCGAGCGAAACATATCGACATCAGATACCATTTTGTGCGCGAACAGGTGAAAGACAAGATTATCGACCTGCAGTATACTGAAACCAAGTCACAGCTGGCAGATTTTCTGACCAAACCGATTTCGACAAAGAAGTTCGAGTCGCTGCTGGACAAGGCCAAGATCAGAGACTTCTAGTCGAGGGGGAGTATTGGTAACGGTGTTGGTTACTGATACTAATGACCATATGTCATGGACGACACTGTGTGATAGTGTGTAACGATGGGATCGACTCATCGTTTTGTTACTAATATTATAGAGTCGATATCGATAGGCTTAGAGTAGTACAACGAGACGAACTAAGGACCTAGCTAGATGATAATTCACTTTCCATTTTACCTTCTTCTAAGCTCTCCCACCTCAACTCGCTCTTGGCTGTTGCCAAAAGTCAAAATGTCGGCAGAAGTTATCGTACGGCACTGCGCTGTAGAATCCGGTGATCCCGCCGTAATGTTTGCGGGCCCTTTAGTCTCGAGTCCTTCCTGATCATCGCTGGTATCCCCATCGCCTTCAAGATCTGGCAACCCCCCCCAGTTCTGCTAGAATGTATAAAAGCTGAGTAGTGCTGTCCCCAATACCGTAGTATGAGGGGTGGTGTGCCTGGGTGTTCGATCTTACCCGTGATAATTTCGTCCATACACTCAGCCACAGTCAAATTGCATTTCGCTGACGTATCGACCACTCGCCGCTGACGAGTAGTGGTCCTCGGTTTGTATTTCGACATACCCAGTCACTATTGTCACCCGTAATGTGCTGTATCACATAAATGTCGCATTGTAGAAAGTTTGCGGCCATTCCCAAGGTGTCGCTGCCGCCCCAGGTGTCAGGTGTGACGACTATATCCGGTTTCGAAGAACTCGCGGCGTAGTCATCGAGAAACCAGCGCATTTGGTTGGCCGATTCCGAACGGGTTATTTTAGGCCAGCCACGATGGACGTCGTGTAGCGCGTGAACCCGATGATCGTGAGCGAAATGATCTTCCAAATGGAGAAGTCCAGAATATTTTATGCCCTTCTTTAGGATCGCTGTCAGCCGCTCCATCATTTTATCCGGCCCTTCTAGTGTCGCATCCGCTTATGCCTGCGCCACCACCATCGCCATACAATTCCCGGTAGCAGGTGTCGTAACCTCACGCACCCCCAATTGGAACGACAGCTCTGAGATAGAGGATGGTGAGATCGATGTAAGGGCTCCGATTTGGAGGTGAGTGCGTGACCCGGCATCTTTTTAGAGTTGGAGCTGGAGAAAATTACTCCGTTCACGCCGCTTTTAAGTCATCAATACAGGAGCTGTGCTCCGCTGTGCCGGACATCGCTTTAAGGCCTCTTCTTTTCTCGATCGATCATCGTGAGTCATCGGAACGATCTTTGTGAGATCTTATACGCCCCGTGATCGTAGCGTCGATGTGGTTCCGACCCGTTTTTTCTCGGATTTTTCTGGAGTATCGACATGTTCCTCGTTGAGCACATGAACCGCACTAGACGAAGGGATATGTGGAGCGGTATGGCGAGTGGGCTTAAAAGGGTGGTTCCACAGTCTCTTTTACCTCGTAGTGGCTTCGTGATCCACGGCTGTTCGGGTCGTGGTGTAGGTTCAGTGTGGAGATAAGCAAACTTTTCGCCTTGTTCCATCGTCTGCCCCCGATCAGGAACCGGGACTTCAGCCCGCGTAAAGAACGGTGGTGTCGTCGGCCCGTCTGACGATACTGTTGGCGTCGCCGCTGCTTGTGCCGCCGCTTCTGCTCTCTGCTGCAATTGAAGCCTTTGAGCTGCCATTGAGCGTATTTTATCGAGACTGTCAAAAGACTTAGCCAAATCTTCCAGCTCCCGGATGTACTCTTCTTTTACAACAATACCTCCTGGTTCTCGCAGTTGCTCCTCCGTTGAGCCACAGCGTGACAAGGTGTGACCTAAATGTCCACATCGCAAGCACTGAAGCCTATACGCGACGTTGGGAGGTTTAATGATTATCGTAGTCCCGAACCAAATAATACGGACCACCCCATCCAGAAACGTGGGGCATCCAGCAAGCTTAAAGGTTACGCTTCAAACTTTCGAAGTCCTTGAGTCCGGCTTATGAGTATCTATGTCGTTCATATCAAACTCTGTCGGTATGTTCGACTGTAAAGAAGCCGACATCCGCCCTATATCGTTAAACCGCGTGAGGTTATGTAGCTGGATGGTGTACTCCGGTCGGCGTCCACAAGTGCCCGGTTGTATTCCAGTCTGACAAGCTTCAATGGGTCCTTGATCGAGATAGCGTGCGTTGTGCAAGGTATACACCCCCCTTGTTAGTCGCTCAGACATTTCGATACGGGCATGGAATGTGGAGTGCAACCGGTCGCGTCGATGGCGGCATGCGATATAGCCGCGTCAACAGCTAGTAAGTCTCCTGTTCACTTTGGAGCGCATCCGGCGCTTACTCGCGTTGTCCACATGTGGGCTGGACGACGAAGGTGGCGGCCGCAACGACGTAAACTGAAACAGATTATCACCCGGCGGCGCCGTGCTGTAGGGACTAGACTTCTTGATGAACGTGTGGCAACGACGGACTTTCACGTGATCTCGGAAGGTACAACATTGATTACTTGGAGGGACATTCGACGAATACGAGCGTCCTTTCCGACAAACGCTCAGACGCTGTATAGGCTAAAGAGTAACAGTTTTCCGCTCTGGAATTGGGCGAAGCAAGATCTGTCTTGCCCGGTCCCTGAGTGTGCGAATGCTGGTCCAGCTCTGGCAAGCCATATCTTTTGGACATGCTCTAGTGCGCGTCGTCACTGGGAGTTTCTCCTTGATCGGTGGCGATGGCTTGGAACTTTCCAGGAGGCTGAATTGAATGTTTGGGTGTTTGGCCTGGACCTCCCGGCGATTCCACCCTACGCCTGGGATGTAATTAAGCAATCCATGGACCCAGGCACTAATTTATCAAAAGCTCAGGCTGCTATATTTCCGGCAGCTAGAGAGCTGTGGCGTTTTGTCGTATCAACGACCCTTCATGCAATCTGGGTCTAGCGCCTCCGCCGCATGGAAGACTCGTCGTTATCACAGGAGGTGCACATAGCCAGCGCCAAGACGAGCTTTCGTCGGTCGGTCAGACGGTTTCGGCGATCAACCTATCAGCCCGAGATGGGGGAAGATGGGCAACTGTTTGCGCAGGTACGGTCGGCCTTGGCTGATACCCTACTCTGCTACGATGAACCTCCTTCGTTACTAGTCCGGCCTATCGACCGGCTCCCTGGCGAGCTTTACCTCCTCTTCTTTGACGGCGGGTCCCGCGGAAATCCAGGTCCAGGTGGAGCCGGGTCTGTGATTGTACGACTACACGTTCCGACTCACGCCGCATGCGTTCTGTGGGTATCAAGTATGGCTTATGCATCTGCCGATACCACTAACAATGTCGCTGAATATTGGGGGCTCGTGCATGGTCTTCGGCAAGCAAAGACAGGCGACTACTCACCCCTGCACGTCATTGGGGATAGTGCGCTTGTACTTTCTCAACTCCGAACACAACACCCTCCACGCAAGCCGCACTTGGTGCGTTTATTCAACGAAGCACGTGCCATCGCTAACGATATTGATGTCGCCAGCTGGGGACATCAATACCGCACCTTCAACAAAATGGCGGATCGACTGGCAAATATCGCTATGGACACGGGATCTTCTATACAAACGCACGCTATCTCGAACCCAGGTCTGGTCCAGGAGGCTTCAAACTTCCTTGACACTGATGTCAATCATTGGTTGGAGACCTCTCAAGCCGACCATCAACTCGTCATACAGGGCCCCGGGCTGACCTCGAGGAACCTGATTATCTCGAGACAGGAGTCTGCGCGTAGGCGCTCTGCTGTGCGAGGACTAGCGCTACCTAGTATATAAAGTAGCGGTCGATTAGGTAACTTTGTTGCCGGATAACAGGATATAGCAGGTCGTACGCGTACCTAAATATACCTCACCTTCTCACTCACTATCTATCACCCCCCCCTTGTTATGGCACTTGGATTGATTTGTGCCGGTCCGCGGTGGTTCTCGTGAAGAAATATAAGTTAATTGACTTCGTTACCTGATTGTAACAAATAGTCTTGGACTGTCCCAACATCCGATGTAAAGCCTGCAAATCAATCCTCGCTAGTCGGCGGACGCCAAAACCGTCTCAGTGAGAGCTTTGGTTGTCTGACGACTTGCCTTTACATTCCGGCGGCGAACCAAATCGAGAATTAATTTTCCTTCCACTTGCGCTTAAGACGTACTGTATAAGCGAAGACGTACTATATAAGCGAAGACGTTCCTCGCTCTTTAGGACTTGATTCAGGAACGATGTAATTCGACGACAAGCAACAGTACCTTCTACCAGTCTTACAATGGTTGACTATTCGTCATCAGTACCATCACGGATGTGATGCCTGTGAGCTACACCACTCGACGCCATACACAAGCTTCGCAGTCTTGTGATCTCCTCCGTTGAAAATTTGGCCGGGTTGAACGTGAAATCATCGAATATTTCCCCTCTAGCCCCAGAAGTGCGGATTTTAGGGTTATTGCTGCCGTTCTGCACCACGTGCGCCCACTTATTGAGTACAGGCGCCTGTGCCCATTTGTTTTGACTGGAAATTTTGCGCACGATCTCTCGAAATTCCCACTTCGTGGTGAATAGTTCCTTGGTTAAGGAGCGTAACAAGCTTTTTCCACTCCGTAAAAGTTTTTGGGGCTGTTGACGAATGCCTGTTCAAATAGACCGAGCAGACTGGCCACCTCCACACTATTGAGAGCTGGATACCTCTGCCGAGCCAGCGGTAAAGCCTCGTAATATACCAGTACACTAGCGAATACCTCCGCGAATAATTCCCGCACCGTAGATCTCCATGCCTCAACCTGTCCAATGTCTGGCGATTCCTTCGTTTCCGCTGTCAGCGCCGCAAACATATCTTCCAGCGTGGATCGTAGTGGCGCTGAACGTTGTCCTTGAGTACCTCCACAGTCACCCTCGGAGGGGCTCTGGGGTGTCGGTACTGCGTCATCGATCGTCGCCGGTAGGTTTGGATCTTGCCGTACAATGTCCGGATGTGGTGAAAGTGACTGCTGTGAGACAGCAGCCCCATCTGGTGAGTCCCCCTCGTCGCCCGCTCCCCCTGGAATCGGGGCAGGTGAGGAGGGGACGTATCCACTGGGTCGGGTAGTCGTCTGACCGAGCGTGTCTTGTTTATACTCTTTTGTGATCACAAGCGATCGCTGCGTCGGAGTGACGCTACCTTGTTATTCTGTCGCCGGCACTTAAATCTAATCAGGCAAAAGTTACCCAGCCTTAGTGTTAGAAATTTTATGTCTAGTCGTATAGCAGATGGTGACGCGTAGGAGACAGCGAAGAAGTGTTTCTAGAGCCGAGAGCGACGCTAGAGAATGGTTGGCGCAGAGAGATTGCAGATAGCACAGCAAGAGCGACAGAAGCGAGAGATGAACACAGATCTATTTTACCTGTTACACCTCACGCCCATCCTTTCTTACAGATTATGTGAGCCCGATGGCTGAGCCACAAGACTCAAAGCAGCACCGGCTTCAGCAGGCTAAGCTAGAGCCTCACCGGGACGCGGAGCATCTCCAGAGCGTTCGCCGCGTGCTGCCACCGTCGTTGAAGATGTGCAGGCCGACGAAAGGGTCTCGGCGAAGGAGTAGAAGATTCTTTCGATGCTCGATGCCCTCTCGTCGTGCTTAGAGCGCATGAAGGCGGCCAAAATAAACTCGATGAAGACGAGCGGATGCGTGGGGCCATCGAGAGTTAATTCTTCGCATTGTTCGCATTGGCAATTGGTGCAAACCTCGGTGCGGCAATGATGCAGATCGATGCTCTCGAGCAACCAGAACGGAAGTAGCCGGTTAGAGCGCCGCTGTTGCGCGCTCCACGCCGAGTCGGGAGCACTCGCCGTTTACTTGCTCGGACCTCGCTTTTCTGTATAGACGCTGCAGCCTCAGCGAATGTGTAACGGGGCACCCTGAAGCTTGTACTGGTGACAGTACAAGCTACTTATTCTGATAACAGAATAAGGCGGTGCCTCGTAACTTCACGTACACTCGTACGTGCAGAGGAAGACGGTAAGAAGAAGCGAGTACTCGGTTAGAGTAAAAAGTAGAACTGTATTTATAATAGTTAATGTCTGCAATAAATCACTATTTATCTTCATCTAACTATGTCTAAATACAAATGTGTAAATCAGTTATCTGCTCACCACTCATTGCGTGCGTCTGTCGTGGCGCGTCTTCGTTGGTTGATATAATGGCCTATATCAACCAATTAGGAACTACTTGGAAGTGCTACAGAATATTGTCCTTATGACAATATTCTGAGAATATAACTCTTATAGTTATATTCTATTAACAATTTCTTATAAATTGTTATGTAACGATTCACCCCGTTACATCACCCCCCCCTTAACCATCAGTCACTTTAGTGACTGATTGACTAAATGGATACTCGTCCCAAATCATTTGGGACGGGGTTTGCACTTGTTGGTCCGCGTCCACTTCCCAAAATCTCATCGCATGGTTAACAAGCCCATGCGGTGCGCGAACATGGCCTCTTGGAGCGCGTCTGCACGTCTCTGTGCGGACGCCGAAGCAGAAACTACAGCAACTGATGTCCCATCGGTTGCTGAATCGACTCAGCCTGTATCACCTGGTGATGCAGGCGCTGGTCATGAAGACACTCGTGTCTTCACAGAGTACGAGCTCGGTGTCTCGTACTCTCCTGATACGGAAGACGGATCCGTATCGACGGCAATTGAATCCAAGCCGCCTGCCAAGCGTGGCATGGACGATGCTTTGCGTCGCAGCATCTTTGGTTCATCTGATGAATCAGATGAACCATCGCCGAAGCGAAGGCGCTCGAGGTCGCGAGACTCGGGCGCTAATAGTGGTGTCGTTTCTCCAATGGACACCACTTCACAGCGAGGTGCCAGTACTTCTGTCGGCACGTCGCAGGAAGAGCGGGACCGCAATGTGTTGCGTCTCGCTTCCGAGAAGAAGGCATGGATGCCTCCTAAATCTGTCATGGATCACTTGTCGGCGACGACGAGTGATCGTTATCGAACACGATTGTTCGATTCGTCAAGGATTCATCACCTTGACCCCAGCGCGAAAAACTATCGCGCTGAACATGAGTTCTTCATCGATGCTTTCTTCAGACATCGATGGTACAGTGGGAATCACAAACGTGATGGTCCCTCACTACTTCAGGCGTGGAACGCCTACATCCATAATCTCGAGGATGTAGGTCGTGACGCTTGGAACGACAAACTTATCAAAGCTCGTGATAAGTTTGAAAAGCGAACCCCGACAGGTGCACGCTATAAGCTGCATCGTCTGTCAAGGGAGAAAGGATTACCCTGCCTCTCTTGGGGAGACTCGTGCCCATGTTGTGTGAACAACTCTGCACGAGCACCTAAGGAGGCTTACCTCCTTACCAGCCCGTGGTGGCGCGTACGTGTCTCTACTGAGATGTACGAAGGGATTGACAACCTGAAATCCCTTTACGACCGTGCCGGGAAGACTTTCTCCGGCGGTCCTTCTGCGGCACAGGATGTGTCGCGTCGTACTGCTCGACCAGACCCAGTACGTCAACCATCAATTGGGAGCGGGGCTCCCAAGAATCCCAGGACGGGGGATAGCCGCGCCACCGGACGAGGTAACTCGTCCGACGTCCGTTCACGTCGCGGTGGTTCAACAGCTGCTCTACTAGATAGCGCTGGCCACCGCGAGAGTCCTCTAATGGAGGTGGAGGAGGAGGAAAGACGCTCTCCACACGATCATGCGGATCGGTGTGTTCCCGAGAGCTTCTTTGATCGCGTAACGCAAGGGTTACGCGACGATCTCGAGCATGAGCGGAATAGGCGTCTCCAGATGGTGGACACTGCCTCGAAGCATCGAGCTGAGTTTGCCTTTGCTCAGCTTGAGAACGAGAGATCTCTGACATCTCTTCGTGACGAGCTAAGGGTAGCTCGTGGGATTGTTGATCGGTCTCGGGCTGAGATAACTGCTCTTCAGACCCTTGTTGATGCCCACCATCGGGAGCACAAGGCTCTCTGCGAGATGCTTGAGCGCAAGGGCGTTCTTCATCGGAAGAAGCAGCGTACTGATGGTACGGCTTAAGCCGACCAACGTAAAACGTGGGATGCGTTCGCATCTTACGTGGTAACTCGATCGTGTATGCATTGCCTAGGCGGTGCAATACACGAAATGGGCCAATGTACTTGGGTAGTAGTTTACTGCTACCCAAGTTAGTCACTACATGTTTTGGTAGATTAACCGTAGACAGTAGGACTAAGTCACCTTTATTAAATAAAAGAGTGTTTGCCCTTCCATTCTTGTCAGCGTTTTGCTTTTGCTTATCCACCGCTTCGGCGATGGAGTCTTGCACAAAACGGACTACCGTTTCACGAGCCAGTATGAACTCATCTGATGACTCGTTAGCTTCAGTGTGCTGTGAGCGCACTGCAGCGACAACAACCTTTTCTTCAGTGAGGGCTTCCGCACTCTCACTGGGATCATTGTCTTCAGTGAGGGCTTCCGCACTCTCACTGGCATCATCTTCTTCGATATTGATGTTATCGATATCGGCATCAAACGCAATGACTTCTTCGTCAGAGCGTGATGAGCGTGAACCAAATCGGTTTTTGCTCGCGCGAGTCCCTCCCCCCCTTAAACCAGAGTTACACTCTAGTAAGGTGGGTACACGCGGATGGCGCAAGCCATTCACGTAAAACGGTGTATGTGTCGTCGACGCATGCACCGAGTTGTTGATGGCAAACTCTACCATTGTCAAAAACTCACTCCAACTCTTAAAGGAGTGTACGTATCCTCGAAGTATCTCTTCAAGGACACGATTGGCA